TTTGACTATCGAGCTTTTTTGAATTGAACAAAATTCTGAGCCCGCGAGCGACTATGTACGCGTCTGTTTACCTTGTGATTGTGTTCATCCCCGCTTGTGCCTGTTGGATTTTTGCGTCTGACAAGGTCCACACTTGAGACCGCTTGAAGATGATGTTGTTGAAATCATCATCTTTATCCTTCGGACTCGCAAACTTATTAAAGAGTTTTCGCCAGAGGTCGTCATTGCTATTTGAGAGATGGCTGAATGCGACCTTCAACTATTGGTTGATCAAAGACTTTTCCCATAACAAGATTTCTTGAATAAACTTCTAACTTGTTAAAAGTTTTTTGTAAGAATTCGTCATTGCTATTTGCGAGACGACTCAATGCGACCTTCGACTGGTGGTTGATAGAAGACTTTTCCAAGAACAAGAACTCTTTGAACTTAGCCTAAATCCTAGTGCGCATGGGTATGAATAATGGTTTAGTTACAAATTCCAAAGCATGGGACTCTTTATGAACTATAAAGAAGCAGGAGTGAATCATCAACACAATCTAACCTATATCATTTTTAATCAATTCCAATGTTTATTTGATACATTTTGACTCTAATGCAAGGTTTTAGATCCTGTGCTATACTCCGGTAGTGAAAAACTTTATTTCAAACGAAACAAAATTACATAGTAGAAAATGTCGCTTGTCTTATTCCAAATATTTTAAACATGAGCAAATCGCCTTGAAAAGAGATTTCATTGCAAATACGTTCTTCCAATAAGACTTTTTTGTAACAAAAGTTTTTAGTTTGTCGCATATATCAATGTCATAATCGTTGCTAAAAATTTTACCTCACAATGATGCATATGTCGATTTGACTATGCTGGCACGCTAACAGGTATAGTAGACAATACACCATTTTGTCTTCGTAAAGAGAGGATGAGCACATATGTCTTCCAATATTTTTCAATGCACTGTTTGTTGAACGACTTTAACAAAAGATGGAACAACTATAACGTCTTGAAAATAAACATGATATGTTTTAAAACACAATTCACTCTTGAAAATATTTTTTCTGATCCATGCAAAATTTGTCTTGAAGATAATTATGATATGTTTTAAGACACAATTCACTCCTGAAACTATTTGTATAAATCCAAGCAAATTTTGTTGATACTGTGGGGTGCTCAACAATACACAAATATGAAATTGTTCTGCTTGATTGCATTAGGTTATCTCCTGATGTGTAGAGTTCTTTGCTATCCTAAAAGTCACGTTTATGGCATCTGGCTGGCAGCACGTGGATGTATTGTAAAGGACAATCAAATAATTCCAATTTCAAATTCCAAATACTCTGAAATCAACAAAAGAAAGCTCAAGAATAAAGCTAATAATAGATTGGATTAACAAGAATAGAACGCTAACTACACAAAAAAAATTGTTGATAAAACTCTAAGAGTTGTGTTGTTAGATATTGATTAATGCTCAGTACTCTCCGACCTCTGTAAACTAATAAGCTTCTAAAATATCTTCAATCGACTACTAGAGTTGTAAGTAGTTCAGATTGACATTTTGCAAGAAGCCAATCGCTTATTCGCTGCAACTCAATATTTTATTGCAGAATAGACGTATGGCACAGGACTCAAGAGGCAGTAGCATTGAAAATATCCGGAGATAATTTTATATAGAAGAGATCACACGCATGGCTGCAAATCTAATCGCATGCGAACTGCCACGTAAAAAATGAACTCGTATTTTCAAATGGTGTAATGGAAAAGGAATCAATGATCAGTGTCCACAACTCTTCAGGATGTGGACAGCGAGGATCGTGTCACCGTATGGCTTGCCTCGGCATAAGCGTCAACGCGTCTTAGACTTACGTGACTGGCGAAGACAAGATAATCAGGAGAGCACAAGTTAGATCAGTCGTAGTCTGTAGTGTTCATGTTGGTGTTCACAACGGGCCGACACCGAGGTGTCCATCTGCTCGTAAGGTCTACTCGTAAGAACGAGCCACTCCCTGTCGTACGTGTAGTTCAAGCTTGTGCTGAGCTCCAAGGTGGTACCACACTTTTCATTGGAAAATGATTTCACAATCTAGCTCAAAGAAAACTCGGAGGAAACTTGTGTGGGATCTTTGTTACAGCACACTAATTGTCAATGCTGCTGTTTCTCGAACGGGGACGCCGTTTAGTCTGGCATTGTTTGATTGACATGCGAGGCCCAGTAAATGAAAAAGGTGGTGGTTATACCCGTACGAGGAAAAAACGAAACGAGGAACCAAAAGCTACAAATTTCTAAGATACCAGTTTCGTATTCCCTTTCAAGATCTTGGTATTATTTTGTTCGTCAGTACTAACCGATCCAAGAACGGCCGTCTAGTGCACAACATTCCATGGGTAAGGCCAATTTGTCACGTGTGTTTTTGTCCATGGATGTACGATAGGCGCTTATTGGCTGCACTAATTCAATACGCTGCCAATCTGGATTTCTTTCTTTCCGATAACCGTTAGACTTTCTTATCTATTTGGGTAGAGCAAATCTCTTGCATGTTTACGACATGTTTCACCATACAAATTGCATCACATGTTCGGTTACTGCTTGACTTGCGGATCTAAGTGATATAATAAGTGTTTCCCATGATAGTTTCATTTTCATCGCGATAGTACGAGAATTGCATAAAATCTTTACAATAATCAAATCCAGTCATATCTTGTGATTCTTTCTTCTTATACATCATAATGTGGTAAAAACATCAATCTTCATTTTCATTTGATCCCCGATCCTGATTAAAGATGATGCGCACATGGATATGCCCTCGAAAAATTTCTGCCAAACATGATGTTACCTGCGAGCCAATTTCTAAACTATGAGCTTATCATGTAACAATGATATGATTATGGTATATTTATCATACAAAAATAAGATAATAAAATATACAAAAAGTCTCAACGGACAATAGAGAGAAGGAACACGACATAACTCTTTGAAATCACTAGCACATTGTTGTTGGTTCATTTGGTTATCTTTCTCTGGTTCAAATTAAGGAGCTTTTAAGAAAGATTCTTAGGAATGAGAAGGAAGTACTTGAACTATTTTCTTTCAATACACCAACCTCAGCAGCCTGAGTTGTAGAGATCGAGCAGAAGTTGAAATTCCAGAGAAAAAAGCTTCCTAATCTAGTCGTGGATGTAGAATTGGACTTCAAGTCAACAAGTACAATATTGTGAAGATGATGAAAAGTGAACATTCTAGATAGCAAATGAAGGATGATAAGGAAAAAGAAATCTTGGATTATAATTAGCTATTTCTACTTTTGATACCATATACTTATCATAATTTATTAAAAAAAAGAAGATGGCCAATTAATTATTTTCATTTAGTTTAGCACTCGGTTAACAATTATGAAAAGTTTGAAATATTGATATTATTGATACATGTAAACATAAGTATGAGAATTATCAATGATAAAACATTCAGAGGAACAACAAACATAAAAGTGACAAGCGGATTATGTGGTACAAGGGGGAAGAACATCGGGATAGTATACTAAACGTTGTGTCTGGTAATACATAGATCATGTGTATATGTAACCAACACGGACAAACCAATCTCAACTATAAATAACTATATAAGAGTTTACTCTTCTCCCGAAAATAATCTCAACAATTTTTATTTTAATTTTAGATAGAAATCTAACACATTGCAACTCTTTAAACTAAAGTTAACTAGAATTAAATAAAAATCATCATATGATAGAGTAATTACATAAAAAATTAATTAAAAAAACTTAAAGTGTAGAGGTAACATAAATCTTGTAACCTAAACAATTATTTCGCGGAAAAAAAACCTAATACAATATCATTCTTTAAACTAGAGTGAATTAGAACTAACTCTTAGTCATCGCTTGATAGAATAATTATGTAAGGGGATAATTGAAGATATTATATTATCAAACTTTACTTGTGCTACTCAAACAAAATTTGTTTAATAATATTGTGTCGATTGAAACTCTCCAAATAATAACTATGAATAAAACATCAACTAGATTAAGTTGAACATCAATCTTGACTAGTTTTATCGTCAAGATGTACTAGTTCAATCATCAAAATTTAACGTTAATATTGATGAGTTCAATCACCAGAGTTTATAATCAAAATTGATTAGTTTAATTATCAATATTTAACATTAATATTGACGAGTTCAATCACCAGAGTTTATACTCAAATTTGACTAGTTCAATTATCAAAATTTAATATTAAAATGGCCGAGTTCAATCACCAGAGTTTATTGTCAAAATTTGACTAGTTCAATTACCAATATTTAGCATTAATATTGACGAGTTCAATCATCAGAGTTTATAGTCAAAATTGATTAGTTTAATTATCAATATTTAACATTAATATTGACGAGTTCAATCACCAAATTTTATCTTCAAAATTGATTAATTTAATTATATAAATTTAACATTAATATAAACGAGTTCAATCATTAAAATTCTCGTCAATATTGACTATTTCAATCATCAGAATTTTTATTAAAATTAATAAATTTAATTATCAAAATTTGACATTAATATTGATTAGTTCAATCATTATAATTTACTATCAGTATTGATTATTTTAATCATCAAAATTTATTGTCAAATTTAACTAATTTAATTATCAAAATTTATTATCAATTTTGATTAGTTTAATCTTCATAATTTGATATACATATAAAAAAATTTAATTATATATTTAGGATTACATCTGTATCTATATTTTTTATATAAATATAGATCATATAAATTATAATATAATATTTTTTATTATTAATAAAAACTAAATCTGAAAATTTTTAACTCTCACAGAATTAGATTTTATTGAAAAAAACATATTTATTCACAACAACCCTATACCATATCATTATAACCCGTCATTGGATGACTTTCTTTTTTTCTTGTTAACGCAAAATATTTAGTAACTCACACTCTTTCCGGACTATAGATTTCATTGCGGAAAACATTTTTTTTCCTGACATTACCACTAAATCCATCAATTTATTATTTTACATCGGCCAATACACTTAATTTCGAACTTCATATTGGACATTCTTATTTCTCCTTTCGGGCTGAATTTCATGACAATTGATTTCAATCAAATCGCCCCAACATGCACAAATTCGAATGTCATCGATCCCGGTCCTCGCGTAGTCTCTACTTTCTCCCGTCGATTTCACTTACGGCTTGGCTGCAAGGCCACGCTCGAGCTTCCTAGGATAATCAGATTTTCACGAAAATCAGATTAATGAAAGTCTGTAGTTTGCGTCTGCTGCCGTCGCAAACTCAATCGTAAGTAAGAGTGTGAGAATTGACCAGGTTGCAGAGAAAACCGTTCGTGCTCGCTCGCCGGGCCGAACGGAATATGCACCCGATTGCGGGTCCTAGACCGGAGGCGAGAGGCAATGTCGAAGCAACGACGTTGAAATTCTCGTCTTCGTGTGGCCGACGACGACGGACCCGAATTTCATAACAGCATGATGTCCGGCATGAGGACTCTCCCAGCGCCCAATTCGAATGACACAACGCGCCGACGGCTGACGCACGTTGAGCTGAACATTTAGAGCATTTGAACTGATTCCAGCTGACGAGCGCGCGCTTATAGAGCCCGAGGGAGTTCTCGATTCTTCTCAAAGAGTCTTTCTGCAAGCGGAGCTTGAATTCGTCGAGCTTGAATCCGCGCGCTGTGCGCGATCCCTCCTTCTTCCATATCCGCAGCGTGTAGTGGAGATCAATTCAGCGAAACTGGAATGAGATCAGCGCGAGAAACGAGCACTTGGGCCGGACGATTGGACGACGACGACTCCTCGCTCACTCGCTGCGGTGTAGACCGCTTTACTCTTAGAAGGTGGTCTAAATTCTCCGCTTTGCAACGACGAAGAAGAGAGTCGATTCCTCAGCGGTGTTTGCGATCGATAGCTGCTGCCGAATGGTCCAGACGACGATGACCTCCATCGATTGCGATTCCTGAGCTCTCCTCTCGATTCTTTCTGACCGACCGACCGACGCAGGAGACTGTGGACGAGGATGGCTTCGTCTGCGTCTTCTGATGCGCTGAACACTTTGCCAATGCCTACTCCGATGGCATGGCGTGGCAAATGCATCGAGAGCTCGATGGGATTTCTCGCCACACTGCTCGTGTTCTGGTGGAAAGGGCCCGTGGCCTCCGCCATGTACCTCGTTCTCGTCGCCTAGTCTTTCACGGTCAAAAACCCGTCACTATAGAAAATCCGTCAGCAGCAGAATCGACATTCACATAAATGTCAAGAGTTCTTAGTTACACGAGGCATAAGTTTGAATCCATGTCGATAAAATAACAAGCTCTGATACGGCAAAACTGTTGACAAAGTTCGGCAAATATTCCGAACTTAAAAAAAATAAAAAATTCACAAATTGTAGGTGACAATTCTCTAACCAAAATTTGGTTTCAATTTTTTGAACTGAAAATATTCTCAAACTCCCAACCGAGAAATGTTTTGACGTATATTCTGATTCGAAATTTTTCTAATATTAATTGTCAGGATAAAATTTGAAAATCATCACTAAAAAAACACTCAGGCCAATATCAAACACAAATCTACGATGATATATTGAACATTCTGTCTAGACCCTTGGTACATGTACCCAACACCAGAATTAATTTCAAGAATAGATGTTTGTTTATTTATTTGAAATTTTTATTTTTAACCTCACATTTTATTATATTGTGGAGGTATAGTCTTACCTACCTCCATTTTTTATCTAAAGTCTTGGATCTATTACCTTGAATTTTGGGTTTATATATGTTTCAGAGAGCAATATTTCTCCTAGACCATTGTTCATATCATTTAAGAAATTTTGAAAACATAGAAACGAAATGTTTCTAAACAAATGATATGTTAGGCTATGTTGCAGGCCAAGGGATAGATAACAAGCTTTGATTCAAAATTGTCATGTTGTTCAGAGCACCAACGTCATTTGATTTTTTTTTTGTTACAATATTAACTAAAAAAATGTGCAATCAATTTTAACATAAATGCACATTACCTTCTATATTTGTCATATATTACAGTAAAGTAAATCGATGCAAAAAAAGTGATATTAGGCTAGGTGTGTTGGTGATACTTCTATAGCAGATGCGGTGTCAATTTCTGTGATTTGATGAATATGGTATGTAGAGAGTATACTCTACATATGAATTATATGTAGAGAATGGTATATGAAAAACAAATGTATGACGATAATCTTAGTTCAGATAAGATTGTTTTGATCATTTGTATGTTAAAACATAGATCTACAAGAGTATTGGCCACTAGTACTTCGTTCACTAGTTCTGTCACCCTCTAGAGTTGAGTCAACCAATGTTGATGCAAGAGATTCAACGAGAAAGATGTCATGCATGGCCAAAGTGGTGCTCCTTTATGAGAAATGTAGTCATGAAGATGAGAAGAGAGTCAATTTCAGCTGCTCGTTTCGTTATTGACTAGGGAGGACACTGAAAGATATTTGAGCCAAACGGACGTACAGAAATCATATATTTGTCTGAGAAGGGTCTAGAAAGAAACTTTTAGATCAAATAGCTCAAAATAGAACGCGGAAAAACAGTGAAACGTAGAAAAAGTCAAATTTTGGTAAGTGATTTTTTTGCCAATTTTCCTAGTGTATGTGGGAACTCTCGAACTATGTAAGATGACAACAAAGAACCATATGTAAACTGATTTTATGTTCTTATTCTATATATTTTAGAGTTGTTAAATTGGGGAGAAAATAGATTATTGACACTAGTGAATACAAAGAGCCGTTCAAGGAGACCGTTCAGGGAAGAGTCTTGATATGACTCCACACCTCGTACGCTGTTGAATAGTAACACATGCTGAGTGAGTACTTATGGAAACTGCGGTCCTGCAAAGGTAATTGATGAAAACTTTTTTCTTAAAGAGCGAGTAGTTGTGGTACAGTTATAAAGGGTTAAGACAGGACTACGCTCGGCGTGCCACACTAACTACCTTTTATCTTCAAGTAATGGGAACCACTCAGAATTACACACTTTCAGCGATTGCACCAGTGATGGAACTGGACCACGCTCGGTGTTGTACGCTGTTTCTGGTTTCAATAGTGTTGATGCAGGAAAATTCACTCGTTGTGATGCGAGAAGAATACATGTATGTTACTTGTTGGCACAGCAATTCGAAATTCGTACAAAAATTATTTTTACTAGTTTGTACTATTTATATTCCTCTGGCAAGGAATAACTCATTCCTCAAATTCAAATCCAACCAAGAAAGCAATCTGCGCAGAGCTGGAATGCGTGACACGGTAAGATAGTTGTAGCCCGATGGAGGCAGCTCTTGTTAAAGCTAATGTGACCCATATCCGCATCAACGCGTAGCGCGGCCGAAGTTACACAAACACGGTGAACATCTTCGGTATACAGTTTCAACTTTTCGAGTTGACATGAAATCAAAACAACTACTAAATGACCTCCGTGTTGCTTTGACTTTTCATGTGTTTCGTTGGCAGAAGATGCACATACCTTTGACAAGATAGTATCAAAATTCCTCAACACTCTGCTCGTATCTAAGCTATGCCTCTACATACATGTTGCTGAAGAGATTCACAAGCCAATGGCAGAATTCAGTACCTTGCATCCCGTCAAAGGATCACTTGTACTCAGGGTGTAAACCACCTTTTAGAGAACTGTACAAACTCTGCGCCCGCTTGAAAGTGCTGATATTATCAATAAGACGACCCCGACTCTTGGCTCCCACCTCTTCTCCATCTTTGCCCTTCAAAACTTTGCCCTCTTTTGTTAGGAGGTATTTACTTTCCACCGGGCAAGAATCCCTGCCCGCTTCTACGACGGATCTAAGCTCTTCAAGATGTTGGCTGCCATACACCTGGAGACTGAGCTTCCTACGATATGGGGCATTTCGTTGGACAAAACTTTTGAAAAAATCGACCAGTCCCTCTTTCTCAAGTTTCCGCAAAGCTGCTACCTGTAAAACCAACAGAAAACATATTTACTAGACAACGTGAAACTACCTCAAAACCATCTATTTAGATGGATGGAGTTTTCATCTACATAGATGAGGTCGGATGCACACCTACGGCAGGCTTCAACGGTAACAACACCATGAAGTGAATAAACGAATCGATTGACAGGAGTGAAACCAGCACTGACCACGAGGTAACCAAACCCAGCATGCATATTTACGAGTAGATGCTCATAAATACAGACAAATCATAGGCCAATTAAGAAAATGTTAAGTAGAGAACGTTCTGTAAAGAAAGAATATAACACAATAGGAACTGAAAGTACAGACAAATGATTGGGAAGTGCACTAACATCAAAGTACTAGTAAAGTACTAACGAAAAGTACTAACCTATCGATGCCTTCATAAGTCCAGCAACTATCAACAGAAGTTCAGCAGTGAGAGCAAAAGCACGACTACTTCCGATTAATTCATTGATTAAAATAAAGGCAAAAACCCACTCAAAGTGGTCTTCGGACGTGCCTCCGGATGTTAAGACTGATGTTGACAGCATTCAAGGTTTTTTCCTTAACCTAGGAGCAAAAACATCAGTGATGTATATTCAAATTACGTACAACCATTCAGTGTATCTTACCTCCACTTCTGGCCTGTCAAAGTTCAAGGTACCATCTGAAATTTCTCTCCAGTAGAAACTGCTTTCTTCCCACAGGTTCTTGTATTTTTCCAGCTTCATTTCAATCAACGCGTCCACATGCCTCTGTTCCCAGATCCGTCAAACATATTCGTTACTCCACTTAATATGGACGTAATCCCACACCTTATGATATTCTTATTCTACATACTTGTCAAGATAAAGGCCAACATATAATTGCTAACCTTGAAGTCTTCTTGAGGCATCTTCTCAAGAGTGTCTGCATATCTCTCAAGGAAGGCCTCCACCCTGTCTTCAAGAGCTCCAGGGTCCTGTGGGTGACCCACAACCAGCAATCGGTTACGCATAGGTGCGGCATGCTCGACAGACTTAGTGCTATGAAAGCTGTCTTGAAGTCAGTTGCTAAACAGAAAATGGCTCACGCCAACTAAAATGGAGCCTGTGTTAAAAACGGAATCCTTGATAAGCAGAAAAGAACCGGAGTCAATGTGATAGTTTTCATTAAAACACTAGGTAAAAAATTTCCAGAAATAAGAATGACAGGACGACAGTCCAATGTTTAACATCTAGATGTACCTTGACAGTTGACTGAATGAGAAATTGGATTCCCCGAACGCCAAAATCATTTCTACAAAGACAAACAATCCTTGTTAATCATAAATACCAGAAGCGGACACATCAAACGCCAGTGAACAAGAAGGAAATGTGTAGAGGACAGACACGATCCCGTATTTAAAATATACAATTCCTGCGCAAACTTACTTGGTGGCGACGAAGACCAGATATCCAAGCTGCTCTACGGTTCGAAGTTGATGAAAGACACCTTCCTTTATGGTCAAAACTAGCAACTCGACAAGAATATTCATATTTGTCTCCTCCTGGCCGACCTGATTTAGACACAAAGAGTTGAAAGTGAACCTTAAAGTGCAGTATTCTTCTGTGATGAATATTTTTTGAGAGAAACATTCCACAGGAGAATTTTCAGAAGATACTTCGGAAGTCGAGGAGGCTACGCGAAATAGCTACTAGCATTCATGACCTACAACAGTGGAAAATATTCTGAACAACTTCACCCGCAGAAGCACTCAGGCCTTTCAATTCATTATTGTGCTAACAAGCAGCTGCTTACCTGGAGATAAAGTTGCAACGCCGAATTCTCATCTTGTGGATTTAGGCCTTGCGACGCGTAAATGAAGTCAGAACCATCTTCTAGTCGAACGATTCTCTGTTCCATGAGCTGAGACGAGAACGGAGGCTTCGCATTTACAGTTGGGCCACTCTTGAGCGTTGTCTCAACGTGCTCAATTAATAGTTCAGCTTCTTTCGACGTAATATTACCTGCTCAAAGCAAAATGAAATGCTAAGTGACGATAACATGAGACCAATTTTACCTAGATAGAAATGCGGTCTGTAACTTCCAAGATAAAAGACCAAAAGAAACACAAAAACGTTTACCAAAGAAAAACAGAATTGAACGAACGTATTTACCAGCGACGAAGCACTCCACGAAGATTCTCGAAAGAATTCTAGGGAACATCTGCCGAAGGTCTTCGGCTGTTAGGTCTGGAAGAACTTCGATGTACTCATTGACATGCCACCTTCTGTGTTCCAGAAGAAGGCTGCAGTTGTAAAGGGCTTGTTGGTATGGTTGCTGGAATCGGAAATTCACACAATCCTTCATCACCATTTCCTGCACAAGTGACATGCCGAGGATGAGAGCCCATGAAGCTCAAGACAGTTTGCAAACCAAAGCGTGACCTTAATTCGTGAATTTTAGAGAGGTTCAACTGATTCGAATTGATACAAGTTTCAGGCAGATTCTCTGTACTGGACCCGTAAAGAGATTAATTATCCCCAGTGGAAATATAGATAAAACGGTCAAGAGTAGTTGAGCTGCATCAGTGACATCAAGAAAAGGTTCGCGGCTCTTGAGTTTGGACAAGTTCATGTGCTTAATAGGCTACCTTCATGACTTTGAAACGATCTTCTTTAACTTCGAAGTTCACAATCATCTCCATGATCTTCTTTGTCAAAACAATCAACTTATGGTTGTAACCTGAAACGGATACCTGAATTAAGCAAGAAAGCATTAGTACTACAAGCATACGTCACAAGAATAAAAGACAACAAATCACATAAGGGAATTTGAACCTGAGAGATTAAGGACCATGGTCTTATTTAAGGAAATGATCTGCAAACGTGTAACTGAACTTAGATTACATCACAAGTTCCAGTGACAAAAATACCTGAAAACCATGAACAGTAACTAATATTTTGTAGCTAAGACCGGCCACCTCTGCATAGTACGCTGCACAAGTAGACACGCACGCAAGCTCAGGTGATACGCAAAGTCTATAAGAGTACAACTTAGTAGCTTATTAAAAAGCTAAGATCAACGGTCCGTCTCATACAACGACAAATTCTCCTTCAGCAACTACAGCCTTCTCACCTGTGCTTACATTCGTGTACTAAAATAACTGACCAACAGTTTAATGCTATGTCGATCACGTACGACTCAACAAGACAGAGACAATCCACAAAAAAATCGAGAATTTGGTTATGAGAAGGCTAGTGTTACCAACCTTCCCACTCAATATTCTAACGGATTTCATATATTCTAGTTAACAGGTACATTAGAAGATGCAAAATATAAAATATTGCGGTGCTTACCATAAGCATTGAGGTAGTCCACGAGCATTTTCGTGAAAATCCGTGTCAGGATGCTTGCTTCTGGAGAATAATTAGACTCTGGGCAATTGAAATGCATCTGAATGCATGCCTTTGGTGTACCAAACCTCGAATCGGCTTTGTACCAAAGTCTGTACATATCACTCTTCTTCAGAACGAAGGGGAACTGGACCTGCAGAGTAAAGTCAGAGCAACAGAGTTCTTAGTCCGACGAATCATGTCGAATGGAAAGACGTCCCGTCAAAATGAAGTTGCGAGCAAATGAATCGAAGACTACTGACCTTTGAGTCGGCATCATTGATAAGGCTGAAGTCCGTGGGAATAAGAAGGTTAGGATTAGGCAGGTGCAATCTGGGGTCAACATCAGCGGACTGCCATTTCTGTCACAAACAAAAGACAATGCCAAGTTTCAAGTTCCATCCCTTCCGGAGACGCATGTTCCAGAACAGAGCGTTCATCAGACAAAGAAAACCTGAAACCTTTTCCCTGCTTTTGGTCACCATCACAAAGGAGCATGTCCTCTTATTATGCTCGAGTAGACCTGTTATTAGTATCTCAAAACTCATGAGACCTTGCAGTCATTACCTTTCTGATCATTCTTTGATTCTTCCAATAAGCCTTAAAGCCAGATAGACGTTATGAGCACAAGACTCCAGATAGAAATCAAGAGCTCCTGCTGCTGACAATTCCAAGGCCTAACAGAAAATCTGCATTGTCAATCTCCCCTGTGTGTAAATCCCTCATCTACTGTCCTATGTCCTCGACTTGAAACTGTTCGACCATCCTGGCCAGCAGGAGCTCAAGACCCGCCCAGACTAACAGATATGTCACGTCCCGAAATTCCTCAAAAGATGACAGAATTCGATACGAGAGTTCGACAGAGACCTGTGACTAACAAACTTTCCAAGTCCTTACAGATGGCAAACTTCTCCATGATGGCTTTCCCATTGGTCTGAGTGGATCTTCCCGGCTCCCCCATGCGGGTTACCTACACAGTCCACGTTATGTCGTTACCCAGTTAACCCCTAGTAGAACCGATACTATCAGTGCTTAGTTCATACCCGGAAACACCTATCGTCGAAGGAAAGCTTTGAGTATAACTCCATTGTCTGTATCCCAACAAGCTGCAAACTGCAAATTTCTGGCAAGCAATACCATTGCGCTGCATCTCCAAAACGGATGCAGTAAGCTAATATATCCAGACGTCCATGACCCAAGTTAGGGTTTTAACGCATAAGTAATGCACTCGAGGGAATAGAAGCTGAAGGCAGGTATGTTCATCATAACAGACCAAGATTTACAGTGACAAAAAGAGAATAGTTGACCCTGCGAACCTTTGGAGCTTATACTAAGTGTTTTACAATAATCTAAAAACAAGCTCTCTGCCTCCATCCACAGAAGTACTCTACCTCCCTACTCCCATTGTTATTGAGAGTTAAGCTCAACTTCCTATCTTTGTAAGCATAGCTCGAAACAATGCATCCTAATTTTGACTGCTGCCTTGAATGAATAAGGAATAAGGGCCGAAGACCTCCCTAAAGAATATTGTAGACCAGTGTGGGAGAGAGCACATTCTGACTAAGACTGAATGCACGTATTACAGGATAATTTCCTGCATGGCTAGAGGCCGAGTGTGGCAAGCATGAATTTTTCTACGGTTCATATGGAGAGTACCGTGTACGGTTGAAGGGATCGCTACCACAGACCTTCACCTGAATCGCATATTTTCTTTTAATGCTTATTAGAAGGTTTCTCAGCCCTTACACGCTCCAATGTAGATTACACATACTGCATCTTGGTAAGAAGCCTCCAACTCTCTCCGGATGAGAAGATGTAGGCTTCCCTGGAATTCGGGAAAAGTGTACAAGAAGAGAAGAAAAGGGACTATACAAGGTGTTGGAGTTGCATGGAAGAGAGGGCTGAGAAGAAGCTCTACAATAAGAGTTCGAGTCCGTTAGACGGGCTTCCAAGAAGCTGGAGCTGTCCCTGAAAGCGTTTGATTTCTCTGAAGGGAAGTGGGGCTGGATGGATCGATGGATTCTGGTGGCTGATCGCTGCCGTTGTTGGGGCCGTTGTTGTATGTTCCGGAGGGACCCCTTTGTAGGTCGATTGAATCTAGGTCCCATGCAATTCCGCTATGGGCTACCACCAGCTGCCACACATAGGGAGTGAAAAAGTCCTCCGAGTGCATCTCCTCTTCGTAAGTGAATCTCAGTTGAGGGAATGTGTGCATAGCCTCCCCGCGCCACAACCTCGTGTGATTGACAATGGCGTCCAACACCCTCTCCACGGAACAGTGTCCATCTATGGACTTGAGTGGCACGCTGAAAAACTCGACAACTGTGTCAACATTGGCCACGAGCTCCTGGAAGCTTGGATGCTCTCTGTAAGGCTGAAAGAGCTCCTGCCGGTGCAAGAGTGCGTATACGACCTCTGGATTCCTTGGGAGTGCGTAAGTGAGAATAGAGTTGATAACTTCCAAAACTATCCGCAAAAAATCGGTATATATATGCAGCTCTGTCGGCACCTCCTCTGGAATTTCGGATGAAACATGGTCGCCTTCGGAAATGCAAATGGTGGTACCATGGGCATGAGTCTCGGATAACCTGGTATACTTGCGCGCAAGCATATCAAAAAGGCTTACCAGGCACTGCGAAGCATATGAGTTGAGTTGATGGCAGTGAGGTGCCATGTTGGCTAGAGTTGCTAAACAATTCGTGTGCAGATACACGTCCCTTAATTTGGACAAATTCTCCTTCACGATTCTAATCAAGATCACTACCATGAGAGAGCCCAGAGAAGTGCGAGGAAGTAACCGCTCTTTGTACCATGGGACACCGGGCAGCATCAATTTGTGTATGCAGGCGTTGAAGGACGCATCCTGGCTGAGAATCAGCAAAACGATCAAGAGCATGTAGATCTGGTTTGAATTACATCTCGAGGCGTTGTACAAAACCTCCAAAACCGGCACCAAAAGAGTGTCAAGATCCACACGAACTAACATGTACTCCAAGAATGTCGCATTTCCGTGAACCAAGGAGTACAAGAGCAAAGTCGAGCGTTCATCGGCCACCGTGGCACTCAGTCTCTCAAACAGAGCACCGTATGGAATTTTCAAAGCTGAAGTGATCTGTGCGTCCACTAGCTCCAAGTCATCAGCGTCCACTTGTTCGGAATTCAGAAGGGCGGGGTAGAAACTGGTATCTCTCAATGTTTCCAGCGCATCACGGAACGGATTGACTCCGGTGGCATTGGAGCTGGGGAGCAGTTCATCAATGGCACCGGAATCTGCATCAGTCTTTTCTCCGTTCTCTTCCGCGTACACAACTTTGATATTGTGCACCAAAACCAGGAGCAACAAAAGGCTGTTGTCAGCTAACGGGCTCTTGGACACTTCACCCTTCCCTTTCACCAAATTCGTGTACGAGGTCGAGAGAACAGACGCGGCTACGACGGTCATCCTCTCCAAAATACCTCCCTGGTTGTACGCTAGATACATTGCTGATCCAGAAGGCACGGGGAGCTTGGTGATGAAAGACACGAGCAGCTTCCGCACGAATGGACCGACCAAGTCAATGCCTTGAGTCAGAGCTGGCTCAAGGAAAGGATGCAGAATCTTTGGTGCTCCAATGTATCCAGTGTGCAGTTGAGTGGACATCATCACCAGGAGGAGGTTCACGACCTCCAAGTGCAACGAGTAGGTCCTGACATTGACGTCCGCCGTACCCACGAACTCGAGCAAGGTTCGAATTACCAGCTCAATCACATTCTGATCAGGTTTATGGATCTGGGTGGCATGTTCGTGGAGTTCACTCAAGAGAAGATGGTCGACTACGTCCGCATTGAACATCTCAATGAAATATTTGAGAAAAATCCGCGCGAAGCGCGTGGCGTTGATGGCCTTGATGGGAACCCCCGGACTGGTAGGCACTTCCTGTATCGTCCACACCATATGGATCAAGAGCTTCGCGAGATGTCCCGTGACCCTATCGTTCCGAGCTAGGCACTGGCAAGCTGCCTCCACGCGTTCCTGGCCCCATGGATACTCCAGTGGAACAGTGAGCAATCCGTCCCAGAATGGCGCCCCGAGAGGAAACACACTCGGCCCCACTAAAGTTCCCAAATAAAGCTCAGGAGTTCGTTGCAAGGCCGATCCTTCCCCGGGCTTCGAAGGCGTTACCCCCATTGCAACTCAACACCTCCGGGCGACCACTCTTCTTCTCCTCTTCTTCGGCCCTCCCCCCACGATCGCTCCGTGCGACTCCAGTTCAGCTCAGTCACTACAGATATCCCTGTCCGGGTTCTCAGATCCAAAACATTACTCCGGAATTTCTCTCCAGCGCCCGACAAATCTCGTCGATCCTCGGATCTGGAGCAAGAAAATTCTCGCGTCCATGGAACGCATGAAGCTAACGGATCAGCAACCGTATTCGCCTGCAATCGCCCTGGCCCGACCTCCGCTGCTTCCACAACGCACGGATCCGCAAATGCCAGGGTCCTGCCCAAAAGTCGAGAGATCCACAGCACCAACAATTGGCCTTCCCTGCGAGGGCTGCTTCTGTTGCGCTCCAGCCAGACGCAAATCCCGCGACGCTCGAAGCTCCTCGTCCCTTTATCGGGAGCGCGCTCTCGCCTCGCTCGGCAACTCTGTTCTCGCCCTCTCTCTGTCTCGCCCCGTCGTCTCTCTGTTCACGATCCTGCGGTGTGCGAACAATGGCATTCTGGCGCTCGGCACGCACGGCCCGGCCGGGGTTTTAAGTCCCGCGACGAGCCCGGCGAATGGGGTGGTCGGAGCTCCGTGGGTCGCGAAATGCCCACCAACGACGACAGCGACCGCGCGAGGCCAAACTCTCGTGAAAACTCGGGCCTCGGCCCAAACCCTATCAGAAAACGCTCGCCCCGCCTCTCGGCCGCTCCGGCCGTTCGATTCCGTCGAGATGGGTCGGACGACAACCGGGTCAAGAAGGTCCTGGAATACCGGCTACCCCTTCGCACGCAGTCCTCCTCCTTTCCTCGGCTTTCGTTCCGGGTCTCTGTTTTGTCCCATACACCGTCCCCTCCCCGTCCGTCTTGTTTCCCAAGCCTTCCCCACGCCTTCTCGACGGTTGAGTTCCTGACATGGAGGACCGGCTTCCATGCGCGCCAGCACTCCCGAGTTGCGACTGGTTTCGCGATCCCGTCCCAGTCAAGAGACCTCTTGGTCAGCCAAATTAGGGGAGACGGGACTCTTCTTCTTGCCCGCGCCAACGCGGAGGGGGAGGCTGCGCCTTCCTGGACTCGTGGAGCGTGCTTTATGGTCGCTTCCGGTGTCCCATCTTTCCCTTCCGAAACTCTAGAAAGGGAGAAGCTTCTTGAGCCGCGGGCTTCAAGATGAAGATTGGTCTGCTGGCTTGTTCGCTACATTAACATGAATCCGACGACTTTTTTCGCCATTCATCTCGGACCTGCTGACCCCCACTACAAGATGAAGGCTTGAAAGCGTCCGTTAGGATTGACCTCCTACGAGAAGTCACCCTCTCCCAATGTGACCGGCCGGACAGGTGTACAGCCAACTACCAAGCAAGCATCTCGACATGCATGTCCGGAACCGATGCTTAATCTCAGCATCGTTGCTGCCTAACCCACCCAGAAAGTGACGATTCCCCCTTGTTCCCAAATTGCACTACATATCAATAAACTATCAAGAGGAATGTCCTTCCACAATTCTTGCAAAATATCTACGATCAACTTTTCCCTGTGGGATACACCTGTCTTCCGTAACACCCAGCTACGGTACGGCCGTATAGCTTGAGCATCAGAATAAATCCCACTTGAAAGAAATCAGCTATTCACAAGCATTGGTGTGCTTCATGCCTTCCGTATTTATAGATGATCGTTCTGTACATTTGTCTGGTAAATCCCAACCTAAAGCTTTGTACTAAGGACAGGAAGGAGGCTGTGTCTCGATCGTCCTAAGATTCGTGGAGGCTGGAATCCGTTTTCGATTTTCAGGTGTTCTAGGTGAGAGGGTTAATGGAAGGTCAGCGGGTAAATGTAATGCCTCGCTTCTATATTAGATTCTTACGTCCAACATCTTATCTTAAAGTTAGACCCGTCCAGCCATGATGATGGACATGATTTGTATAGAGGATTTTCAAATCACCCTCCACAATGATCTAATCAGTGCTTTCCCACGTTCTGTGCCACTTGCATGACCCACTAGAAGACAAGAGTAAGTACACAAGGCCACTGTAGAAGTACGAAGGCTACTAGTCAGTAGCCACTAGTATGAAAACTCGACAACATGTTGAGGTCACGTATGCTTGCCAAAATATCCTTCACTTCCGAGAACTTCTCCTGAGATGAGGCAATAGATTAAGTGGATGCCCACTTGACAGTAGGGCTACCGGGGTACTAACGCAGAGCAATTGTGAATAGTGAGCATTCTTTGAACACGAGACTCAACATGCTTATTCACTTGTCAACTTTCGATTTGAGGCATTCCTTTCCCTTCTAAAAGAAAAAAAGTAAGTAAATCGCAGCAGGAAACTATAACCAGTATACAGTATTCCGAACTGTTTTGGTGACATGAGTGGAGTACAGCTTCTATGGCCGCATGCGCATAGCGTGCTTGATATCAAGGATGTGAGAAATTGAACAAGGGAGCGCTCAATGTCCTCGGAACTTGGAAAGGAGAGCTTCTAATGTAAATATTTCACTCCCCAGATTTGTAAGCATATTTCGATCTTCCCTGACTTCAGTTGTATTCCCAACATTGCGATGTAATTCATCTTGATTATATGTGAGTTTCAACTTTAGTTAAGCCCTGTAAGTGCGGCACATCCGTTGTACCTTCAACTACGTAACTAAGAAAAAAGACCTCGAGAACATGTATCAAAGGTGCATACCTTTATTAGGGATTCATCGATCTTCTTGCTGGTAAATCGTGTTCCATACCACGGCTCTTCATCTGTTGCGATGTCTTGAAACTTCTTTGAATGCCAAAAAATCCTGAAATTGTGGATATACAGAAGTGAATGCGTCTGGACCTTTTAAGGTATGAGTCATACACTAACTTTCTATTGTCAACCTTCACAATGTAAGATAAGAACAAATAAACATGACAGTTCTACCAATATTCATGTTTCATAACAGACGGATATGAGATACAGACTAGATTTCGAAGCAATCAATAATACTTGCCGAACATACCTAACTCTCTCCGGCGTCAACTGTTGAATTGCTTCTGAAAGAACCTCGCTATTGAAGTTACGGGGCAACATGGAGGCGGCAAGCCAATCTTCTGGGGGGTAGAGCTGGAGACAGAATTAATCACGAAGACAAAACAACATAATAATATCAGGCCATAACTTCAACAACCCTTCTCTGGGATAGTTTCCCCAAAAACTGACGATGTTTACGCTTAGGGATGTCGATATAGTGTAACCTGGTCTTGTAGTGAGAAAGGTCTTTCAGTGTCTACAGTCTCAGGAGCATAGTCTATAAATGATCTAGCGACATGCCACGTAATCGCAACATATCAGAGGAAGAACCAAAGCTGAATTAAGAAACGAGAATCAATAAATCACAATAGGACCTGATCTGGGTACTCTCATGGACCTAACATTCGCTCCAAGATATTCCGTCTATGACGCCAGTCAGACAAGATGAAGGAAAGAAAAAAAAACGTTGATGGTCAATACTGACCTGCATGTAGTTTGCAAGACTTGAGACGTAATGAACTGGAGTCATCTTGTCTTGGAAGTGGAATTTCATATCGCACACAGCTTGAAGCTGAAAGAAAACAACATCGACATGCCACATCGCGCAAAAAAAAATCATTCTCCAAGAAACAGATAAACTTTGTAGTCAAATGCTCCCAACTACACGCTCAAATGCATAACATAGAGGGAGCATCTGTATCTACCAACCTCAAAGATAGAAGGACAATGTTTTATTCCAAATTAAACCCATAAAGTTTCACTTACATAAAAATGGATCCATAAACATACCTCCTTAAATATCCATTCAGCAACACCTTCCTTTCGAAGAACACTGAGGTATTGGAAAGTGAATCCTACCACCTCCTCCATATGCTCTACAAACAAGCACCATGAATTCAAGTTGTCAGAAGTCAATTTTAAAAAAAGGACCTCCTAAATTTCAAAGATAAGAGACAAATTGTTCGTGAAAAAGACTTGGCTAATAATTCGATCCAAACTTACCGAATCCTAATGAATTATGAAGTGTTGAAGGAAAATGGATCATAATAACTGTATGTATTGTTAATCATCTCTCATGCTACATAGAGAGCACCTATGCAGAGCAGGCAGGATCTAAAAAAACAGTTCCTCACTTGGTGCTATGTATAAAGTTCTAGAGGAAAGATAAGGCTCTAATATTTTTCCTAGAAGGTTAAAGTGCAAACACTAACACGGTTGTGAGTCGTGAAAGTTATCCGTGACGTTCGCCTAATGATAAGAGCTACTAATCAGACTGACATCTCGCATCAGGTTTTAAAAAAATATAAGTCAGTGCAATACTCTGATGAAATAAAGATTATGGGTAGTTAACTACATGCTCTACATTTCACAACAGAAATTCTAACTATTCCACTGAAATTTATGACAAAATTTTCTACGAAAAAAAGTCCGTGCAATATGTTGACCAAAAAGCTAAGATGGGTGATTTTACTACACGCTCGGCATTCAAAACGTCTAATATCATAAAAAGAACTTTTACACTTCCCAATAATTGAGAAAAGCTAGCACCTTGTCCAACATCCGTCAGTTCGATGTCGACAATAAAAAATGCAGAATCAAGGTTGCTCTCCATCTCCCCAGCACTTAAACTGTTTGCCCAACCTGCAAAATGATTCAATCTTAGTACATTTGTAGTGAAGTTAGATATCATTTCAAAGAACAGAGGCACAGGAGGTAAACGAAGATAGAATCAAGTAACGAATTTCTAACTTGGAGAGGACAAAAGTCGTCATTTGATGGGACATTTCCTACGGTCATTAAGTAGTCGGAGAGCCCTGTGTTCTGTTGTCCGAATGAAAGAGAGATACAAGTTCTAAGTCACTTCATGTTAGGAACTTTTTCCAGAATCAGCAATTTGATACTTTAACATATCCCCGTCCATCAAAACCAAGACTTCTTCCAAACCATAACTGGAAAGAAAGAGGCATACCTAACTGTTTAAGAAGAGCGAACAAGGAGCCATCAGCTTCATGCCCGATCAGATGTCCAATATAGTGAGAGGGTGCTTCTCGATAATTCTGCAGCTCAGGCGTGACTGGCCACATGAGCATAAGAGTGTGACCTTCCCGTACCGGAACTGCCTTCACCAGGATCTGTACAAACAAATGATCAATACTGAGTATTACTAAACCTTATTACAATGGACACTTCACGTCAGACATACGGTGAGAAACACGGCCACATTGCTCTGTACCCCCGTACAGAAATATACAAGAGAAGTCCCAACATAAGGATCAAACGAAGGTGAATGAAGATCATCATATCAATAAGCAGTGTGTTTCCACAACCCAGCAGATCCGCACGATGTCACAGACAGAGGGCGATTGGAGAACTAGAAGTAGTTTAAATCATAGCCTATTCTAAGAAAGGTACACACACTCTCAAACTTATACAAGCGTTGAACTCATGAAGACGACATAAAAATCTGAAGACTGGTATCGGAGAAACAAAGCTTCTCATATGTTGAAACATGCAAACTTCCTTGATATACAATAGCAGCAGACAGAGTTCCTTATCTTCATTTCTCTCAGAGAAGGTAACGCAACTCAATGTCAAGAAACCCCAGGGTTATGTGGACATCAACAATGTTCAGAAGATGTTCACGAAATTCCAAACACGTGCGCGAAACATCAAGGGTTTTCATTTGACTTCTGCGGTGTACTTCTGGATTGAAGTTGACCAACCGCATGTCTACTTGACACAGACAGATCTCACAGATCGTCCGGTCTCGAATCACACAAGGTCGGACAGGACCTTATCAACTGCATGACACGTACTGTTCTTGTTAGAAGGAGAGTAGCTCACTTGCAAATGCTCCGCAGAGCATGGCTGACCAGGAAACCGCACTATATCCTTCTTCGAATTTTTGACAGCACTAAGCTTCTCTTCAGCAAGCTTCTGAAGCTCGTCCAAGCTTTCTGCGGTAAGACAACATTTGACAAGTGCTCGCGTTTTGAGTACAACAAACAGCTTCCAGATAGAGGACGAAGAGGATGAAGACCAGCTAACAATTAAGAGCACAACACACAAGAAAACATAAGGCTCAGATATTCAGCTTTGGAGGAGCATCACATCTCAGACCTTGTCCTGGACAAAGCAGATCATACAACAATATATTCTGTGTCGTAAGAGATCACTGATATCAACAATATAAATTGAGAGATAAATATCTACCTCTTCCATAAACAGCGAGACACATCAAATTGGACGAATAGCGTGCTTCGTAGAACTTGAGCAACTCTGCTCGAGTGTCTATCCCTTTTTTCTTCGGGATTACTTCAAGAGTTTCCAGACTTCCTGCAAACAAAGAGAAAGCACACCGTGAGTTCCCCACAAACTAGTCTAACGGCCCTTCGGAAAGATATTCTTTCAAGCAGCTTCAATAGAAACACATATTCCCAAAATTACTTTCGCAAACGACGCGAAATAAAGTATGTTCATTTGAAATTTGACTTGAGGTTAACTGTACGTAACTGTTTCAAACTTACCAGTTCCAAACTTGTAAAATGGATGATCCTTGGAAGTCAAGTGCCTCGCAAGCTGGGAACAAAAACAAAAACGCAAAAATCTGATCAAATATTTTATCCCTGTTTACTACTAGACTACACCAGACAAGTGGCACAAATATACATAGCAGATATCTTTCACAAAGGAAGAAGCACGGAGCAAACAGCAATATTTTGTTTACCTGATTCATGCGCCACACATCCGTTGTAAGATTCTTGCTGTTCTCTACACACACAGAAGAAGACGCCCAGTCAAATGCTACAAACAAACACCTACTTCCGAAGCATGTAGGAATAAAGATGATACCATGCATTCTGACTGAATACGAGCAAGTCACAGAGCTTCGGTAGAGAGAGACAGTATCAGGGACTGAGAACTATATATGTGCTCTAAAAATCAGATTTGCTAAGCTCATCGAGCGGGTCCCTCATTCTCGTCATATTCCTCGTTAGATTCCACAAAAACAACCAAGCAAGTATAATAGTCAAGACACAAAGTACGTGCATCATGTGAATTTGGTCATGCACATAATGTTGAGTAGAACATACCAGAATCTACAGCTTTGATTTCTCGTGAAGTAGCATCTGCTGCGAATAGAGGGCAGATAAAAAACTGGGCAAATCTGCGTATGCACAGCACCAAAGAGTTAGATTTTTATTCGTCCAATAAGTTGTAACATGACCTCAGCACCTTAACCCAAAGAGCCCTGATTGAGGATTACCTGTCGAGTGCTTCCACTAAGTGGTCAGCACTGACTTCGAAGTGAAAATTTGTGTGCTCCGGAGCTGTGTAGGCATTTGATTGGCCTCCATGCTGAAATTTGACAATTTATGTAACATAATTATCAGCTTCGTTTCAGCTTCTAAGTTAAGCAATACGCATACAGAACACAAAAGTATTCGAATATATTCAAGAGATTAAAGGTTTAGGACACTCAGTTTGATCAGGAAATGAGTTATACCTCCACAAGAAACTTGAAGAAGCTGTCTTCGTCTGGGTACTTTTCACTTGAAAAGAACAACATGTGCTCTGCAGTACCCCACACATTAATACTGAGACGAGAGCAGGACTATTGCTAACCATGCTTCAACTCTTTTTTTCAGCGACTCCTCACTGCGTCCTTGACTCGATAAATTTTCCAAACCCTTCTCCAAACGAGATGAAGCTTACCAAGAAAATGAGCCAGACCGGGTAGCTCCTCTGGATCACTAAATGATCCAACATGTACGTCCATAGATCCAGCGGCCTATATTTTGACGATTAACACGTGTTTAGCAGAGCTTCAAGAAGCATGGTCTGATACATAGTTAGCAATTACTCCCTTTGATATGTAAAAGTACAAAGTGCATTCTGGGAAGGCCTAGATAGTTGATGCACGAATACAGACAACAGACGGTCGTCCTTTCAGAGTTCTCAAAAAGTAGCTTTTCGTTCCCTATACTGTACTTTTTTTTACCTTCACAAGTATGCTTGTTTCTTTACTTGTTTCTTTATGTTTTGAAAAGAAAATATAATAAACAATTTGAATTTGAAGTTTCTGAATAAAGAAGGTGAGTATTGATACTCATAAAAGGTGTGCAGTTCATCTAAAACTGAAACCTCAACTGGGCTGAAAGCACAATTCTGACCAGCGCACAGGACATGCCAAAGCACATGCTTTGGGGTCACAACATGCACCTCCGACCACAAAAATGGTCAGAAACGGTGTGCAGGATACAAAAACTTTGAAAAATAACAAGATCCTTCAAGGACTGGATTTTAATAAGCAAAAGATAACCTGTAGCAAACCTGCATTCGACATGTTCATCACACTAGGTATACTGAACCGCCAACTTGGTGTTAATTAGGGTTCAAATTGATCACCAAAGTGTGGAACAAGCTACATGTCCATATAAGCTTTTCTCATTGCTTCGATGATGTTGTGACTCTATAGCGGGAATATCCAATCTCATGCTTGCTCGGTCATGTCACCGAAGCGATCGTGCCCAATTGAGAAATTTGAGCACGATCGCTACACCTCTTTTGATAGAGATTAGCTCAAGGGAATGATCCCTTTCGTTCGATTACAGCAAGAGTAAACGTTGGACTAAGGAACTATTAAGTTTTCAGATAATGTCGGCGGAGGTTTGCTACCGAGATATGAATACAGACCGTAATCGAGCTAAACAGACGTTCGATCAACTCATGCGATTGAATTCCGCATCCTGAGGATTAAACACACAGCCTTCAAATTCCTGAAAAATCCTAATTTCGCTAATTTCTTCTCTACATCGAAGCTGAGACGACTTCCAACCACGAATAAAATTCTTGCGGGCGCTCTTGAAGTACCTTGTCAGTATCAGGATCACTGATAAGCAACACCTGCAGAGCATTGGGCAGGACAATTCTGCGATAACTTCTGCCATCAGAACGAGGCTTCAAAATCGGTGCGTCCGCAGGGAGACCGTCTTTGAGACTCATGGATTGCACAAGCTTGGAGGAATCATCTTCAGGAGCGCCCATTGCAAAGATGGGCCTGAAGCCGGAAAAGGCGTCGACGCCGCTGCTCTAACACCTGTTCCCGCTGCTCCTGCTACTGTCGTTGCTGCTGCTCCTGCTGCTCCTGCTGCTCGACGAATGCGATTGGTAAAACGCACCAGCCCAGTGACAACACCAGGCGGTGGGTACCGAGAGGCCCACCACGCGAAAAAGCTGAGAAACAAAACAAAAACGCTCCCGGGCTTCCCACCTTCGAAGGGCCTTCTCTCAATTGCCCACCCTCAAGCCAACAAACAACAGTTGGGACAATCCAGACAAAAGGCAACAGAGAACCGAATCAATCAACCCATCCAGCGCCAGGCACGAACCGGAGCTACATGAACAGAACCTCCCTCCCGTTCAAATTCTCCACTCCGCGACCCGAGCGACAACCCTCAAAACCCGGACACCGGCGAATGTTTTGCGGAATCTGCATACGAACGGAGATGAGGCGACATTGGCCGAGAGAGAGGACGAAGCGGGCGATTGATTCCCTCTGTGCACAGCTCCGGCAGTGCTAGCGCCAAAAGCTCGAGTGCAAGGACGACGACGAGGACGAGGCCGAGCCTATAGCGATCTTGAAATTTACTGCTTAAAACTCAGTCCGCGTACAGTATCACCGTACTCTACGACCACGTACTGTTTTAATACACGTACCTCAGTATGTATTCAATACGCATGGTTCCGTGGAGTACAGTAGAGAGAAAGCGTACAATTATGGGCCTACGCCGTTCCCTGCAACCGCTGGGTACTTCCTCCCGTTCTTCAACTCACTTCTGCTGCTTCTGGTTTCAAATACCCCTGGCCAGCTCGACAAATCCTCCTACACTCACGTCTGCTGTACTTTTCAGTCCTTCTTGTTGTTTGACCTCGTGCCGTTCCAGTGCTACGACGCTGAACCAGAATCGGGTAAATGGCCAGAGTACAGTACTCTATGATGAAGGTATCCGAGAGAAAACAGGAGGAAGAATAAATTACAAACCGAAGGTATTGTGAATCTCATGACACCGTGGTGAGTGTGCGCAGGTTCTATTAGATTGTAAGTTAATTTGGTCAAGCTTTGTTGTTTCGGAGGTTGAGATACTCCTCAAACAATACAATATCGATCACATCCCCTTATTAGGGAACGTTATTTAATGTTTCTCTCTTATGACTCCACGTGTCGAGAGCACTAAAGTCCAATGGCCTCTCACTTGGTGTAGTCACAGCACTGAATAATGTGATACTCAGCAGAAGATACCATTATACAGCGAAGCTAGCTTGTGAGGGCAAACATAAGCAAAATACATTAGAAAGTGGAATTCACGTGGGAGCGAGAGCGCAGTATTCACATTCAGTCGTATAGTTTATGAGTGATCAGCTTTTGCCCGTAAGATTTCATTTTTCTAGTAGAATAGTGTCACGTAACTAGCTTTTTATAAAGTTATTAATTTTGAACTCAATGATTGATGACTAAAGTGCTTCAAATTGGGAGTAAAAAGTACTAAAAGGGTTGATTTACACTGTATCTTTCACGCTATATGTTGAAAGGCAAGCACATTGTAAAGTTTTCAGGATCTTCATCAGGTAAAAATGACAATGCGGTTGAGTCTCTAAGAGTTATGACATTCAGCAGAACGCTATATGATAAGAAAAAAACTTCTTTCTTTAGGACAACTAAAATGTCTTTGTTCAGTTGGTAAGAACATTATGGACTCCAACTCACTAGAATTATTTTACGCGTATTATAGACTGGGCCTACAAAGGAAGTAACAAGAAAGCAATGTTTATTCAGATATTTACTCTTCAGATGCAATGTTCAGTCGAAAGTCTTACCTATTTTATTAAGTTTTGAAAACTTTTCAAGCAACAAGTGACGATTCGTCCATTGCGATCCGCACGTCACAGTATGGCCTGAATCTGACGTTGTATCTGGGTGATATCGCCCATATATTTTGCTACCTTACATGTTTCTTCCTCTGATGTGGTCCTAGAAGAGAACCGTCAACCTCACGTCTGATGTGTTTTTATAATGTGGGCTATACAATATGTAACATCTCAAGCAGTTATGACGCCTAACAAAAGGATATGAGCGTCAAAGATTATTATCTGTTATAATCTGTCATATAGCTTATTAAATCGAGAACAAGGGTGGAGTATGGGTCCAAGGGCTGACAATTTATTTCCCATGATGAAAGTCTTTATACTCATCATAAGCTACAGGGATATAATCTGAGTGATTGCATCATAAGCCTTGGCTTATGATGCAATCACTCAGATTATATATAAGTCCAGTGGTCAGATAATCAATGAGGGGAAAAATAAGGATGCAACTTGCTTTGACACTTTGGTCTTGCTTCACTCCCTCTTCTGTCCCAAGATCCTACATCCTTGCAGTGTAGTCTGATCCACTTCTAAAATTTTTTGGAATCCACTATCATCTCGCTATATTCCACATGTCCTCCGACGTAGACATGTTATCTATGTTTATAGGCCATGCAGCTTCATGTTTGTGATGAAGTCATGACCAAGTGCTTCAAAACATAACAAAGAATGACACATAGCCTTGTAGAGCACAAAACTCTAGACCCTAATATGTTCCACCAAGTACATTATACAAGCTCCAATTTCCTGACAATCTTCTCTCGTCTGATAAAGAGTAAGATCAGCTAAATCCATTGCCAAATCTAACCCTTAATATTAGATGTGAACGATGAAGTTACTATTATTACACGACAGGTAGTGGATATGTACTGGGTCCGTTGAGTGATAGAGTTTTAATAACTTGGACAATTTGACAGACTGTGCGTCTCTTGAGTTCTTCCTTGTCCTTCTTCTCTCTTGTGGGCATCTGATGCGGAAGGGCCATAACAAAGCGGGTAGCGTACCACGACGAAACCAATGGCAAATTCGCGATATGAAATTCGCAACATTCGTACAAAGCAATGACACAACACAGATACAGTACAGTACAAGGCTTACTGACCTTCATGCACAGCATCACCGGTCAACAAGAACCACCTACTGATAATGAATAATAAATACCAATACATCTACTACATCTTTCACAAATTAATCGTTCACATCAATAACATTCATCCGAACTTTAATTGTTCGGTAATACTTCATCAAGAAACATTTCGTTCTCCGAGTGCCACGACCGTTCGACGCAGGAACCCTAAACCGTGGAACCGCAGAAGAATCACTGACGGTCAGGTGATTGCAACAAGTCCAAATTCTCCTGCGGTTCAATCTGATCCTACAGATGTGTCTTTGGTATAACGGAGCTATGACCTTTTCGCGATGAACATTGGTTGCACGTGAGGTTTCAATGGCAACGAGAAGATCCGTTCCAGCAGATTGGACCCGTTGTGGAACAACAGCGAGCCGGTCCAAGGGGCTACTACTAAGCACCGTACGGCACATGCTAATGCCGATGTGCTGCAGTCGAGGGTAGGCAAGAGAATCTGAAGAGTATGGAGCACGTCGTTTCCGCTATATCCAACGCGATCAGTTGCGAGGAAAAAACATTGAATGCTCTTTTCGACGTGTCACTCACGAAAGTACTCGAGAACTTGCTGGTAGAGAGATTTACTACAGCGCCTTTCTCGTCGATCCGATCGAGAAATTCTCCCTTCAAAGGTCAATCGTCGGCACAACGAATAGGGTAGACAGAACTTCAGGGCTCATGATTGCGACCTCGTTCGCGGAAAAGCCTATCATAGCTTCTGGTTGTTCCTTGCCCATTTTACTCTGTGCTCATCACGGTAAGAGATCAGAACTTACAATAAACCGGACCAAACTCATCGTAATTCTTTTCGTGTGAGTTTATTCTCAGTAGTTACAAGATACTCCTCGTGTTCAGGATCCCCATGTATCGCTGTCGCGACTGAGAGCGCGCTCACACATGACGATCTAAATTCATCTAAGCTAGCGTGGTCCCTCCTCCAAGGAACTGCTCCTAATCGAGTCCTTTCTTTGGTGAGTTTGACAAAGGTAGAGTGTTCTCTTTGCTATTTCCTTCCTCTAGAAGGAAGAGGAGTGTTGAGCATGCCAGTTGTTAAAACTTGTAAGGAGTCGCACGAGACCGAGAGTGAGCGGGAAATGTGATGACTTTCAGACTGGGAAATGGTCTTACTTAGAGCATTAAGTCGCCCGGTAGAAGTTTGTTTCGTTGGAAAATTCCAGGTGTCAATGAGTAGATCATTCACAAGATCATCCATATGTGAAGTTTGTAGGCCCGTAGAAATTTGACTCCGAAGAGCAGCAGCTTCTGGGCTTTGGGTCAAGTGTTGGAGATTCTGAAATTCGGTTACAATGGTGATACCTCAACACATGTGGAAGTTGGTGATGTCATTAACCTGAACGAGTCCATTTCATGCGACTAGCTGAGAATTGAAGACCCCTGTGCATGTAAGTAGGCATGTGGTACTCCTTGGTCATCCAGCGTACCACTGCAGGTCTTCATCCTCAGACTGTGGGCTGAGAAACAGGGCACCACCTTCCTACACGTCTGCCCCACGTCACTCCAGGTTCAATGGCTGATTGTTTCCTAAGGGTTTCCCGTGTTTCTTCTGGTCACACGCAGGCATCAGCTTCTCTGTGATGTGCTCCCCAACACGGACTTCCAGATCATTATCTTCCACTGACGAATTTGGGTTAACGAGGGTGTAAAAGTGTCATAAGTCTCGGGAGAATATAAGAAACATAATGAACTTTGAACATGCACGAGGAGATATTGCGATTTCAAAGTCAGCAATGAGCTGCAGTCAAGATTAAAATGCGCATGACAATCAACCTTGTGAAATTCACCTGGCAATAAAACCAGTGATGCCAGCAAAGGATCAGTTTATATACAGCAAATTTCAGCAAGAGCCTGCTGCTAATCAGCGGAAATTTGTTTGTTCAAAAGTACACTCGCACTGTCGACATCTCTCTAAAGCAAAAATCAAGCCAAAGCCTTTATAACATCAGCTAAACTGAAGTCATGAAATGGTGGACCTGAAAATGTCGGCAAGTACGGAAAAGCCGTTAGTTAGTGTAGAACCAGTCAAACACGTAATGTAACGGAAAACACAAACGTACATTATAGAAATAGAAAAAAGCAACTAAAAATCAATTGACCAACTGAAGTCATGGCGTTTACTTCTAAGACCTCCCCGCATGGAAAAGTTTCATCTAAATGGAACGTCTTTCATGATATAACTGGCTAGGCTTACCTTCTTTCTCGCCAAGCAGATAAAACGGAATGCTGGCCACTGCTTTTGTGTCTCCATCTGCCCACTGGATATTTGTTGGATGGTTACGATACCCCACTGAAGATCCCAGTATCGAAGAACAGATAGCCGGTTCGTGCATCAAACCCAAGTAGTCTCTGGCTCGTCTCCAAACTGCTTTATCCACCACTTGATGAGATCGAGCAACCTGTTTCAATGAAATGGTTCAAACCGACAGGGGCGGAAGTGAACTTGAGTGGACAATGCAGCAGTAACAAACACTAGGCATTCACCCTTGGAAGTACTTGAATTTTATACATGATTGTTACCTTAGCCAAGCAAACACGAGCTCTTGGTAACAGCTCTCGATGACATGTTGATAACTTTGCAATGGCAGTGACCACAAAGCACAGCAACCTCGCTTGAGCTGGAGTTCCAGGGGTCATTGATCCTGGTGTTTTCAACCAGGTGTCCGCAGAGAGAGATATTCTAGCGGCCCGACTGCACAGATGGACAAAAAAACCTTCAGAAATGCCATTACAGCTTCTAAAGACAAACCATTCTACTGGGTTGGGTGACTTTTGCAGGTTCTTCAGAAGTGTATAATTAGGTAGTGAACTATTGTCGCAGCTCTTAACATTCCGAAAATCTACTCCTTTTCATGTGTTCTAAGAAACTGGTCCAGATTCTACGGGAAAGGTCCACTATGACAGTATTATACAGTTCGGTCAGATAGGAATCAGAATGAGCTGACTTGAGAATCCTCCGGCACTACGTCTAAGGTGCGATGCCAGACCTGGAAGATAGATTTTCATATAGCACCAGTTCCAAAGATTCAAAGAGCTCGCGAGCAGCGTCTTTGTGATCAGGCCCACCACCTCCATATTCACCAACGGCCCAACAGAGTTGTAAGGCCAGCTCGGCCTGTATGCAAATACTTGGTCAAACACTTTGAAGAAGCTGATGCAAATACAAATCTTTGATTCTTTTGACGAAAATTCATTCCCCGTTTAGCTACAAGATACACGAAAATGACTTGAAACGAGGTGATAAGCATTAAGCTACGGAAAATGTTAAGGAAATTGAATACATAAAAACGAGAAAACTGCAGTTCCATCCGAACTGATTTCCGAAAGATATTAAGTTATTCACGAGTCGATGGGAAAAGATGTTGGGACGATGTGCAACCTTGGTAATGGTGGTGTAAGTTTGCCCAATACGGTCCATAATGGGTTTCTGTCATTGAGATATATACAGTGTAAGTACCAGAGATACAGGTATCTCAAACTTGGACTGGAAAACATAGGGCTGAAGATTACGGTAACTCTGACCAGCAGAGATAGGAACTGCTTAGTATTGGCAGATAAATATCATACAACGCACTATTCCAAAATCCAGAACCTCAACGGAAAACATTGTTTGAGGAGCAGGATACAACTATATAAAGATAGACTAAAAGACATAGTGAAACGGAAAAGTTTCCACAAAATGCAGGTCATTACCTTCAATACGGCGATGAAGTGGGGGGACTGCTTTAGCGCGGCAAGAGTAAATTCCATACATTTCTTTCGCGCCTGCGACCGAATGCAAACCCAGATACGAGAAACTGACGATAATTCACGTCACTGCAGTTATACTGGAGGAAACGCAAGACAATGCTATCGGGCCATATGTGCTACGTTAACATATGGCCCGTTCAGTTTATATATCAAGTCTCGAAACTTCACTCAGCTCTTGACGACACGATTTATTCGACTATGCATGTCCTGTATTTTTCACAGGTTCACAATGCTCGATACGAAAGCCGGAAATATCACAGATTCAATAGTGGCTTTCAGAATTTACTCACTATCATGAAGTCTAGTACGTTTCTATTACATCTAGACTTGCTGTGAATTTCCCACCCCTCTGCGTATTTCTGTGTATATCTTGGGCCCAGTACCTGGGTAAAAGTGAGAACAAATCCAACACACTTCTGCAAGAAAGATCATGTACCTCAGTGGAGAAATCTTTATCCGGGAACATGGCATCTACCCTCCAAAAGAGAATTGGAAGTAAAGCACATATCAATGCTGGCACATGACGAACATTCATTCGTCAGTGTTTCAAATTTAAGAAATGCACGTCTTGACTGGATTCCTCTTACATGAGAAACTTTTCACACAATTTCATGAAGTTTACACGAATACTACGAAGCATGTGAATCAAACCACTTGGCACAAAGACTGGCCCGGTTCATTGTGCTGCACAGCTGTGGAAGATATATCGAACATAATGTCTATGAAGTTGAAAGCTTGTCGTAAAGAGTCTGATCCGTGACTGACGAATAAATGAAACTGGTTTTCAAAGAGAAGGAGCAAGTAGAATTTTGGTCAGGGACACACAATCATTTACATCTCGTAGGGCCACATCAAAATATATCTGAAGCAATGTAGGTGCCAATCTGAAGGCGTGCTTCAACCTGTCGGATTGAGTACCACCCATAGCTATTTGCAAGGCAGCAGCCATGCCAGGAAAAGACCAATGTCGTTCCTGTAAACTCAAACAATGAAGAAGGGCTTTGATCAGGTTCAACGTTTTATCACATTGAGTTTAAATTTAGTTGATGAAGAGAGGGTGGATCTTGCGATATTTCAACCGACAGAAAACAACGTACTGCGCTTGTCTCCAATTGATGTCTACTCTTGGTTATCATTCAAAATCATTATCAAAGACAAAACTTCAATCTAGCTGAGAACGTGACTGGACACACCGGAAGGCCTTCATTTTCATCTTTCAAAAGATCAGCGAACAGAGCATCTGTCTCGTCTCGTGAAGTACTTTCACCCTCGTCACCAGACTCCGCGCCACCTCCACCAACTCCACCCGTGTATGCTTCGTCCATGAGAGCTAGCAATGCCTTCAACGCGTATGTTCTTTATCAGACTAAGAAACATACTATTCCAAAGGTACACTTCAGTAGCAAACATGAACAAAATTAAATAATCAGATATCACGCTGGTTTCTAGAAAAATACACAGCATCTCATAAACGCAGAAGGTCTCTACTAGCTGCCCGGACCCTATAGCACATGACAAACGCGAACCAACTTGCCTCAGGTGCAGGGCTTTTGCGGGCAACTGCTCCGTTGACACTTATAAGCGTTCCCGTTCGTTGTTCAAGGCTTTCCAGAGCCAGGACCAAAGCTGTTATCGAGGGATAAGTCAAGCAAATGAGGTGAGAAAATTATAGGATGCACGGCTAGGAGTGCAAACAAATTTCGAAATATCAAATCTTCACAGTTCAACTCAGTTCCTTACATGGTAGGTCCAAAATAGCTGGAAACAAGGGTAGGAAAGATGATGGGCCCACAAGAGCAGGCAGCAGCTCCATGAATGCATAGTCCAACCTGCGAAATAATGAACGATCAGGCGTAATGCAGAGAAAACAGCTCTTGAAAATATCTTATTCGCACAGAATGTCCAATTTTGTTTGTTTTGTGCGGTACAGACATGGACATATAATGTGCATGTATAAAACAAGATTATAAAAGCTTACTTGCTGTCTCCCCAGGCGATAATTTTGAACAGCAGTGGGAAAAACTGCAGAGCATTCAGAAAACGTATTCAGCTCAAGCCTTTAAAACTCCAAATTAGCCTGACAGCCGTTGAAAGTTTGTAAAGAAAGCGTCTGAGCGGAGGCGAAGTATCAAACCTGCGAAAGCAGTGATGCGTGAAAAAGTAGAAGTTTGGTCTTGTTTTGGTTCAGAAAGTCTAAAGTAGCTTTTGCAACTGCGGGATCAGCATAAAGCCTGTGAACGAACATAAGATGGTGGACATTTGTCAGCAGTGGCTAAATTACCTCACATGCAGTAAAGCCCCTATGATAAAGACTAGACACGGACTCTTCCTCGTACGCTAGCAATACCTACCTGCTGAGAGAAGATCGAAAAAATTGTCGTAGACTTGGATCTGAGTCATGGAGTACAGATTCTCCATAATCCAAAAAATATTGCAGAACTGCCTGCATAATTCAAAGAGGTTGAAGTTAACTCACCAGATATTTGATACTTAATCCAAGCTACACTGATGTTTCACAACGCAAAGAAGAAAACTATGTACGATGTAGAAGACTTTGTACCAGTAAGATAAGACCATGGCTGGGTCTCATTGCCGCTCCTGATGCACAAAATCTCTGGAACAGCTTGGCAATTTGTGGATACACCCTTGCTACTAAGTCCCCACTCTCGTCTTCCTTGCATAATGCGTACAACTTTCTCACCTGGTGAAGAAGCGAACCAATTGGTGATTCAACATTACAATTTCTTTTTTAACCGTCCTCGAAGAGTATGATTGAATTCAATCTCAGAACATGTTATGGCGTAACTAAATAACAACACCCAAACAGAAATCTGAATGGACAATACATGATCCAAAATCTGTGTCAGTATCAAGTTGAAATCACAATAACCAAGTTCCACTGAATGTATTGACGCCACTTTGACAAAGCAAATGAATTTGAACTGAACTTGCCATTCTAGAAACAACATTAACGACTCATAAATTGGTTACAATGCCAGGAATCTGGTTATATGGAACGTACTCATTTGGTGAGTTCAGAGGATTCATAAAGTTTTCAAGGTGAGCGATTATTTCCATGCCTTCCAAAGATGAAAAAATTAGGCGTGTTTATTTCAGACAATTCTCACAACATTCGGAGAAAGTGAGATGTTATCGTACCGCCTCAAGCACTGCAGTGTCCGACGCTTCCGCAGAGGCAGGCGCTGGACTGTCTCTCACGGTGTGAGACAAAAGGCGAAGACAGAACGCCAAATCTCGATCGGAAACATTCGTCGTCATGGCGCTGCACTTACACTCAGCAGATGGCAGAGAATTCTAAACGGGTCTAAACGTAGCCAGTCATCACATCACACAGAAGAACACCAGCATCAAGATCATAAATTCGTCGTCACTGTCTGTTCCACTTGTCTTCGGCCTTCTCCCTGCGATGGCTTCGACGGCGTGCCACTGGCGTTATAACAAAACTGCATATGCTCTCGCCCGCAAGATTTCCCGACCCAACCCAATCACTCGGAGCTTCTGGACATAAAGGGTTGCACTCGCGTTCCAAAAACAATCTGCACAAGCATACTGAATCGGAGAAATCCCTTTTGGATCTGGAAACAGTGATCCGAGAGACAGTGCAATGCTACTGGCAGCACACCTTCCACCTCCTGTAATCGTGAGTTCTTTCGTCAAAACATCAAATTTTTGCTCCAGCAGATCCACAGCACCAAACTGCCACAATGAAGATTTCTGCGCACATGAATTGCTGCGGACAAATTCATCCCGACCGAGCTATTTCTGGGATCCCAGCGCAGTGCGTTTGTTTCTTCTGCTTCCGCTGCTCTCGGTGTTCCACTTCCTTCATGCCACGGCTGCTCCAAATGCTTTCACGGACTGTGGGTCCGACCGAACATGTCTTTTTCTGCTCGCTCCGGAAACAGCAGTACGTGGATCTTTGAATCCGACAGTGAGATGATAAATTCTCTTCGTTCCTAAGCGATGGAAGATTTGCATCTATTCTCTACAATATTCAGCCACTTTGTGTCTTGCGCCTAGCCGGAAATTTACTCACTTCACATATTTGCTCCATGTGTCGCGAGAAGTGTAAGACTACCAGATTTTCATATTGAAAATCTGTTGATATTTAACCTCGATATAATTCAGCTCCCCCGAAGTATTAAGCATTAATAAGTTCTGAGCTTTTTGAAGACTCGTACTGCTGTAGTTGTGGATTTCCTTGAGACAAAGTCTAAACAGGAGAAGAGAAAGAAGTTTTAAGTTTGCAGTGAAGTCCACATTGTTTAAAGTCTCTGAAGTGATGGAGTGGGAATCATGTTGTATAAGGCGCTGCAGACATTCTAACAAGACATAGCACACGTATACAAGTTCATCATGAATATAATCACATAATATACGTAAATGCTTGAAGACATACAACTTTGCATTAATCCTTGCCACAATTCTGATGTGTTGGATAGGATGATGATAATAGCTCCTCCTGGGAAGAGATCAACTTCACTCGACTTAACTTAACACAATTTGGCTAATTGTTCATTTTAAGCCCAAACGTAGTATTTAGGCACAAGAATATATCTAGGGAGTATTTTATGACTTCTTCGACATTATTCACGATTACAGTATCCTCAAAGAGAAATGAGCATTTTGACAAAATCTTGTAGCGCTTTAAATGTTATTGACTGTTCACTTTTAACGTACAAGCCGCTGATATGTTAAGTATATATACATCAGTGAGACGCCCCACTACTTGTGGAAGGACTCACTCACTTATCCTTCACTTAAAAGTACTAAGATAAGGTCCTACTTCTCCATGGCCATCTAGATTGTCATCCCATAAGTATATCAGACATCGGATTGACTTTTCTTTCGGTGAAATATAATCAAGCAAGCACTGGGCATGTTTTCAAGTCCGATGGTACCTAGGTTCATAATTACGGTTCCAACTTCTGTAAAATCTATTAAACTGCATCTTGTTCCTAGCCTAGAAACCCGACTTTGTGTCTCGACAAATGAGTGATTACTGCAATCGAACACAGAAAATGCAGACTTGCCTATTCAATGAAGTCTCGTGGTCTTCTTGTTTGGCAGAAATCGACTGCAATAAACTTGCACTCATAATGGAAGGTAGTAATAGACAGCATAGAACAAGGCATGCTGGAAAGGAAGATTCTACTAAATTGTCTAGATGCTGAATTACAGTAAGCTATTTCCGCAAGGTTTGCATTCCCTCCTACACTGAAAGCTTTCATAAGATAAATGGAAGAGGATAGGGATGGCAAGGAACAATCTTTCAGCTACATTATGAAACACGTTGTTTATTTGAATGCTAGCAGTGCATCATCATGCATAACCACCTCTCACAGACACCGTGCAGTGAACAACGGCGATGAAAGAATCTTAACTTCAGGGTCGAAACACATTCACCCACACAGTGTAACATGTTTTCAGACAGCACTATATACACATTCGCTGCTTCTATTACTCCAGCTTCTTCAACCACATAATAGAATCTATCCACATTCTTTGTTGACACGTAGTAGTACCATGTCACCTATTTAGACTCCTTTGGCAGAGTATATTTGGTTCTGTCTACAGAACAATCTCCTGCCCTGCAAAGAATTCCTCAACAATCATGTACAAATTAACACACTCTAGACCTTCGGGCCGAAGACAAACACGGAAATCTCAATAGTTTGACAACTTTGGCAAGTGTCTTAATGCAGGAGCTTTGGTTCAACTTTATCGTTGTAATTGTAAATCTTGGGCATAATTAGACTTCCATGCGTTTCGACGAATCCAAACACTTGCATTAGAAACAGTCCAGTCGCATCGGACAAATATACCACCGGCAAAAGCTTGTATTCATTTCGACATCAAAAAGAACAAAGACGACTACATTTCCACCAAGGAATCTACGTCTCCAGACTTGTCAACCCATCTAACACTAAACTGACTGTTTCCACAATTTCTACAGTCAGATCCAAAACCTCCCCTCAGTTTCTACACTTGTGCATATTTACAAATTTGTATAACCTATGTAAGCTCAGATCTCTATCCTAGTGTGTACTCTTTTCCTGGTGGCCGTGGTAGCCTCTCTTTACAAACGAATGATGATCCATTCTCATCAACTGCAAAACCAGGTTACAGGCGTTAGCATAAAACACACGATGGTGTGATTTCCAAATATGACCTGCTCGCATTTTCAAATCATTTTAGTTTTAAAACGCCAAGCTCGAAAGCAATATGGTTCATGCTCAGAGAACGAGGTATCAAATCCGATATGCTGCAAACTGTAATTTCCACCACAATCAACTCTAGTTGCGTATCCAGTAGCAACACACATGTCAAAAAAAAATGATAAAATGGTGAAAGTGAGTTTCAGCTGTGCTCACCTGATCGAAGACACTCTCGAAACTCCTGCTGAGCTGAAGAATGTCAAAACTGTCATATTCAAGGAACGGTCGTTAGGCCTAGAGCAGGCAAAGGGACGAACACGCGATGAACATGCCAGTGTGAAGACAAGAACGGCATAGCAATCCGGGTCGTTAAAAGTAAACAATGTACACACAACGTATACTAATCCCGATCAGGATAACATGTGAACCTTAAAACTGTACAATCTCTAACCAGAAAGATGACAACTTCATTGTAGAATCTAGCGCGCATTTGGACAGGTCACAGGATAATCGACATATCACCTTTTTAACCCTGTTCAATCCATGTACTCAAAAACTTTCATGAATCCTCCAATTGAAAGTTCAGAACGCATCGAATGTACTTATGTCTACCCCTCGTTTAATCCTTAAGAGTTGCAAATTTCAACTAAATTCCAAACAGAACGACTCTTCCCAGGGAATGATGAAGGACAATACTCACCTAAAGAAGCTACTTGCTGCCTTCATTCATCGCTTGCCTTCTCTTTCTTCTCCTTTTTTTCTTTTTTCTCGCCACCTTCCTTCTCACCCTTGTCTTTCTTCTCCTTCTTTTCTTTCTTCTCTTTCTTCTCCTCACCTTCTCCTTCACCCTTGTCCTTCTTCTCCTTCTTATCCTTTTTCTCCTTCTTCTCTTCACCTTCTCCCTCACCCTTGTCTTTCTTGTCCTTCTTATCCTTTTTCTCCTTCTTCTCTTCACCTTCTCCCTCACCCTTATCTTTCTTCTCCTTCTTATCCTTTTTCTCCTTCTTCTCCTCGCCTTCTTCTCCTTCACCCTTGTCCTTCTTCTCCTTCTTATCCTTCTTATCCTTCTTCTCCTCGCCCTCTTCTCCTTCACCCTTGTCCTTCTTCTCCTTCTTCTCCTTTTTCTCCTTCTTCTCCTCGCCTTCCCCTTCACCCTTGTCCTTCTTCTCCTTCTTCTCCTTTTTTTCCTTCTTCTCCTCGCCTTCTTCTCCCTCACCCTTGTCCTTCTTCTCCTTCTTCTCTTTTTTATCCTTCTTCTCCTTCTTCTCCTCGCCTTCTTCTCCCTCACCCTTGTCCTTCTTCTCCTTCTTCTCTTTTTTGTCCTTCTTCTCCTTCTTCTCCTCGCCTTCTTCTCCCTCACCCTTGTCCTTCTTCTCCTTCTTCTCTTTTTTGTCCTTCTTCTCCTTCTTCTCCTCGCCTTCTTCTCCCTCACCCTTGTCCTTCTTTTCCTTCTTGTCTTTTTTCTCCTTCTTGTCCTTCTTCTCCTGTAAGATCGAATCAAAGAAGATTAGCAATACTCCAGATAACATTCTGATTTCGAGATACTCGCTAAACTCTATGATTTACTCATCAACGGCAGATCTACCTGAATGTCAACTCTACGTGATCACGAAGGTCTCTACAAGTTCTACTTGAAAAAGGTTATCAATCCTATGAAATCGTCAAGTAAGGGAGCTCAAGAGCTATATCTTTGACTGGTCCAACTGAGTTTGATCACTAATCAGATGAGAGTCGATTAGATCAGTGCAAGGACCGGTATACTGCCTTTACTTGGAATTTGGTGAAAACCCAGCTAATTCCAGCATCAGTGGAAGAACGCGATGATTTCCAGGTACAGTACGTAAATCTAGTATGACGTGATGTACCTGCCCAGAAACTACGATATCATGGCGTACAATTTCTACGTTTCGGAAAAAGTCTCCCAGGAGAGACCTCGGGATAAGAATGTACCTTGTGCTCATCACCAGCGCTTAAACTCTTCTCATCATGATGACTCGCACCCTCAATGTGTAGCTTTTCCATAGTTTCAGCAATTGGTGTCTCAGAAGCCATTCTGTACACAGAGAACGGACATATATCAAAAGACTGATCACATAATAAGCAAGCGCATTGTGCGCAGCGATTGTCACCATTACCAGGAGATACACAGTCCTTACAGACATCGTACTGGCAGGAATAAGGAGGAGGATGTACTTGCATTATTCCTTTCCTAGACAAACCCGTTCGAGATTCCTCGCGTATGTCTGCGCCTGTTTGTCTTACCTTCCCAGCCCATGAAGGTTTCTCAAGTTATTCCGAATACTATATCCACTCTCATAACTCTCCATCTCTCATCCTGATACTGCTATATTTGTACCCCCATGATACACCTGATCAGAAGCTAACTAACTGGAATCTATGTATTGTGTGATCCACAGAAGTCTACGACCACTACACAGAGCAGTTAAAAGGAATCACGCTTACACTTCCCTGGATTCAGAATTGTGAACAGCTGAGACTGTCTGACGTGGTTTACAGTGCCGAAAGACAAGTCCTAGTTCACGAAGGAAGACCGGTGCTATCTCTTCCTAATGCACAAAGTCATGGCGTGCACAATCTGCAAGACTGTACCTCGGGGTGTAGAGAGACTACTGCGAGCTACCACTACCAGAATCTGACCATCAAGAAATTATGAAAAAGAGTGAGAAGGACAATGTATGTGGAGTTGGCAAATTTTCTGAACGTCAAAACCTTTCGTCGTCCGACCTCCCTCTATACCCACGGATCCGTCATTTTCAACCGATCGCGACAACGAGCAACGTATTCTTCCCAAAGTGTAATCTCCAGTTAGTACCACCTTTTGGTAGGAAGCCATGTTTGAGAATAGTGACTTGCAATCATATACTTCATTACTTAAAATTAAGCTTTTGAAAGCAAAGATCACACTCTTTAAACCCCGAGTACACAGTGGCAACTGGAACAAGTTCAAGATTATCATGACTCATGAGTGACCAGACCAAAACAGAGGATGAGACAGCTACTTTTGAGATCGCCCACATAATACGTTCACAAAGCAACCTCACATTTCTGACAGCAGAGTCAACGTCAAGGCCATTTCGGAAGATCATCCGAACATTGAGAAACCGAAGACCAGATCAGATTTCTCATATTACAAGCTCCGCAACTTTCATGAGCTAAGAAACATCGAACGCACCTGCTCAGATGCACAGATTCACAGAGCTGTACTCAGGAATGCCTCCTTCACTGCAGCCAGACGACTTCCACCGAGGCTCCGAGCTCAGTCGATCGACCACTGAATTCTCAACCAAAGACGACTCTAGGGACGATCTCGTATCGACCAAACTCTCAGACGACAATGAGCTCCGAGGCCCAGAAGATCGTCTTAAGAATTCCTCTCCCCACGCGTTTCTTAGGAGTGACGACAGATCGCGGCAATACCTGAGAGAGCGGGCGAGTGCTCAGTCATAACTGCACCGTGGATCAGATTCTACAGGAGCGTCGATCTGATCATCCACTGCACCCACAATGCGCGAAGACAGGAAAGGGCGATTTAGGATGGGGATCGTGGCATCTCAGACTTCCTTGCGCGTGACTCCTCTCCTCTCCCCTCGTCTTCTCTCAGACTGTACACTCGGGTGCAACGTCTGCTAACTCCCGTCGCTCGGCCGTCGCGGTTGATGATGTGGTCCGATAATTGAGCCCATTCCCGGCGCCTTAACTAGCAAACGGCCGCCCGTCCGTCCCACTGTCCCTCGCGGCTAGAGCTGGAGGCACAACCTCAAAGGCATGCCTCCGGGCGAGGGCATGCTTGTATGTATAAACAAATTTACAAAATATAATAAAAAAGAATTATATGTAAATTTTATATTTATAGATAATGGGATAAGTGAGGAAATGAGAAACTGTTTAAAATGGGTCGCTCGATGAGAAAATTGCACTTTCAATTTACGGAGGGATTTTCATCGATTCCTTAGATAGACACTTGTAGATTCTGCTCTAGTCTGTTATGGGTTTTAAGCTTTCATTTTCGTGTTAATTGATCTACTTCTAAGAGTGATTTATTTCCATAGTGCTTTATATTTTCTGATACGTCAAGTGTATGTATTGTAATACGGGCATGGGGCACGCCTTTTGATCTTGAAACGGGGCATGGGCATCACCCGAAAATTTTTGTTGTGCCTCCAATCGTACTCGCGGCCTTCGTTAGTGCCGACGAACTCCGTCCGTCCCCACCGACCCAGCGACGAAGCTGCTGTTACGCGAGCGGGACCGACGGACACACGGCATCTGCAGGCGAGCCGCCCTCCTTGCCGTCCAATGTAAGCAAGCGAAGAGTTCAGTTGGAAATCTGAGATCCACTCCGTGGGCCCCGCCGAGGCTCTCGTCCCGTGTCCTGGCGCCCCATGTCGCCATAATGGCCACTTTTAGGCCTATCCGGATGCCGGATTCCAGAATCCAGAGACGCGCCGGAGTCGGATTTCAGGCTTTGACTTGTATCGTGGATATTCTGGAAGCTCAGGGCCACGTAGGATGGTCGACGACGTGCACTTTGCACGGGAAGAAACGCGCATGGCTCCATTTGAGGGACCTCGAGGAAATGGATGATTCCGATTTGTTTGTCCGGAGAGAGAGTCAAGGAGATGAGATTTTTATCATGATTGGGAGCCTAAAGGAAGTTTGTGTCGGAGCGGATGTTGTCATATTCCAGCATTTTGGAAACGATGAGCTACCGGTGCCTACCATCCGACCATTGTTGCCATTAGTTTTCTTCACCCGAGGAAGCGAGAGGTTGCATGCTTCTGGCGCATCGGACTGTCTGGCCTTATTGCCCAAGGACAAGGACGGGAGGTCCAGAGGGTGAAGTGCAATCCGTGATAAGTCGGTCAGTTTTACGTGGTACGATTTCACAATAATTCCCGTTCGTTATCTTTCTACCTTCTGGTGTCTGTCATGGACTGTATATATCTGTGTCACTAACCCACTTCGCTGTCACAGAGGGTGAATTGCTATCCGTGATAAGTCGGTCAGTTTTACGGGGTACGATTTCACAATAATTCCCGTTCGTTATCTTTCTACCTTCTGGTGTCTGTCATGGACTGTATATATCTGTGTCACTAACCCACTTCGCTGTCACGGCATTCGAAAGCTGTGTGAATGTGATGTGATGTCTGAAGCAGCGACAAGTGTGCAGGACGAGGTGGAAATTACGTGGTGTACCGCGGACCTAATCTTTGGTACTGGTCCAAGTTACAAAGAAATCATGCTCCTGATTCCGAGGGCAAGATGTTGTGCTCTCTAAACAATGGTGGTGGCAAGCTCTCCTTGATGTGTGGGTGCAGACTTCCTCTTGCCTCCATCAGACTGGTTTCAACGAGACCACTCCACTGCAATTAACTTGAGTCGCTGGTGTATGAACTGAGATGTTATCCCTTCAGAAATGATGAGGTACTGATTATTGTTATCAATACTAAATCTTCATGAACTCCAAGTTATCACACATCAGCTGGATGTACTCAATCAAGTCGTCATTGTAGACTCGAACAGCGGTCTACACTAGGCAATGACTCAAAGTGTATTTATGAGTTTGCCAATGTGCTGTGGCCTATTGATCTCAGAAAATTTACATAACCTTTCAATTAACATCCATGATATTTTTTGTATGTTGAGTACTATAGAGACAAGGGAGAGACGAGAAGAACTGAAGTCTTGGTATAAGGAAAAAAAATAAAAAATTTCAGTTTAGAGCATAAGACCACGTTCAACATTCATACGCAAATCGTATAGTTTCTTCTCACGTCACTTCTTACAAAATGCAAAATAAGTCCAAAAAACTTGTGATATGATCATATAATGTTGCCTCATGTTGAATTGAAACGTGAGGCAACATTTTACTTACATTGCGTGAGCTGATTGTCTATTTTCTCTCAAGCTGACAGAGTGGTGTCTGTGACGAGAATTTTCGCCACTCGTGTAAACCATCATACGAAACAGTTTAATCAGTTCATGGGATAACATGAATCCTCGTTGTCCAATCTTTTTATTTCACTCGACACTTCATTAGAAATTTGGGAGGAACGCGACCTCTAACGGTAAGTCCTCTTTGCCATCGTGCGGGGAGTCTAATGAGGCTCGGATACGACGTAGTAGAATGGAAGTGAACATAGCTTCTCTTAAAAAGAAGAGCCGCCAAAAAACTGTTCAATATCTGCAAGTCCCAGTGACTCACATGGAGGCAGATGCAGTATCGATAAATGAAATGGTCATCGCCCTTGTTTTCTTCGTCAGTAAAACCACGAGCCTAACTCGTGTAGATTGGTTGATTACATCCTAACCTGTACCATCTAGTCTTCACCTCCATCACTCCCGTTCGGGACGATGGAGGTATGATAAAAGTGGGATCGACAGTGTACTGGTGGCCACCAAAAAAAAAGCTCCCCTTCATCCTGTCCAGCTTCGAAGACTTCGAGATTTCCCTTCGAAAGTTTCCATCTTGTCTCAAGATGGAAACTTTTCCATAGTTTCACTCAAGATTCTTGAGTGAACCTGTGAGTTTCAAGACTTACTGACGAGACAATGACCGCAGAATGATGTCTAGCGATGATGTCCAGTCGGCCGTGTCCCTGCCGATGCCATGTGAGTCTCTGACCAACAAGGTACGCCCGCTTGAGCACACGAGAGGACAGGCCCAGATATTTTGCGCTGCGGAGAGGTGATGGAATCCATGGGTACGAAAGAACTGGAAAACCTGCGTTCACTTAGGTCTCGACTCTCCATCCCGCATCTTTACTACTTAACCCCACATCGAAGGGGACAGTTAATTAGCAACAATATGATATATCGCTGGTGCGAAGGTCGCGGATAGAATACACTGAGACTATCTTCACTGACATGGGGGTAAGGTATGCCACCAGGCTTCTGCTGCCCCACGTTGATGCCACACTACATGACTAAAATCTCGAGCAGCGATCGGGAACTTCTACCGCACAATCGGGGCGCCTGAAGGTTTCTGCTAACCTCCCTAAAAAAATACACTAGTTCCCTCAAACTAGCCAAAATCAAGGTTCGAGCTATGATTGACCGATGGGAGGGTGAGTGCGAAACAGCATTGTGGTAGCTTTCCGAGTGAAAGTTACATAAATGTTCCGAATAGACTATCCAAAACTTCCTCAGATAACAAGGCGCCTTCTACTTATCTCTGGAGTCATTCCTTCCGACTTCCCACAACACTTCTTCCATTTCCTCTGAGAGCCACAGTGGCAGCTCTCATTGCGTCCCTGCTTTTGCTTCCCGCTCGCTGCCCGACTGAGGCTCTTGCTCCTCGACAGTTGCACCGTGTGTGCTGCTGGTGCTGCTTCCTCCGGTACGCTACTGGCTACTGCCCCATTGCCCACATGACCCGCGGCTGAGCGCTTTCCCTTACTTGAAGAGCCTGTTTTATTCCGAAGCTTCGTCTCGCTGTGATTGCCTTGGCTCTGGTCGTCCGATTTCGCCCCGTTTTGAAGTCCACCATTCTCGTGGATAGGGTGAGCTGCTTCATTAGAGGACCCGTGTGAATGACTTCTGGAACTCGAGGCACCAGAGTTTATGGCAGTCGGCAAGAACCCGTGGCCGACACCATTCGAGACGCCGTTGACAGAGGCTCCACGGCCAATTTCAGTTTGAACTTTCGGAGACAGACCGTTCCCGGAGTTGTCGGAATGGGTATGAGCACTTTCTACAGCGTTGTCTCTCGCCGGGGCTCCATTCTCCTCGCCGTGAGAATTTCCTGAAGCTCCTATGTTCGAAGCCTCACCGTTCGCCTTGCTGGTAGCTCCATTGCTTCCATGCCTCGACTTGGAATCGGCCGGCGGGGTGTTGGTTCTGTTCAAAAACCCTGGGGCGAACAAAGGCAGGAAGGTTGATTTCTGCTTTTGTGGCCTCGCGGGTGCTGCTGCGATGTCTTCGACCGTCGCGGCCTCGAGGTGCTGCTTTCTCACGGGAACGCAAGCACTTTCAGGACCGTGCCTGGGCAAATCGTCCTCCTTCGAGTAGCTAGTGGAAGCCCCGTTGTCCATTGCCATTTGGATGTGCGGTGTTCCTACTGGCAGTTGTGTAACGTTGCAGGTCGGATCTTGGGGTGCAAGATGTGCAGACTGCAGAAGCACCTCGGGTCGCTCTGGCTCTTCGAGCAGAGGGAGTATCGACATTGTCTCCAGGTCATCAAAGGTTGTGTCCTCGTCTTCTGACGTTGCCAACGGTCCTAGGCCTGGAGTCACTTGGGACTGCAAAGTCTTGCTGGCTCCAATGACGTCGAGAGATGCAGAGCGTGCTGCTGTTGCCCTGAAGACCACCATGCCTGAAGCTGGTAGTGGCTGCATGGTTCTCCATGAATCTGCTTCGAGGGATCCCGCAGGCCCTCCGACTGCTCTTACAGGTGAAGGTGGATGAGTCCCCATATTTGACAAAGTTTCATCGGTATGAAACGGTAGTGTACTCCGATCTTTTACCTGCTGGTCCAACAATACCTGTCTGAGTGAAGATGGAAAGGCTTGCACCTCACTGGCACGTGCACAATGATTAGTGTCTGCAGGCACGTAATCATCACATGAATCAAACGCAGGGCCGCTAGCGGCAACAGATGCTGGAGATCCAGGCTGCAGCACTAAGTCATTCCATTCCATAATATCTTTCCTATCTAGTTCAGAGATATCTGGCTGCTCCAGAGCCTGTCCCATGCCACTCGGTTTCGTCACTCTCTCCATGAGACTGAACTCACTACTGTCAACTTCGACATGCTGCCGTTTGGCCCGACCGACAAGATCTTCATCAGATGCACCAGCTGACAGGGAGTAACTCATCATGCCCAGGTGAATTCTCTCAGGGTCACAACCAAGTTCCGCACTGGCAGCGAGGCCAGTCTGATCACTGGATAATCTGTGCTGCACTGGGGAACCAGGGGGGGCTGGAGATTCCCCGGATTTGTCTCCACTGTAACTCTGTCGTGAGGGGTACATGGCACTCGGCACTAATCCATTCATTTGGTTTGCGGTCGAAAGACAAAGTGGACTACTAGGCGTTGATCTCCCATTACTATTTGCAGGCCATGTAGGCAACAGATCAGTATCCAACGGCTTTGGAGCAGGTAGAGGTGTAAGTCCTTCCTCTAGCCTTCGCTTCCCAATCTTGGGAGTCGAAGGCTTGTCCACAGGACTCACGTTCAGAGTTATGTCCGCAAGATCTGAAGACATGGGAGATAAAAGATCGCTGGATGCAAACGCTGCTTCCTCTTCAGTAGATGAAGCAGGAGGATTGCAAAAAAGTACCTTCCGCAAAACTCCAGGTTCCTCCATGCTCATATGACTTGAACTGGTAGGAGATATCACCGAGTGACTTGAGCTACTTGCAATGCATCCAGATTGCTCAACTGAAATCTCATCATCATTGCTCACACACACTAAATCTCTCTCCCAAGAGCTTGGCTGTGTTGTTGCATGCTCACCATTGACAAATGCGTGAGCCTTTACAGTTTGAGGAACTCCCTCAACATAACCCTCCCTTTGTCTCGGCTCCACCATGGCGTGAAGTCCCATAGTACCACCAACTGCAGTCATCACCCCTGGTACGAGGTGTGAGGCTCCTGTGTAGACTTTCCCGACTCCGTTATCCTCATACATGGTTCTCCCTACTGCAGGAATATTCACAGATGCAACTTCTTCATTCATCTCCGGTGCTGAACGTACGGAAGATCTGGCATATCAACCAAACGAACTAGTTAGATCTATAGAAGTCCCGAATCGGAAAAAGAAAACCACGCCCTGGACATGTTTGTTTCAAGTACTTCTCTGCTACCAAATTTATCCAGAACTCCTCACTATCAATGCCCACTTTGAAACTTGGAAATTAATACATCCCTTACCTTTTATAGAAAAGCATGTACGCCCTTTGGGACATAACCTTCTCAATATCAACTTCCTTGACCTGCAAAACATTGAGCGACATCAAGAACTTGCAGTGGCACAATATGAAACCTGAACGAGCTGGGCGATCCAGGATCACAAGTGCACTCATTACTCAGGGTTTGTCCAATCGCAGAACTATAAACCTCGCCCTGCCTCAACGGTGATAATATGAAGAGCTTTGAGTATAAAAGGAGGATGAGGTGGACGTAGGAGGCAAAGGAGACAGAAGATTCAATAAGAGCGAGCGTCGTCTCCCTCGCCGTGGTAGGCAAGGATAACAAAGAATGATAAAACAGGCTTCCTAACTGTCCTCAGAAAACTTAGAAAACTCGTTGAGAACGTTTCACACTCATGCCAAACGTGGCAACCACTGAAAAATGGGTGAAGAACCCCCGCGAGCTCTTCGCACAGTCCAGTTCAATCGCATATCTTATAAAGTCCGAAAATTTTGTACACTCTGCCAATCTCTAATAGTGTATACCTTGCTGTCATCAATTTTGTACCATATCCCCTGCGAATCTTTGACGTAGCAGATATAGTGCCCGAAGAAAGATGCGTTCAGCATATCCACGTGCACTACAACAGCGTAGAGCAGATATGAAGGAGGTTTGTCCCCCTTCTCACTCATGTAGGGCAACATATCCAGCACTTCCGGAAAAGTTACCCGCTTGTTCAATTTACCAAACTTTCCAGTCTGCAACAACACCCACGCATGTTACATATTGTCTGGTGAACGATATGGTCGGAGTTGGAAGATTTATTCTTCTCACCAACCCGCGAATTAACGTGCTCATGTAGGACAACATGTACTAGAGAATACTCTCACTAAAGAATGCATGCAAGAACAAGTAACCATTCCACGAACGATATGTGGGGGTCTAAGGGAACAAAAGACCAGGAAATGTATTCGCACCTGAAATCGTTTAAGGGCAATTGTAAGAATGTTGGGAGCCTCGTGCAGAGTAAGCCGTTTCCGGGCTTTCACGTATGCATTACACCTACAGATAGCATAACACTGATAAGACATCAACTCTCGCAAGTTTTAGCGAGAATGCATGATGGTGACCTTTTATTTGGAGATATAACATGAGTAGGTTTTATTCCGGTAAGATTATTTACTGCTTCATAAGATCTCAGAAGTTGTATTTTATTCAAGATCTAAGCTCCCAAACGTTCAGTCCACACTCGTCATAACAATTGCAGCATTTCACAACTTACGCCTTCTCCATAAAAGCATCAATCATTATCAATAAAAACTTAAAAGGGGATTGCCACCACACACCGGTCGCACTTGTATTTGTTATCACCATCCAACCATTCCGAGGCCGTGAACTGTTTTAAAGCATCCGCCAAGGTTTCGACCGAGCCGTGGATCTCTACTGCAAGATCCATCATTTTCTCATATCGATTAGATTCATGCTGACACCGCATGCATTGCACCTGCATCCCATATACGCACATGGTTATTTACTCCAGAGATATTAAATAGGAGATTTGTATGTCCCACATGGACGTGACAACAGAACATGGATATCAATGTCCACGTTAGCTGCTGCAGAGCATCGGTAGAGGAGTGGGTCATTGATCTCATTGAGAATTACGATCGGTAAACAAAAGTAATGAACAGAAAGTCCTATTACTTCACCTGTGACTGAAGGTGCCCTCCAAAGATATGATGGATCAGGGTAGTTTCTTGAGAACGTGGATCGACAAATTTCTCTCCGCCAGCTTCATCGAGACATATCGATTGCATGGAGTCAATTGCAAACCTGATGTAAGGACAATAATCATCAATTTGGTCAGGCCACACCTGGACCATCTTTTGATAATGAAACATTGCCTGCGGCCAAATAGATAACTGATACTTGTAGTCACTAAACTTGATCGTTATAAAACACAATATAGCATTGACAGGGGAAAGCACCTCATGAATTCGTGAGCATCCTCTTGTCTTCCATATCCAAGGTGTCCTCCAATGTTTCGAATCCGCGACAGAATCCTAATCGGTGAGAAGGCATTCTGTTCTTTCCTGACTCTCCAAACATGATCTTGAAGTTCGCACATGAAACACCATTCACTTCTCCGACCTGTCAAGAGATATATTCAGCACAACAACACAAAAGTGAACATGTAAACAACTATTACTTGCTTCAGATATATTTACGTCGGAAAAAGTCCACACGTTTTATGCATAAACACATGACGGTCAGCTTCAGCAGGAAATGTAGCTAATAAACACTACTAAGTCTTACATTCTTCGCTGTGATGTCCTTCTAATAAATACGCAGTCAAAGGCCTTGTGTACGTGAGGCACTGTAACACAGCATTCGCAAAACAACTGGGAATCCATACTTCCATTAGTACAACGAAATGGCGAAGGCAGAATGAAATTATGTCAACTTACAAGTTGAGAGAATCTTCATAAAGCAGTGCGTCGAACCATCCACTTTTCGGATGCGAAAACAACTCATAGACAACTGTTCTGACATACTATGTGAATAACAACCACTCCAATAAGACTTTCCAGGATCTAACAAGAGAAGGAATCTACCACATGAGAAAGAATGATGAGATGAATGTGCTCTAACCTCACGTCCGCATCATCATAGAAACCATTTACAACATAGTCAAACAACATTCTTCACAACTAAAACTGTACTTGAACATTCAAACTCGCACCTGTTCCCACAATTGATAAGGCCACATGGCGGGACTTTGAGTCTATCATTGCTGAAAAACTTCTCGAAGAGACTGTACGGGAAAAGAACCTGTAAGCAAAATCGTCTACAGTATTAGTAACTGGATCACAAGGAGTGCGACAAACGGTATCAGGTTAGTACATGAATTATTTTAAATAGACCTTTGCAAGATACTTTTTGCACCACTGCAATGCAAATATTATTACATACCAATATCAAGTGCGTTATGAACTCCATCTAGAGCCAATGCAAAAATAGTCAACATCTGTATATACAATTCAGATAATAATGAGCTCTGCAACATTACCTTCTTAGGTTTAGACAAAGCTCCATTCGCTGTCACAGATAATGCAGGTCTCGAAAGTTCATGATGATTTGTGTCTTCACTTCCTTGAAAATCAGAGACATCAGACAAAGTTCTGCTTTCACTAGTGGAGCTACTCCTACTGAAGACGTCGGATATGTTCCTGCTTGACGCAACGGAACTCCCGGAACTTGGAGGATCTGGAGCTCGACATTCCTGCTTGTGGCCGTCTTCCCAATGTTCTTTCTGACAAACACCTCCACTGCAATCCACAATGAAGAAGATGAAACTTTGAATCAGGAGAAGGAACGATGCCATCTGCTAGACAGTTGCGTCTCTTATTGACAAATATTTCCCAGTTGACGATACCTATGACATGATCTAAAATCGAGAGCATGTGCTCCGGTAGAACTTGAAAACGAGAGGTATTCCTGCAATCGATATACACAAGCAGAATGTCTATGGTCGGCAATTTCATTTTATCATATGGCTGACACTCTGCAGGGGTTCATTTGAAAGAACAAACACCAAGCTCTGATTTGATTTGCAACAATCAGAATTTATCTCAACAAATTTGTATTATAGTGTTCTCTCGGATTTCAAATTGTTACTGAGCCAGGAACCCTAATTGATCAGTTCTTGTCGACTAATGAGAGGACAACAAGAACACGGCAATGGGTTCACTTTATGGATTCGTTGGTGATCAGTGTAACCCGCCAATTCGCAAAACCTAGTAGGGATTATGAAACCACGATAATGTTATCAGAAATAGAAGGTGCTTAGGGAAGGGAACTGACCAATATCTCACAGTCTTGCATCTGGAGCATATGAAGGTTGAGGCAGGGGTTTTGCAATTGGAACAGAGATTACGGGTTGCCACCATCGACGTATATTCGGCGGCTGCCTGAGCCTCTTCCCGCTGTGCTTGATGAGCGGCCTCGGACTGCAACCGACGGATCTCTTGAATCCTAGTAGCTCGTGCACGTACTTGTTGAGCCACTCCCACACTAATCACCGCAGCTAAGATGAGGGCCAAAAACACAGCAGTGATCCCCGAATCCCCCCACTCATGCATCTAACTGCACGCTTGGCTCTCCGCCCTACCGGCATCAATCGTTCAAGCATAAATCGCTCCTCACGCATCAATCACTTGTACAAAATCAATGAGTGAGTTTTAGGATGCTCGAAAGCTGTGGGTAACCACTCTATTATCCGTCTGACATAAACCAGACGACGGTCACAAACGACGAAACCGCCTAATGCTAAATTTCAAACCCTGATCCTCCAGATTTTGGGCAGGGAGGGAGAGAGGAGAAGGTAAAAAGAATATGGAGAAGAAATATTCACAAGGAGGGCAAAGGGCGACTTTGGATGGAACGCCTTCATGCGGAGAATCGAAAGAGGCCAGTCAGCCCGCCCGTTGTGTTATTTGATTCGGCGAAAATTGTAGTAAAGCAGATGTGCGCGCATGAAGGCGGATGAGAAACTCCAGGGAGAATCGTTGCGATACATGCAAAACAAAAGCCCCCGGTAGACGAGAAGAAAACTCAAAAAACTTCGACGACGTCTGTCCGTCGGTAATACTCTGACTGTTTGTCTATACAAAAGCGAGGGAAGCACACAAGGGCAAAGCAGGTCTACGCCTGGCGAGGAGACGAGAGGAGAGGCGAAGCGAGGCGAGGGAAACCGAAGCAGCAGGGCAAAATGCACTACATGCAAAGGCCGAAGGAGAAAAGTGGAAGGACTGCCTGTAGATGTCAGGGCAGACAAAAACTACAACGACCCTCCTTCCAAAAGGCCCAATCCCTCACAGCCCCAGTAAAAAGGTCAATTTCTTGCCTAATTTTGACCCACCAAAGACACCACAAAGAAATAAGCATCAATCAGAACGGGAACGGGAAGGGTAGCGAATGAAGGGGAGGGATGGGCTGGGCTGGGCTGGGCTGGACAGGGCAGGCTAGCACGCGGGTAGACCCGATGATGGAGGGAGAAGAGGTAGCGAGTAAGAAGCAGATTAGCAGAGAGGAGGAGCGGGGACCTTGACGGCCTTAACTCTGGTACAGAGAAAGAAGGGGAGGACAAGATTCAGCGGCAACTTTTTCATTTCATTTCCCGAGGGAGGATGTGGAATTCGGATCCACAGATCGTATTCATAGTAGGCCAAATTATAAAATTCATCCTACTCCATCAACAACTGCAGCTTGCTAATTGTGGCAATAAAATTACTGCCGCCGCAAGGTATTCTGATTAAAATGGCCACAAAATCATGAATCCCTGTCTGGAAACACAAGCGAAACAGAGTCAGAGCAAAGCCTCGTACTGGACAGGCGGAGCGATGTTGGCTACGTAGGATTCGTCTGACTCTGAGTATAGAATGGGGTGGCCTTTTGTGCACGCTCTCGCTCGTAGAAGCCAGAGCACCATTTGGAAGACGCAAAGGGCACATGGCAATGCAATCATGAGAAAGCACACATTCCCACCGTATTTATGACCGCCGCGCCTGCATATATTACTCCCTTGCCGAATCTCCACATATTCACGAGTTTTCACATATTTTGATAAATCTTCAAGTGTAATGTTTTCTTCTCCCCTCCGGAAAGCACTACTTCATGCAACCTACGCGAATTAGTTCCATGCAAAATGGGATTTAAACAACCCAAAATAAATCATCTTCTTCTTATCTACACCTACTGCCTAATGATTTAGCTTTTCCTACAGATTATGACTCAATCAAACTCACTTATCGTACAAACACATACAAATATTCCTGTATATATTAGCGTATGTTGACAAATTACCGGTAATTTTTCTTGATTTCCGTTCATCTCATCTCATATACATTCCTTTTGAGCTTGGAATACAAAATAATAAATAATGATGATGAAAAGATCATAGTATATATATCATAATATTGTAATTAGACTGGAAGCCACAGGAAACAAAGCTCTCCCTTTTCTCACTTAGAAGAGTTTTGTTTGATACGGCGTCAAGAAGATAAATCCGTCAATTAATAGCAGTTGATGCTTGAATTTTTACTAAATACGAGATTCCCACATATGATATTTAATATTAAACCTCACTGGACACTGAGGTACTCAATTATCATCAACGTTTAACAATCAAATTACAAGTACCTGTTTAAAGCCTTCGAATGATTGATTCGAGGATGAGGTGTGGACAGCCATCAAACTCATCAACCACACCTTAACAACTACTCGCACCTTGTAACAAGGGGAAGGAAACTCCTTACCTCAACAAGAGGAACCGTAGAAGGTACAGAGTATGTATATGTATGTAGTTGGGATACATAGTACCATAAAAATTAATCCACGGAAAGCAACGCTTTCATCATCGCCGGGCCAATGACCGGATTTCTATACTTGATATATATCCACATTTGAATTGGCTTGTCTTTTTCGCCTAAAAGGACTAACAGCGTCACAACACTACCATGGGTGCTGGTAAGATTGCAGATTGCTCACTAATATAAAACTTAGCTTTTAGAGAGAAAGACAACAAGCTAAATTAGAATATTCTGAATGCTCTTTAGGGTTGAAAGATAGCATAGATCAGAGTGTAGATGATCATTCCTTACCATTGTGTCTTGAAGTTTCTCCGAAGGATGTACACATCTTTGAAGAACAACCACTATAGATAAGTATGTTGGGTGACATAACCACTGCCTTTTATTAATTATTAGACATCAAAACATGACTGTTGATTACCAGCAAATGAAGGAATGTGTAGACCACAACTACAGTGAGATACGAGTTGTTGTCAAAATTTGAACAAAAATGAAGCATATTTGACCATCATGGCATATCAAAACAGATATGCCATTCTGAACCACCGGTTAGAGATTCAGGGTTGAAAATTTCGGCTTCATAGTGTTATGAACTCACTGATTACCAAGAAACAAAGGTATAATCAAGTTCATGTACAATTCATCATGCACTGAAATCCATTCCTGTGATTTCTCTCCCGCGATGGACAGATGATACCTATGAGGATCTCGTGACTTCCTAATTATTACAGTCTGCTGGCATTCCTGCCACTATTACAAAACCTTCGAGGAAACGGTTCAACTGGAAATCCTCAACTACATTACTTTTCCTCCAACGCTAGAAGCGTCTATGATGAAGGTCCTAAGCAGATTAGAGTATCAAGACCATCATAATTGCAGGAGCAAAACCAGCTTTGTTAAGCTCTGTCCCAATAAACCAAATCAAACTGCGTGGGTTACCGTGAGGTTGGGGAACCGTGTTACATCGATCAAGGTTGAATCAATGAATGATATTGCTGCTCGTCATGAACCTTCCACTCCTCTTACCAAAACATTGATCTTCTATGTGTACATTTCAATTCAATAACCATGCAGCTACTAGACTTGGTTCTCTCGCAATCTGATGGTGCTTGAGAGAAAGATTCACATGAAGGTGTGAATTATTGGCAGGAAAGACAGCGCAGAGTACACATCAAAATGCGAACATATTAAAGTTGTGATACTCTCAACAATAGTTCGTTATTTAATGGCTATAAGGTCAGGCGTTCTTCTCTCCATATCTCGACATTTGAACATGTAGGGCAGTGTTTACTTGAGTACATGTAATGAATTACAAAATTCTTATTCATTTTATGATATAATAAAAGTCAATCATTACGAAAAAAATACTCAAAAGTTTAGTAACTTGTTGGAACTCTTTTCTTTCCTTACCAAGTATGTATATTCAGTATATAGATTTTAAAGTATTTTGTGGTTTAAACTATATATATATCAATTATGTTGAGCGGTGGTCAAGTCAGCGAATTTCTTTACTGCATATCAGTTTTTAGGTTATAGCTTTGTACAGTATCTTTCAATTTTATCACAAGTATTTTTTGAAGCCATATGCTTTCTTTTTCCATGTTAAAATACTTAAACATCAATTGTTATATGATGTTCTTTTCAACGGTTGAGTTATTGGGTTGATTTGAAAACATTAATCTTGACAAAGATGCTAATATAAAGGTTCATAAGTAGACGTGAGATTGATGTATGTTGACTAAAAGGTTATTAGTTAGATGCTTTTCGTGATATGCATTAGATGAATTGAGTGAGGAGTAGAAAGTGCTTGTAGTACATCCTTCACAAAGCTCTGCCCGACGCGAATACCACATATAGTCCCCGATGATTTTAATTAGAAAATTCACACCAATTTCATTCGAATAATGTAGCCACAGGCCAGTCGTACTAGGTTACTACTTTACATACTGGAATAATTGTAAATTCTTTTTGTTGTCCAATAACAAATGTCAGGTAATCTTGTCATATATATAAATCCACCGAAATAATTTTGTAAATGATCTAATTGTCTTTTAAAATTCTTGTATATGGTATTATTTTTTCATAACTCTATGAATGAGTGATTCTCCTTTGTTCTGATTTGAGACTTGCATGGATATTTACTTAATTCTTAGAAATCGTATGACACAAAGGAGATAATGAATTCTTGAAGTTGTTCCCCAATAACTAAATGGGAAATACTTCCCGGTCTATTCATCCAGGACCCACGAAACCGGTCTCAAAACTTCTCTTATCTGCAAAGTACACCGATATCTTGTCAACTCTTTAATATTTGTAGCATGACATGACAAAGCATGAGCAAAGAATGTGAACGATATAGTATGGGTGATTAAGCTTTATAACTGATGTAATGTAGGTACAAATTTTAGCTCCCGATACAGATAAGATTAGTTACCACCGTACTATAGACTTTCTCACAGAATCCATTGACATTCTCTGTTATCAAAACCCGTTAGTGAGGTAATGTATCTTTATTCCAAGCTTACCATTGGTACACAATATCACTTAGAATATTATCCACTCACTGCAAGATCTGTCCTCCGGATAAGGTACATGCTCCCAGATTATATGACTGGGGAATGGTTTATTCTACATATCCACTCCAGCAGTGAGTAACGTACATAGAACAATTATTATACGTAAGATTGCGCAGATTGATCTAATGTTACTCGATTTCTTCACCAATAACTTTTCTCACTAATCTAAGAGAGGTGCATTTAATACCAAGATACATGTACCAGAATGTCACGCATATAATCTCACTCCATCATGTTCAGCCTTTCCTAGCACTCACTTTGTATGACTGTGCGTGGAAAACGCAGTATACTCCATGATTGATATCGTAATGTAGTTCCAAAATGTGATCGACAAAAGAGAAACTAATTCTGTAGAAAGAGTAATGGAAAATCAGGACTGTCAGTATATAGGAAAGAAGTAATCCGTCGATTATTTCTCTGCCAAAAAAGAAGGCGATATTTTTGGTGATGAATAGTTGGGTCCATCTATGTAAAAGGTTAAGAGCATAAACAATATATCGATGTATAATGATACTAGTGAAGAAATTAATGTTTATAAGTGAGTTATGGATCCAATAATGATAATAATAATGAAACTTACTAAAATTAACGTCTTATAAAACTGGCATAAATAAATATTTACTGGAGAAAAACTGTGCAAAACATGTAAAAAGGCTGAGAAAATATTACTGAAATAGATGAAATGAAACATTGTATGGGAATCTGATAGTAGGAATTGCTAAAACTAGTTAGATTGACACACAAAATTCAAACCAAGTAGTTGTACTCTAAGATATACGCTATAGATTGGAGTTGATAAATTCCTTATGTTTCAAGACTCAAATTTGTTTTTTAAAAACATAATAATTTAACAACATTTTGGCATCGGTGATCCAAAATAAGACTTGTATAACTTGTTTGCTTTTGAGTGAAGTCATGAATGTTGAGTCCGATGGTAGCTTCATGATCCATGAAATGTTCGTTATCAATCGCTAGATAACCAACCCCAAATTTGACATATGGTTTTTTTCAAAGTTATTGTTTTATCTAGTGTAAGAATTCATATATGCAAGTGACTTCATCTTATACATAATCATATGTATAGAAGAAAAAAAGAAAACAATGTTAAAATATTGTTTAAAAGTATTGAGTTGTAATGTATTCATCTTTTTTCTACTTATAGTAAATGTATGTCTTTGCAGATTTATTTTACTTCCTTTCTTGAATCAAGATCCTATACCATTGCAATCTAGTTTTCTTGAAAGTTTCAATGATCCTATATATCTAAATCTAAATATGTCATCCAACTTAATGACTGAAATGTTGCAAATCTAGTTGCAAATTTTCTATGTTTAGCTCACTCTACTATTTTACTGCAAGGTATACACTATCCTGCAAGTAACGGGAAAGTAAACCACACTAAGGTATTTATCTCCTAAGTTAAAATGTGACAAGCCAAAAGTATAAAAGTTTTGATAGCTATTCATATAGCTATCAAAACTATTCATTTTGCTTGATTTATAAAAAAAATTGATGTTGTCATGGAATGCTTATCGAGGTCAAGCTAATCTTGTCTCAAGAGACTCAAAAAGAAAATTTCAATGAAATGTCAAATCACTTCAAGTCATAAACTACAAGAGGTATGTAAAGAGTTGTGAATACACTCAACATAGTATATCATGTATAGCTGGAGGCGGAAGTGAAACTTAATCTTGAATAAAACAAACACTTCATTATGTAGGTAATTCACTTGCAAAAACACACACACTGTGTGGTTTTGCAAGTGAATGAGAACCAACTAAATTTTTATAATGAAAATTCCAAATCTGCAAACACTCATAAAATTTTCAGTTTAATTTAAAAATATTTCCAAGTATATTACAATACATAAAACTTTGGTGTACATTAAAAAGAACCATATGTCAAATTAGGGAAAAAATTCTAAAACTGAAATAAAATTCAATCAGTCTCATATAAAATTTAGGTACCAATCAAATCATAATGATGCTCTGAATGAAGGGAAGTAAATTTATAATTCAGCGTGGAAAAATATAGACTTACAAATTTTGTATAGCTAATAGTGGACCGAGCTGAATATCCCATCTCGCTACGGTTGTATCCGATTGCCTCAAAAATCTAGAACGTACCTTTGTAAAGTTCATGGAGAAATGTTTTCCAACGTATTGCCATGGACTTGATTTGTTAATCCATCGTCGTGCATTTGTCTGTCTCCTTAGATGAAAGTGAGTTTAGACACGGCTTTGTGATTGGAATTTTCTAATTTAGAATGAGATATATGTCCGAGTAAATTCTCTTTCTTGGTTGGAGTCATTTCAGCAAATTAGGCTTAAGCTCTTTTCGTTTTTTTAAGGGGTATGAGAGCAAAGAGAAAAGGAGAAATAGCAGCAAGAAAATGCCATGTAGACTTGGAGAGGCTTCTCTCATAGAGTTCCGACAGTCCAACATAACTACATAAATTGAATACAGAAGGTACAGATTTTTGCTTCAAGAATCTTTCGGGATAAATGTTAGATATAGCTAGTAGACATTATCTCCTCTTCTAAACGGAATACGATGATTCCGGGATAATCCGGATGTTAGTTTAGAGCGTCCAACACCCTAATAACATTCATCGAATAGTCTTCAAGTTCGTTTGTAGAAATACCTACAACATTCTAGGATGATGAATTGTTGAAACCACCTGAATAGATTTAGAGGCCGTTGCAAATTTCCAACCAGAATTCATTTCATCTGTTGGAACGTTCGTATTAAGTTTCAGTATTATTGACTAGAAGTCTTGTTCTTAAGGTTAGTTTTGTTTCACAAAAAAAAAAACGCTTACGGAAACAATCACGACAGTACAAGCATCACATCATATTTCTCAATTTCATTAATCACAGACGATGCTGAGATGTCTAAGAATTAAGAAGCATGCTCCACCTACCCATATATAGTAGCTTCAGATTACATATGAAAGACTCCACAAGATTCACAAAACGACAGCACGTGAAAGTAAATCTCTTTTACCATCTTCCTTTTCTCATCGGTTAAGAGGCATATTTAACCATTGGCAGTATACAATTACCCTACGATAATCTCTTCCCCTAAGCTTGTTTGATTTGCAATCGGAGTGGAGTTAGCCTTAGATACACTGATGATGCCACTCGTGTCAGACGACATCTATTGCTCCATGCGAAAGCAAAACTTCTGACACCTTTGAGTACATTACTTCCTTACGACAAGTAGCAAAGAGTTCTTTTAAGGTACTCCTCTTGTAACAATCAGATCCTCTATCTAGTCTAGAAACCCTCAGGATCTCTAGATGGTTTGGGTCATGTGACCTACTGAAGCGTCCTAGTGTGATCGGCTCTTTACACATGCCACAGGCATGTGTTCGGTGTACACAGAGGCAGAGTATTAAACATAGTTCAGTTGACAAACATACCGTGTTCGGTTTTGAGTCCTGCGGCAAAACGTGAAGTTTGGGAAGGGAAAAAATGCATGAAAGTGGGACGTGTCTTTTTCGTGAGGTAGCTGAATGATGAGATTTCCGGCAGTGTGACTGCCAAGTGAACCACCACATGGAACACATTATCTGCTAGACACGTGATTGCTCGTTTGCTACGAAGAGAGTGATAGAGATCGGAGGTGGAGCCCACGTGATGTACCGACTCGAACGTGTACAGAGACATGATCCCAGAGATAAAATCCATCGTGTCAGACTGTTCGAAGTGCCCAATGTCTCCCACCCTCGAGGAGACCTAATCAAGGAGCCAACACCCGAGCCCACGGCAAGTAGATACATCCATCTCTACGCATCCACCCTTCGGCTTCAAACTTGAGGACCGTATGAATCAGGCGTTTAGCACAGTCGCACAGACAGGAGCGATAAAAACAGACAACAATTTCTCCTGTCGAATTCATCGCTCAAGAAGGAAGTTCGCCTTGCAGGAAGCTGAGGCATGTAGATCAGGGTTTACAGGTGCTTTTATAATCAAGTGAAATAATAGTTCGTATACACATCAGGAAAATGACCTCACAGTGGCAATTGAAGGCAACTTCTAGAGCTGACCTTCTTCTCACTAGCCCAGTATTTAGCCGCCAACTTTTCGTAGAAAAAAATGTTAATTCACTATTCCTGAGAAACTCTATCGACTGTCAAAATTGGCCTCCAAGTACAGAAAAGCTGATTGACTATCCCGTGTTTTAGGCTTTATAGTACAATAACTCGTGCTGAAAGACAATGAGATGGGCACTAAGGCTGAAATGTCAAGTAGGTGCAAACGTGATGAAGCACTCTACTTTCTAATTGGGCAAATCTGTAGAGTAGTCACTCTAATGTAATGATGTGGTCAAACTGAGGTGCGCTAATATTGCTTGTCCTCACCGGTGTGAATAATGAAACCATAGATGAATCAATTTCCGGTTCATTGGTACATAAGCATTCCAGTACACATAGGATGCTCGAGTTTCTATTGCACTTCGGAAATCCAACTTGAAGATTACCTCTAACTAAAGCCAAAGTTAGAGGGAATCTTCTAACTTGGGATTTAGTTCAAGTTTAGTATTGCAATGAGGAACATCGTCGACCACGGTGACAAAATCATACACGAGAGGATGTTGGAGACTGGAAGGTTCGTATACGAACTGTCCTTCGCATCATCTATGTCTTTGCCTCGGCCTTCTCAGCTTGTTTCTTACGCTTCTTTGCTCCCGGGGCTGGGAGATGTCCCGTTCTCTTAGCTAATTTGTTCCTAATTTCCATCACCTTGTTGGCAGCATCCTTGAACGGCATGTCTGCTCTTGCAGTCAATAACCTCTGATTTTACATAGCACATGGCACTGCAGTGTTAGTACCTGCCAGCACTTACTGAAGGTCGGCTCCTAAAGAGGTTCACACAAGAAAGGTATTCTGTATAAGAACGTTCAGCAGCAACAACCATAGTGCTATATTATTAGAGCTACGTTAGATCTCACCTGCAAATGTCCCATGGCCGCCATATTATATCCAATGGTATCCTTGAGCAACTGAACACAAAACAGTGAAACAATGTCAATGAGATATAAAACCAAAATGAACTAACCACATTAGCAAACATGACTTCCCATGATAAATAGTTCAAGGAGAGAAAGTATATAATCATACCTGGACGCCCTCCTTAAGTACGGGATGAAGTGAGGTTAATGTTGGCCTCGCTACGCCTGTGCTTGCAAGTTGCTGATGATGAATTTGTGACAGCAACACCGCAACTCGACACACTAGCTCAACCTGAATACGATTTAGGAGAATGTGGTAAGAACAAATGGGTGAAAAATAGCATTATCCTCAAGATTAGCAGCGAAACAGAACGTAAGCGGATAAAAGTACCTGAGTGCCTTCAGAAATCCAGTCTTTTAGATATCCCATCAACTTTAATGCATCCATGAACGGCAACATCTGTAAACAAACCATAATTCCTGATCAGTACAACCGAGCCAATCGATGCCAAACAGCAGCCACCCGTACTGGTGGGATAGAATGATATCAGACGATATCATTAGAGATTGAGAAAATGTCCAACAGATGGGTGGACAAACCTTCAGCATATAGTGAAATATGGAAAGGAAATAGAGAAGTTTAGCAAAGAGACTGGCTAATGAAATGTATTCCTATGCCAGTCTCTTTTGCTGCGTGTTAGTGTCACAAGATTAGTAATTTACCAGAAGGGCTTGCTCAAGGTCACTCGGCCGAACAGAAGACACTGCCCTCAGTACGAAAGCGTGCGGAGCCATTCCTAGTAGAAGTACATTGGGCTTGAACTGCCCAGCCTTCGAGTCGCTCTTCTTCTCATTCTACAAAATAAAGATTCAGTCAAAAGTCATATAAAATCTAAGCCATAGTTCTTAACCACACCAATCTCCACAACTTCGGAACAGAGAAAGCATGCACAAAGCGATTGTCTTCATATGTACATGTTAGAATTCGGGAGATAGGATGTGTTACATGATAGGATGTGACACCTAAGAAATCCACAACTTGCTTCTCTACCTAAACATCTTCGGAGTGTCAATTCACACAGATAGTGCACAAAAAGTGATTCAGGTCTAAATATAAGGCGGGTTGAGAGACCTTATGAAGAGCTAATCGCTCAATCTCGCTTTCAGCCATTTCCAGGGCTTCAATTATGGAATCAACAGCAGAGATTGTGTCTTGTGTTTTCCTTCCGGCAACACCTGCTGCTCCTTCCTCTGGTATATCTTCGGGTCTACGTCCGCCATCATCCAAACCAGCATCGAACATAGTTTCCAGTCTCTTTTCTCTTTCTTCCTGCACAGAAAAAAGAAATGGTATCTGGTCAGTCATTAAGAAACACACCAAAAGAAAAGTCAAATAATCACCAAATTTTGGTTTCTATATATAGCTCTATTGCACTCGATTTACATACCACAAGTAGGTCAGAACCCCTCATATTGTGATCGTCAAAGCTATAAAAAACCAAAAAATCAAAAAGCTCATCAGAGGGCATCGTTGATCCGGCTGAGTACTAAGTGCCAAAAATTAAGCGACAATATTCCACATTTGGATTATCTTCCATATTTGAACGTTTGAACATTTGAACAAAAATTAGCACTAAACGCACCTCTAAGAAAAAGGGTTCGCTTGTCCGATCCCAACGACGTATTGACCGATCGTGAGAACCAGTGATTACAAAATCACCCAGAGAACTGACAGCTAAGCACCACACCTCGGCATGATGACCTTCAAGAGTAAGAAGCAATTCGAAAGTGTCTGCATCCCAGTACTTCACACCACGATCCTTTCCGACGCTGAAAACGTAATGTGTATTTGGCACAAATTGAACTGCCATCACACTGCACAAACCATGCCAGAGTGGTCAGAACACCTTCAGAAAAATGACTGTAAGTCACAAAAGGACAAAACCTTTTCGAGTTAATGGTAAACAACAGAGACTAGCTCCAAATGATGAAAGAGTTTATGTGCAATATAAACTATTGTAAAATCATACAGTCTAGGCTGACCACAACTCCTTCAAAACGAGCTTGTTTTTTAACCATTCAGGCACACACATTTACAGGTGTTAGGACGAACACCTACATTACAATCCCAGTATTGAGTGAAAAGCTGATGAACTTATACCTGTCAGCATGGGCAAAGAGGGACTTGTGGCAATCTCCGAAATCCATTCCCCAAATTTTGATGTTCTTGTCGGCAGAACCAGTTACCAAAAGTGCCCCATCCGAAGATATGTCCATCCCCAAAGCTGGCAGTTTATGCCCATATAATGATAGGAAGAATTTCAAGGAGTCTACGAAAAATATCTGAAATAGAACCATGTGACCAAAAAAAATCAAATATTGAACGCAGAGAAAAGCTTGCTCGCAGCTTAGACATACTTTATACATGTTGCAAGTTCTGCACCTATTATCACTCCCAAACCAATGTCCTATGCTGGTCAAGAGTCGACATTCTCTACTAGTTGAAAACCATCCGAAAATACTTGAGAACACTCCCTTCAAAAGACACAAAGTTGAAACGGAATTGCAAACCTACTTCCAAGACGTACTATCAAATTTAATTACTTACTATTAGTCATTAGTTCCACGACATTTGCTGTTTTAACCAACTGACACAGTTTGATCCAACGCTACACGGGACAAAACCAGAACTCAAAAAAATGCACTTGACTACACACCTTGATTGTTGAGTCAAGAAGGGAAACCGCAAGATATTTTGCATTAGCACTCACGCATACGGCCAAAACATCCTCAGCCATCCTCAAAGTACGCGTGTTGCGGATGCTCAACTGCTTTGTAGCCTGAAATGAACGATATACTTCGTAAGGCTTCCTTGTGATACACTTCAGATGTAAGAAAAGTACCCACGACATGCACTCACAGGATCAAGGTTCAAGATATTACATTCCTCTGTCCGTTGACGTTCTGCTTATAGACAGTTCTTGTATTTTAGAAAGCGTGATACATGTGTCAATCTATGATCACGACAGAACATGCAGGTCGCCATGAGAAATGGGCACACGAGAATTATGATAAATCACCAAGGCCATGAGAGATCCGATAAAGATACCTGAACAAATTCATACTCCCAGAATTTCACATCATGGTCTGCACTCCCGCTGACAAAACCTAATCCGTCTGTAAAAGGTGATATGGACCATACAGCACCCAAGTGAGCCTCTACCACTTTGGAGCGTTCAGCTGCATCAATATCCACTATCTCCAGTGTTCCAGCCTTAGTACCCACAATGACGTGATTTCCTGGAGCAAACACGCCAGATAAACCATATCCAGTTTCTACAGTGTGAAGGCATGCAGTGGTTTGAGGATTCCAAATTTTCACCGCGTTATGACTCGTGGTCATGAGGAGAGTGCTATCTTGGTTGAGCCTAGCAACCCGCACATCTGACCTATGGCCGGGTAAATCCACTGCGTGCAGGCGCGAGGCAGTCTGCTCCTGCAACTCGTACACTTCTAGTAAATTGTTATGTAGGGCTATAGCTATTGATCCTACTGCACCCTTCTTTGCTTGCACAGGTGAGAAGCAAAACGACAGGATCTTGTGTTTCATTCTAACCGTTTGAAGTAGGTGAAAAACATCAGACGCTATAATTTCATCCTTTTCAGTAGCCATCTCGTCTTGACCCTTTTCTTCCATAAGGCCATTCTTCTCAGAGGCCTTGGTGGCCTTTTCTCTTTTCCTTTTCCTCCTCCTCTTCATTTTCTTGGAGGCCTCTAATTCGTCAGATACACTGTATATTTCCAAAGTCTTCCCAGCCACTTGGCTACCAAACAGTGTACCAGACGCATCGAACCGGACGGTTGCAACTCGACCGTTGTCACCCCTCTTAATGTTTCCTATATTTTTGAGCACTTCCCACTTGCTTTTAGTGGTTACTCCATTCTCTACCTCCTCCTTACTCGTATCTGAAGCCACATTCTCATCCTCACTGATTGCGTAAACGTGAAGCTCGGGGTCGGCTGAACCAGTAACTAGGTACGTATCTGAATTATTGACATCAAGAGACCAGATTTCTCCACGATGACCAACTACAGTCTGTATGCATGACTGTGTATCTAAATCCCATACGCGAACGAAAGTATCTTTGGAACAGCTTACAAGTCTCTTTCCTTTGGTTAAAAATACGACATCCGTAACCTGCAATTACAATCAGTACAACCGATGAGAAGACTCGACTCTCACTTCCATGAGTACCCAAGAACAGTGTCATGTGTTAAGATTAGCCAATAGCTCCAGGTCAATCTGATATCAGAGCTCTTCTCATTGCAATTCAAGTGAAGGAGTAGGCATAGGGAAAAGCATTATTGGTGTACGGCGGAAAAATAAAAAATTTATCCGACGGAAAGGAGGAAGCTACAATGCAACTCAGAAGAATATAAATTATCAGAAAGACATTATCTCTACCCAACAAGTTAAATGTGCTGTTCCACAGACATTAATTTTTTCCAATTTACATTTTGGATGGAATAACAACAAAGAATGAAGCTTCCGATTATCATACAGAGCAAGTGCAGTCAGCTTGGGAGTAAACTGAAACTGTAAGCAGGTGCAATTCAGATATTAATAAACGGGCTATGTAACGCATGAAATCACCTGATCACGATGTCCCCGAAGACTAAAGAGTCCTGCCTCGCCTACGACGTCCCAGACAATGATATCGGTATCCTTGCTACCAGATGCCAGCAGGGAGCCCAATTTGTTGTAACGCAAAGCCGTGGTAGCTCCCTTGTGACCAACTAAAGTTGTCTCGCATGCTCCTTTTATTATGTCCCAAATCCTCACTGTTCCATCACCGTAGCCAACGGCCACCTGTCCTCAAGGTGATCGACATCCATAATGAGAATCTCAAAAGTTTTAAGCCTGAGCTAGGTTTGGATCTTGCATACATCACTCCTGTTGGGTTTTATGTGAGTGTAAAAATGCTGTCAATTTTTATCAAATTTTTATCAAATCAATTTTTAAATTCAGTTCAATTTATTGAAAGCTAAATTTCTTTTCCTATCTCGTGAAAATTCACTACACTGAACGATAACATTCAAACAAAATCATTCACAACTGTAGAGGTAGGTCGTGGGCAATAATGCTTCGAAGTTTTTTTCAGCTCAAACATTTGTACAGACTGTTTTACTGAATGACATCATTTTGCACTTACCAGCGATGTCGACGTCGGCATTCGTTGCACGGATGTGACCAAAGCGCGAGTTCCTGTCGCTGGAGCAGGAATACTGAGGTTGTGAACACTGCGGCCCTGCTTTACATTCCATACCGCCAGCTGCTCCAAAGCCCCAGCTAATAACAGTTTCCCAGAGCTGTCATATTCCACATTTGCTCCCGGTGACACAACCAACCCAAACGCGGCTGCTTCTTCGTAGCGAAGGTATGACTTCACCATTGTTCACCACCATGTGCGACAGAAGCTTCGAATCCTTACTGCACTCGCTTTTGCGACGAAATAGGCACACAATTCACAGGGCCAATCCTCATCTGCACTCGAAACAAACCTCGAGAGCCCTCGAGGTTCAGACCGCGAGGAGAAATCGAAGAGAAACGTTCTTCTACGTACCCCGGGGTTTAATGGTTTAGGGTTTTAGACGACATATCTACGCAGTTGTTGCCGCGCCTCGTCAGACATTTAACGACGTACCTCTCTCGTACGCAGTTAGTCGAGGGAAAAATTGCGGAGAGAATATAAGTCAGCATAATGCCTGGTAGGCTCTTCATCTACCATGTTCAGTAACGGTCTGTGAAGTGGGACAACAGTTGAGACCTGCTCTACTACGTAGTACAACGAAACTGGGGCATCTGGGGCTCCGGCGGATCCAGATTCATGATTTCCGGTGCCACTGGCATCCAGCAAAACGCGTGACTCACAGCATGCGGTCGCACCCTGACAAACGGCGGGCCCCACAGGATCAATCCAGGGTTCAGCCGCCATGAGCGGATCGACGGATAGAGGAGACGCAAGCGGGCGACGCCGTCCATACCCGCGATGCTTCGACAGGCGCTAGACCCCAGCCCGGGTGACAGGGGGCGTCGGACACCCTGCCACGTCAGCTTTTGTCTTCTAACGCTTTTCGGGCCCTTCTGTTCTCGGCCAGTGCGGGCCGAGGTACCTCTGTCCCTGCATGGATCTGAGCCCAGACCCCCAAACGGGATTTCCTGTCAGCTGACAGGCTCCGGTAACCCATGCGTACGAGTGTGATCGATGGGCATCTCAATCAGAAACCCCCGCAAAAAATCCCGAACGATCACGTTATGCTTTTTGAAGAAAAGGTACGACGATCTGTCATAATTCCAGAAAATAACTCCACCTTAGATTTTCAGACAAAATCATAGCGTATATAAAAATCACGAGAATTGTCACTTTACATCAGAGGACCGGACTGGTACCTGAAAAGATGGTCCAGGTCGGCAGTGTAAAGCTGGTCATTCTAAAAAGGTACATGGAGATCCCAGAAGCTATCCATCAAACGAGGAAATTAGCTTATCCAGCAAAAGATATCGATCAGAAGAAATTTGATATCTTCTCTTTTGGCAGCATTCGGTACCTTTTGTTCGAAACTGAAGCTTCCGAGGAGGATGTGGAAGATTAAATAATGGCACAGCCCTAAAGTCGAGTGAAGTGGAATGCAATGGACACTGAGTAATAAAGTGAAGTGGAATGTAGGGCAACCCTTATTACAAAAAGGTCTTCCATGAGCTACAAGCTATGTACATCGGTGTTCTCACTGCACACTCATATGCTCCTGCCCGCAATCCCTGCGCACTCTCCTCGATCTCGGCTGACAAGCGGACAACTATTTCTACGTGCATGAGCCATGAAGGGAATGGAACCCTGTGGATGGCTACGAATCAGTCGATGTGACTGCCTTTTGAGGTTGTTTTGCTTGCAGGTTGGTAGATGGGTACTTATAAGTACGATTGAATTATTGGAACGTGAAGTCCCTGCGCGTTTTTAGGTCGTACCACGTAGGGGTGAGGCACTTCCTACATTTTGGTGACTCAAGGAGACCCAAGTTCCATCAAGATATGAAGAGCTGTAACTTTTCATCGGCGATTGTGTGAGACAGGAGACGGCGAGAAATGAGAACTTCGTGCGGAAATTCGATGGCTTCTTTGGTTTTGAACATTGTTCGGAAGCTGCCCGATTCTACAAAGAGATGCCTTCAGAGCAGTCCTCGTCATTATGATCTGGACGCGTGAGTTCGACCGACTGGAGTCCCATTTTTATTTTTAAGATTGAGTCTTCTGCTTTTTCTTGATATTGATTTTAATATATCTCCCAACTTGCGGTGTCGACTTCTGAACCCTGTACTCTTTGTTCAAGGCACTGCTGTCACTTGCGTGTAATATATATGGGCAACTTCGGTGTAAAAACAAAATTTATGTCAAGAGAAAGTAGACGAGTCGAGTTGAAAAAAATGCATACTTCACTTTCCCGATGACTAATTTCCACGTTGGAAAGGTAAGGCGTGTAAGTGAATAATTCATTTTTCTATTGTGTAATTTATTTTTGGAACAATGAAAATTATTTTTCATAGGATTGTATTCACTTTTAGTGATGTAGGGCATATTTGATATCACGATTCTAAGAAGATCTAGCCGTTGATTCCCGTCTAAATTATTTTTTATTCAATTTGATGAAATCTTCACATTTTTTAATATGCATTAAATACCCTTGTGAAAATGGATCACTTTTCAGTCTACAGAGTAATGATTGTACAGTTCCCAAATCGACAAGGAACGTAAGAAAACTAGTGTCATCGACGTAAGTTATCAATTCTGTAGATATTTTCCACGGTTGTAATCGTGCATGTTTTTGCCACCATCTCATCTCGTTCCTCCACTCTAGTTGGAGATCCTCATTCTATATATAGAGTATGTGTACTAAAACACAACAGGCCAATCAGGTCTATTCAATCACTGACACAGATCTATCTGTGGATTAATCAACGTCAGCTTTAAGCGGAGGAGAGCTCTGATAAATAACTATGCTTGCAACTCCCTTATTTGGAAGCGAGCAGAAAGAAGGTTCCTTGCTTCTGATTCCATCGCAAAGAAGCAAATGTAAACCGAACTAAGATTTGAATCGGTCATACAGCTGTACTCCAAACCGAATCGATTCTCTAACAGTTGTCAAAGTATGGAAGATCATGAGTAGCAACCAGACGGTAACAAGGAGTTATATATATATATATATATATATATATACTCATAAAAATGTAGATTATTTTTTCATTTCGATTAGCACATAGCCATTCAGTTCATACTCGACCAAATAAGTTGTACTTGATAAAGAGATAGCATCAATTCTACCATAAAACATCTTACTTATCAATCCTAGAACTATATTCTAAGGCGGAGACTATATTTACACACAATATTGAGCTAAGAGAACTGCTTCAACATCATTATTGGATGTAAAGGTCACCCAAACACGCAGAATGCATGAGGATTTGACTACACTTAGTTAGTATATACTAGTGATATTGGCTCGATATATTCTACCCAAAGAGATGGAGTCGGTGTGACATACTTTATTCAGCATAATATTCACATGTGTTGGACTTACAATTCAGGAACAGCCGGTTCGATCATTCTAGAGCATCCATAGACTCATACTTTATAACCTGTATAATGGAAATCTCAATCTCTAACTCAGTGCTTCCATATACTTATCACTTTTCTAGTGATAATTCAATGGAATAATAGAAATATATAAATACTTTACTCTAATCTACATTGGGTTTAGGATACAAGTGCGGTGCATCGACCAACAGGCGACATATTATGATATTCTTGAATCAGGACGATGGTTTAAAGTTTGACCTTTGAACTCTAGCGTTGATTTTGAAGAACACAAGTAACATGACACACAAACACATCATGTATTCTTTCTCGGTACAAGTTCTTAATTCTCTAGGTTTAAAGTTTGACCTTTGAACTCTAGCGTTGATTTTGAAGAACACAAGTAACATGACACACAAACACATCATGTATTCTTTCTCGGTACAAGTTCTTAATTCTCTAGGCTCGAACGGGTATCCGGCTCTAGTGACGGGAATTTGACAACTCGAGGAACAAGACCAGGTCGAAATTCCTCTTGGACCGGTCAAAATTACCGCATGAACGGATTTTTTTTTAATTTTATTAAAATATACAAAATCCCTCGACATCCAACGAAGCTTGTGCCATTTGCATGGGGGCGGACTTCGCATTTACTTCCCAAAATTAATAGCACAGTTTGAATGTTGGATTGCCAGGAAGTGGTGATGTTATGGACACTGTTCTTTGTGTTCAATTCAATGTATGAGTGAAGAATGCTAGCTAGATTTTAGGGATTCATAAAAAAGCAATTATACATCTAGTTATCATCGTTACGAACAGGTATCCGATCAGGGCTCAATTACTACAATATGCAGAATACCAAAGCTATATGCATATATTGATCTCTTATTTGTCTTTCTGCTTTCATTGGTTGTACACTTCCTACGTTTCCCATCTACGTTATATAACCTTGCACGTACCAAAACTTGGCATACCGTTACATGTCGTGCCACATTTATGTGGGATCACCCAGTTCAGTCCTCACAGCACGAGGAGTGTGTATCAAAACCCTACTGGAAATACTTTCAGAAGCACGCAGATATTCTTTTCCAGCTGGAACTCCATGCATGCATGCTCTCAAGCTTGCACATTAGCAGATCCGATCCATGAAGATGGCAAGCTGCTAAAAAACGAACTCATCAAAGAGCCACCCAATCTTAGAAACGATGTTTCTGCCAAACAAGTGCCATGAACTAACCATTACAACATACCAACACAGAGCTGATATTCGAAACATATTGACGGAGTTCCACGCTCGTAACCACTAGGCCGGAGAATATTCCAACGGAAAGGCCTTGTTTCATGTTCTGCTTCGACCAATGCTACAGCAAAACCTGTACGTCTGAGGAGAGGAGGAGGGGAGGGGAGGGAGCGATTACAATGTTTTAATCTAGGGCTAGGGCGAGGCAGATCATGATAATGACGAGTTCACAAAAAGGCGGTACAGTCCACCGAGACCAAGTTTATGATTTTAGGGTACTTAGACGCAACATCACGTTGAGGTGCTTGCCAGCCATCCATTCATTCATCCACTGCTAGGCCAGAGATTGCATCTTGTAGTGGCGAGATGTGAGTGATGTAATGGCAGCGTCATGGTTTAATTATATGATTTTCTCGTGGGCTTGAGCTTGTTGATTGTCGTAGCTTCGTGTTACGCAAGGCAAGCCCAAGGAGTCCCAGGGCCAGCAACAGGAGTAGAGGAGGAGTAGTTGTACAAGTCTATCTCTCCTTCCAACGACCTTCCCAAAATGTCGCTTTAGCCTTTATTTCACTTTCGGTCGTTCTCTCGCTCTCATGTTGCCAGAACTTGTCCATGTCCACAGTTGTTGGATGTGACCTAGTAGTACTGAAATGCCGCCTTCTTGGTGCTTCTTCAAACCAGAACGGCAAGGCTTGCAATCATGACGGTTTTGCACCCCCTGCACATTCACTTGTTTTGGTAGAGATGTGGGGACCTCCGAAGCCCAAAGTGTGGAGCTCGACTTGAGGAGAAAGGTAGAGGAGAGGAAGTGGGAGGGACGGAGACAGAGAGAGGACTGGTCAGTTAGATTATATGCCGGACGGTCATGGTCATGGGACGAGCGCATGAGTAGGGGAAGGGAGACGGTGTAGAGGAGGAGGAGGAAGAGGCCCAACGAGAAAGTGTAGGTTTTGGTCCAATGGGTTCTCATTATCATAGCACTTGAGAGAGGAGAATGATCGACGATGCTGTTGTTGTGGGAAGTCGTTAGTAGCATAAGGGAGGAAGTTGGAGGAGGAAGAGGAGGGGATGGGAGAGGAAAGTGAGTGACCAGGTGAGTCGGCTGGATATTATCACTATATGTTGATTTTGGGCCCACCTTGAAGACTGATTTTGCTTCTGCAAATTGAGATATGATGGTTGAGAACGTTGATGTGTTTGTGCTAAGGTAAGGAAGGAAAGGCTGTGACGAGGGAAGACGAGACAGGGAGGGGGGAGGAGAGGAGAGTGGAGAGGAGGCAAGCAAGGGGCAGGGAACCAAGAAGGTTTGGAGACCCTAACAGGCTGTTCACCCACATGGTTATCTCCATCCTTTCACTGAAAGAACGTGAGTGAGGGGATGGAGTAAGCCCATACCCATTTCTTGTTTGTTTAGAGGGAGGTCAGGTTGGAGGTAATGCTGGGTTTTGAGAGTAATCATACGGAGATGGAATTGCAATGGGCAGGACAGAAATTTCATGCATGCAGTAGTGCTGTGTAATTTTCTGGAGGTGTTGTCTGCAGTGGAGCTCATGTACAACCCTGATCTCGTTTGCGCTCAGGAGCTAGTTGATGGTAACTTGGCACACTGGAGGTTAATTTACAGAAGCATCTGCTTACATCTTAGGAGGAATGAGGACATGCTTTGCGAATCTGCACGGGAGTAAAGCCAGCAGAAGTAAAATTTCTTGATGGCAACCGGCCGGACCGATTTCAAATTTCTTGCTGCAGGTAGAACTCAAAGCCTCGACGACTTTTTTCGTCGTAATATTCGCATCAAATTAAGGTAGTTGTCATGGTTTTAGGTGTGTCCGAATTCCAATGTCGCGATACTTGCTACAATACTTAGTACTTTTGATTACAGCAAGGACTGATGCAAGTCCCGTCGTGATTATCAAGTTCCTCGACAGGCGCCAAGGTGATCTTCAAGGATACACGTTCAGGCGTCGAGATTTGGAGTGTACCATACACGAAGATTATACGCATGGAGGTTACGCTGTTGGATATGGACCTTGGTTGGCCACTCGAAACAGACTTCCGCGATTCGAAATTTTTAAAAAAGCAATGTCGACTCAATTTGACAATTTTCCCAAGGCAGCGAGTAGCAATTTTGAATAGCCAATGTGGTTTATGAGAGCTGCTGCTGGCACTTTTACGTGGAACTTGGGAGCTTAAGCGGAGGAAACCAATCGCATATCGTCAAAATGGTCAGTCGATACGCTTTCCGCTTCATTTGCTTCGTAGAAGTCGTAATGCATGTTAGTCAGCCGGCGTGGAAGCGCGAGTCGAGGCAGAATTATGCTTCTTTTGGTTTCCGGAAGTGGAGGAATACTCCGTCGTGTGCTACTTCGTGTAATCTTGAAATGGAAGCTTATGAACAGGGGAGACAGATATCGTACAACGTCAGAGATGTCCTGGACTCAGACTCGGAGTTCCTCACCGGCTGAATTTATTGACTTTGAACGATGTGCTTTTCCCAAATTCGCTCGTTTCCGTTAGATTCCTTGGTGGCCACTTCAGCGGATTCATGTATATTGCATGTCCACACAAGTTCAGTCGAACGTGCAGAAGAGCTGTACGGTCCACTAAAAGCGCATGAGTATAAGCTTACCTTTCGAGACGAGATATTTTAGAGGGGTCACCTATAATTTGCGTTGTTGTAGAAATTCTTGTTACCTTGTTTTCCCCCCGAATGCTGATGGTTCACGGGTCCATGAAGCTTTAGATCACTTGCATTGTGTAATCAAACCTGCTAGGGTTCACCTCCTGATCCAGAAACCTAGTGCCCAGGTCAACACTAATTGCGAGTCTCTCCACGTTCTTTGACATTCGATCTCCATGTTGACGTTGGTTGCTGACAGTATTTTGTGTTGTCACAACTATATGCAGTTCTCAATCGCGGCCATCAATGATACAAGCTCGCCACGTCCTCGTTTGGAGACTTTACCTCCAACAAAAGAAGCCCAGGTAGGTGTATGTACCATTTGCATTTTAGAGCGTTGCATTTGTGCTTGTTGGTGGTAACTTAGTACATGAATGATACGGAGGTTACGCTTTAGGTCTAGTTTTGAGTAGAAGTGTAAACTGAGGTTGAAAAGTTTTGGCAGGTGCTGTTTCAGAGGTCTGCGCTGACCACGTTATAGTTGCAAACAGGCGGTGGATGCAGATTCATAATAGCTGCATATATTTACAGTTAATATGAAAATATGCAGGGTCATTGAGGGCTAGCTTCCCACTGACAAATATGACATTAGAAGTTAATTTTTTGTGGAATATTGAATTCGTTGCGTTGTTGACAGGACTTTTTACGTAGTACTGACGAATGCACTTATCATCTGCAGGAGGCTCGTCTTGCACAAACATATCAAGAAGCTTTAACAGAACTGCAGGCTGGAAATCTCACTAAAGCACAGAGTCTTTTCCAGTCCATTTTACAGGATCCAATCATTCTTCAGACAAGAACGTCAAAGGTAACAGTCATTATATACTCTTGATCAACAATATTATTGGTTGCAATAGGTAATTAGATTGAACCTAAATACACTCAACAACGCTGTTTGCTGTTGCAGAAGGAGAATGTAACAGAGTCAATTGACTCCAACCCGATGCTGCAGTTAAGGTATGTCTTTTTCTGATGATATCAGGCTTGAACAATTCAGATATCTGTCCACGTACATAGTTGTCTTTCATTCCCTTGTCTATGAGGAGTTAATGAAAGGCTGCAATCTCCTCGTGCAGGTTTTCGACGTTGAAAAACCTGGCAGAGACGCTTTTTAAGCAGGACTTCAACTATCACAACGATGCTCTCGACTGCTATCTTCAGGCAGCATCAATTGATCAGGATGATGTTGTGCTCTGGAATAGACTCGGAACGCTTGCTTGCGCCCTTGGACACCTTGATATTGCAAGAGCCGCTTTTGAGCAGGGTCTCCTCTGTAGTCCACGTAATTGTAAGTAGCTGCTCATGTGTATCGAACACCAGGCAGAACATACTCATCATAAATAGAGAATTAGTGTTGTGACGCTAATTGAAAATATATCGAGCTGAAGCAGAAGGATCATCACCCCTTAAAGCCCAACTTGTATTTATGAACTGCAAGTTTTCTGATGTTCATAGACATTCGTGTATTAGTTCGGCGAACTTGTCTGATTTGAACTCTGCACTTGCAGGGCTGTGCATGGAGAAACTTGCTGAGGTGCTGATAGCTATCGGTGACGAGGAAGCATGTCGGTACACTGTGAAGCGCTTGCTTAAACTTTCTCCGTCACACACCAGAGCTAGACATATTGATGATGTTCTGGAGGGGCGTGCAGATGCTCGTGAGATACTGAGAAAACGTGACTATTTTAACGAGTGTCTGTTCAAGCTGAATGTTCTGCCTCGTGGTCTAGACTTATTGGAACCTAGACATTTCAGCTTGTCGTTTCCGAAGAAGCGCCAACTAGAGGATGAGGATGAAGGTCAAGGGAGCTCTAAAAGAAGCAAAATTCAGACTGTGGACGTGAGACTGAGTGAACTGTCTTGGCGTTCCTTGTTGTCTTCGATGATTGATTTACTCCAGTCCATCGCAGGATCCACAGGAGTGAAGGCAGCAGAGCCTACTTCTGACGAACACTCTAAGTCCCGGAAATCCGGATCTAGTTTCACAGATGGATCTCTTGTCAACGCTTTAGTAGTTTTCTCTGTCCTCAGAAAGCGACTCACCAAGAAGCCGACTCTCACAGGCAATGGAGCTTCGGCTTCAACACCAGAAAAGTCACCAGGTCTCGAGCGAAGGTCGCCATATCCCTTTCCTTTAAGTGGCCCAGGATCCAGTGGAGAATCTCGGGATCAATTTTTTTCCAAAGCAGCAGGTATACCACAAGATGGACATAGAACACGGGAACTAGGCGTTGCTTGTGTCAGTTTGTCTTCCAACCATATTCATCCTGCCGATATCATTGATAGCTTAAAAGTGGCGGAGGCTTTATACGAGGACGAGCTTCCTTCACAAGAAAGGCGCAGTACTCGGATTGAGAGAATTCGTACCCGTGGATACGATAAGGACGATAAGCTCTGTTCAGCCAAAAGCAAAGAACCTGACCAATGCGAAGTTTTGAGGCAGCAGCTCGAACCTTTCATTGCGCGGATTGATATGAAGGAAGAAAATCTCCAGCTAGATGTCAAACTGGGTAGTGAGTGTAGTTCAGATATGGCTGTTGACGGTGGCGGAGGCGGTTCTTTAAATACAGGTAGGAGTTCAATCAATGCCCCTGTCGGTGGAGAGCAGAGAGAAGAGCAAGATGCATTGGCCGAAGAGGAAAATGACGTCCAACAGTTTCTTGAAGATCATAAAGTCAACAGTGGGCCCTATCATGTAGCACATAAGCTGTTAGAGACGCTAGCTTTGAACCGCTGTAGGCAGGAAATCACCGTCTCGAAGGTGTTGCTGCTGGAGACATTGATCCGTCATTTTAGCTGGACAACAAGAAGCCGGGCTTGTTCCTTGTATCTGGCTGAGCTTTCGCTGGACATGTTTAGCACGAGTTCACAGAGAAACGCTTCACTTTTTTTGACTGAGTGTGATTTTCATCTCTGTCGAGTGGTTGAAGCGGCCGGTTTGCATGCTGCATGCAAAACCTTGGAGGTAGATATGACCACTGAGAAAGAAGGTCAGTTAGAAGATGGCAAATCCAAGGAGAGCTCAATCCAGGATCTGAGTGCAAGTAAGAATGATACGCAAATGATAGATGCTGTAGAATGGAATAAGGTAATTCGAGAAGGTCACCCCACGTCTAAAGAACACGACTCAGAGATCAAAGTCGAGACACCAGAGGTGCGACACAACGTTGAGATTATTAACCAGTGCCAAGATACGGATTGGCGATTATGGCTCAGGTATCATTGGCTGAATGGTCGGTGGCATATGCATTCCGGACGTCGAGAGAAAGCTCATGAGGAGCTCAATACATGCTTGGCTCTTATGGAAAGCAGAAAGAGAAGGGGTGAATTCTGGCTTGCTGCCATGTTACCACATTGCAAGGTAGATAATGTTGTGAACCCTGTTACTGTCCAGCGCATGTTGTATGAACTGGACATAGACAAGTTGTTGAAAGAGTCAGCATGCACAATGGTTGAGAAATCTCAGTATTCAGAGTTGATTGATTTGCTAGTTCCTGTCTTGCTTCCCAGCAAAGATTCAGAAAAGGGAAAGCTTGGTTGGAACGAGACCAGAAAAGGTGCCGTGGATTCTTCACCAGAGTTCAACGGCCTTAGCATATTGATATCTGCTTGCGAGAAAGTAGATTCGCCAAACCTTAGCTTAGCCTTGCAGTGCTACGCCCGAAGATTAGAGATTCTCTGTGGTGCTATGGGTCTCGGCAAGAAAAATGGTCGAAGGATCGCTCCAGGCTTTTCGCGGCACACTATGAGCCCGGTAAGTTCAGATTCGGAACAGGAACAAGGAAAGGGTAATGAAGTTCAACGCAAGCTCGTTGCAGTGGAGGTCAAACTCGTTTCGAGATGCGTTGCCAGTATCAGAGACAAAGTGGATGAAGCAGGTGGCAAGGTAATCCTCCCAACTTGAAGATATGAACTTTGTCCTTTAGTATGCATCCTTGCGTTCGTATGATTTTTGTACAGTCTTGCGGCCCGTTAACTTGAGATCATGGTCTTTATGTGAATGCCTGAGTCAAAAATATTTCTTTGAGCATGTGATACGTTGCTGGTCATGGCAGTAGGCACTGTTTCTTTCACATGACCCAATGTGCTATAGTACTGCGTTTAAGAGACTCACTTTCCTGCTTGTACGTGGTGGTACTTGACGAATCCAAGACAAAAAAATGCTCCGCTATCTGTACATGCTTTCTGATGCATGTTATGTGTAGGTGTTTTCTCTTCAACTGTTTAGGAATAAATGCTGAGTCCTTACAATCTTCTTTCTGTTCATCAGGGTAATGTTACTCTTCAATCGTCCGTTTTGAGGCAAGTTCAGGAGCTCCTGCTCGATATCATATGCTACGATCTGAAAAATTTTGACTTACGAGAAACAGTGGGGCTGAACATTTCAAACGTCGCTCCGCAGTTTGACAGCAGTTCCTTCGTTGATAACTTCGTAGCATTCTGTAGGCTGCAACATTTAGACATCAATGCGTCAATCAAGGAACAGGTGCGCTTCTTCTTTCAAGCCTCCTATTCTGCAGGGTTTTCCAGAAAGTGTGATCATGTCTTACTTGGCAATGCTTGACCCGCGCTAACTGTTGATCCTGCATCGGCCTCCGAGTTTCTTACTGGTCATGGTGCCTTATGTGAACTGCCTTGCAGGTAGATCTTCTTGCTGCAGTTCATGATGTTCTTGCTGCACGAGGTTTATGCTGCGCTGGAAAGACTTGTGAAGGTGGAGAGGGCGCTTTCTTGAAGTTGGCCATAAAGCACTTAGGGTCCATCGAGCTCAAACTTAGACTCATTGTAGCTCAGAAGGGTTCTGTTGTTGCTGCCAACGATGCTTCTAAGGAGACAAGCTCACATGGCACGGAAGGTGATGAGAAAGAAGATGCAGAGACATCCCCAGAACCAATCTTGGAAAACAAGGAAGATAGTAGAGAGGAGCCCTTTAACAGCGACACAGGAAAAGGGAAGAGGAAAAAAGCTGTGAAGTCTGCCAAGGACGAAGAAGCTGAGGAGATTGAGCGGAGGAGGGTAGAAATTGGTCTAGATTCCGTTCTAGATCAGTGCTTCTTCTGCCTGTATGGACTCAATCTCAGAGGCGGATTTGAGCCATCCAGTCATGATGGCCTTTCCGAACATCAGAATACGAATCGTGGAGACTATAAGACTAAGGAACAGTGCGCAGGTGTATTCCAGTACATACTGCCATATGCGAAAGCTTGCACGGTATGCCTTCCTCTTCACGTTGCCAGCGGTCCCTGGTGATGCCTTTAAATTCGAAGCGAATAGGAGCTCTGTCACGTTTTTAAAAGTTGTAGTCTGTGGATCTTGCTCAAAAGGACAGGTCCAGGATGTTATACGCCATGATAATCTTTTCGATGTTGAAGGTTCTTCGAGTGTTTTTAGATTGACAAGTGTGGTCAAGCGTGACGTTTCATGCTGAGGATGGATAGACTTGTATTATTGAGTCTCAACCTGTTTCGTGGTAAATGAGAAGGAAGGTTAGTTAGAGTTTGAGCGTATTTGAAAATTGCCACGCGCATGTTTATCATCTAACATCACTTCATTTACCTTGTGCAGAGAGCGAGACTTCTAAAACTCCGTAAAGTTTTAAGAGCTGTCCACAAGCAGTTTCCGTATCCTCCTGCAAAGTTCCGTGACGAAAAAGCCGTGGAAGGCTTTCTTGATGATCCAGAGTTCGAAGAGGAAAATTTTAGTGACATGGTTCTTTCCGGGAGATGTCCCAGTCAGATCGTGGATTTCGCCCTGAATCTTCATTTGGGAGCCCCGGATGTTGAGGAAGATCGAGTTTCTGAGCAGAGTAAAGGCAATGCTGCTAAGCAGACTGAGACAGGTAAGGTCAACTTATTAGAGAGTGGTGATGCAATGGACACTGGGATGCATGCGGAGACTTCTGTCACGATGGCTGTTTCCGACTCCTCTAAACGGCAGACCAACGAAGCCTCACTGCCTGATGTTCACCCGAATCGCGAGGAACCATATCTGGAAGTTTATGAAAATCTTTATCATTTCGTAAGTGAGATCGAGGATATCAGTGCCAGTGATAAGTGGGCTGGTTTTGTGCTTACCAAAGAAGGCGAAGAGTTTGTTGAGCAGAATGCCAAGCTCCTCAAATACGATTTGTGCTACAATCCTCTACGATTTGAAAGTTGGAACAAGCTGGCAAAAATTTATGACGAGGTGAGATTGTCATCCACTTCTTCTGTAGCAGACAAGTTCTCGTTTTGCGATTGTGATAAACACTCAAGTGCTACTTGTGATGAAAGTTTTCTGATGATCTTGCGGGTTAAGGACATCGGAGGTTAAGGTGGAGAATTTGAAGGGATAGGCGTGAAAATGAAAGAGCTGTAGAAGTATTATATTTGTATGAATGTCTGTTTTCATGACGTAGTGTTTGAGTAAGCGAAGGAAACGTATTTGTACAAGGTTTCAGCATGCTGGATCTCCTTTGCAGATTTTGGCTTTTTTTCAGATTGTTTGACAAATAGCATGCCCTCATCCTTACATATGCGTAGATTCTTGGTAAAACCCACATTATCACTCGGATTGTATTTGCATCTTTGTCAAGAACAGAGACAACAAGCTGCCAAGTATGCCTTAGAGTTTCGATTGAACATTAACCTATGACATTTTTCAATATCCTCTGAGCTCTTACCGGACTAAAGTGCAGGATGGAATGATATGATCAGTGTTATTCATCAACTTTGTTGGTCCCGAGCAGGAAGTCGACTTAATGCTGAATGATGGAAGTAAGAACGTGAATGCAGTGGAGTGGCGGAAGAACAATCACTTGACGACTAGAGTTGAGATGAGTCGTCGTCGCACACGGCGATGCCTGCTCATGACTCTGGCCCTTGCCAAGACTCCAGAGCAGCAAGTAAGTTGCGGTGCAAAATACTTGTTGAGAAGCTTTTCTTCACAGCAGGAAAGTTTTCTAGTATATGTTGTCATACATTATATTAAAAGTTTAAACGGAGGAGTTTTCTTCGAAGGTTTTAGCGTGGCTCTTCCTAAATGTTATTGTAGCCTGTCAGGATGAGTCCTCACAAGGTAGAGCCATGGTTTGTTTTCCAAATTGGTTGCTTTTCAAAATAAATAGTCAGACCTAATCTTTGTGTCAAGCAATTGAGAATGTAGAAGTTGTAGAGGGCCCTTAACTTTGCTGAGCAGTGTCTAGAGGAGAAGACAGTCTTTAGGAGGCTGACTTACGAATCAAAAGCTAGAATTCTTAGCGAATTATTTGATAACCTATACCGTTTGGTTCTGCAGAGTGAGGTTCATGAGCTACTTGCTCTTGTTTATTATGACTCCCTTCAAAATGTTGCACCCTCGTATGATCAACGAAGCTATATTCCGAAACGGGACGCATCGTGGATTTCACTTTGCAACAAAGCAATGAAACACTTCGAAGGAGCATATAAATTCAAGTATGTGCTAGTAAATTTGCCATTATCTTCAAGGCTTATAGCTTTTCAAAAGACTAAGGTGACCGTAAAGTTTCATGAGATTGATATAGATTTGAAAGCAGTCCCTTTTGGTGCATGAAGGAAATTGTCTCACACCTTATTCGCTTCGAAATCCCTCATGGCAGGTCTGATTGGAAGCATCTATTTTATATGGGGAAATTGTGCGAGAAACTAGGTCGACCTTGTGATGAAGCCTTAGGTTATTACAAGCAGGCAGTAGATATGAAGTCATCAGCTGTGGACCCTGTTTACAGACTTCATGCCTCGCGGCTCAAGTTACTCTGTGAGGGTGATCGTGAGGAAATCAAGGTTCTTCAAGTATGTTATGTCTATCATTTTCTTCCTATCGTTGCAATCCTGTTTTGAGAAGAGTTTGGTCGAGGGACTGGCAGCCCCTTTTTTTTTAAAGGTGTAAGCTTGTGAATTACGACTGATGAGAATGGTACTTTGGTAAAAGCGTGCTTTTTTCGTTACGATGAGATAAGGTAATTACTCACGGAGATGCTGTCTTTTAAAAAGTTGACAAGCTTGTGCTTTCTTCATGCAGGTAATTGCGGAACACTGTTACGTTGCTTCGACCAAAGAGAAAGTGTGCAGTCTTTTGGACCGTGTAGTGGAGGGCACAAGTGACAAGAAGTCATGTAGTCAAAATGCTTCCACACCTGCTCTTGAAAATGGAAACGGTCACGAAGAAGCTAATGACCTGCCAGTGGATGACGGACTGGCAGACCCAGCAGATCCTGCAGATCGGAAAGAGCTGATTGTGGAAATTCGTAGACAATTATTTGAGGATTGTATCACAGTGATGAGGGTGTGTGTTGAAGGGGAGTTGAAGCATTTTCACAAGGCTCGTTTCCGCCTGGCTCACGGACTGTACACCTATGAGATTCAAGATATGGACAAGGCTAAGGAAGAACTGGCCTTCTGCTTCCGATCAAGTCGATCAATGTTTACGATAAATATGTGGGAGATTGATGGCAGTTTACGGAAGATAAGGTCTGTATCAGAAGTCTTGCACAGCCGTTGAGTTAACTTTCAGGACTACCAGATCCAGTTCATCTCGTCGAACATTCGTTTTGGCTAGTGTCTTTATTCCTTCCAGTAGCTTGCTATTGACCCTTGTAGTATGTTCTGCAGTAATAGAGTATGAAGATCCATTCGTGTGTAGCAAGCCCAGCTGGTCATATATGTTCAGTCACCGCTTTCAACTGGCGCTAGAGGCAGAATGGCAACTGCAGTGAAGGACTAGGTTTATGGCTTTGTGTATGTTGGCATAGATCATTTCTTTGGTTGAGCTGAACCACGTTCAAAGGATGTCGTCAAAACATGTAGGTTCAGGACCAACATGTCTGTCATATTTGGATGATTACTAACCGCTTAAGTTCCCCTTTGCCAGGAGGAAGGCAGCTCATGCAACCAACTTAGACGTGCAGATGCCTGAAAGCTCTCGAAAGTTCATCACCTGCGTTAGAAAGTACCTCATTCTATACCTCTCTCTGTGTGAGCAAAACGGAGACATCTACACTCTAGAGCGAGCATTCTCTTCTCTTAAAGCAGATAAGAAGGTAAGGTTTATGAGCTTCTTTCCCGTCGTACTAGACAGATGTTCTCCATTTCCAAATATGGAAGTGATTCGTCTAAATCTTGGAGAAATGTTCGACTCACATTTTTTAGTCGAACATTTCTGGGATACAAAAGAAGGTGCTATTACCTAAGACAAAATTGATTTCAAGTTGTCCATTCTTTCCCTACCAACAATTAGGTGTAGTTTGTCGCCCTAATGTAGACTTGCGTTCTGATGTTTGTGTTGCGCAGTTTTCATTGTGTTTAGATGATTTATCTCGACTGGCCTTACGCAAGTACACTCAAGCTCTGTCGAAGCAAATTGGTCAAGCGGAAACGAATCCAAACGGTTCAGTTACCAACACGGGTTCCAATACGTTGATGGAAAAGTTGTTTAATCTTTTCATGGACCATGGTACTTCTTGGTCCGAGTCTTTGGAAAGTACTCTTGCAGAAGCTCAAACTCCGTCCACACCTCAGGTTTCTGAAGGATCGATCCATAGGTAACTTCCCTAAACTTTAAATACAGACATGACATATTAAGAAATGGGAGAATGTTTTTTACACAGTTATGACTTGCTGAGTGCTGTGGTTAAAAAAAGTGGCTTATTGGTGGGCCGGGTGAAGGTACACCTACTGCAGCTTCTGATGCAAGGAACTCATCACTTCGTGTCGGGTTGCTTGTCATAGTTTATGTATCATGTTTGAACTGTCTCTCTGCTTATACAGTTGAGTTGTGGGTGAGATTTCTGATGCCAATTATTTTTATTCTAGTTTTGACTTGAAGTGCTCAAGCTAGCTGTGCTATTGAGAAGCAACGATGGCTTTCAACTGCACGCCATCTGATTGATTTCGAGTATGCTGATTTTGGCAGACACATACATAGGTACCTCTACAATTTGGAGAGGGAGATGAAGCTTGACATCTTGGAGGCAATGAATGAGAGAATCAGGAAGCGCTTCAAGAGCATCAAGATGCTGGGATTTCGAACAGGCGAAATCTGCCGACATGCATGCTTAGCATGGTGCAGGGCTCTTTGCTTTTCTCTGGCTTCGATTACTCCACTCAACCCAAGCAAGCAAGTGTCTTATCAACTGCAGTCCCAAGGCGAACTGGTTGTAGACATACAACAGGATATTTTCATGTCAAGTTCTTACGAATTACCAGCTTCAGGGGAAGGTTCTCGAGAGGAAGGGTCTGAACCCGGAGAGAGGATTTCTCGGGGTGACGCAGTAGATGGTTTATGTGGAACGGTCTCTATTATATCTTTGATGAAACACATCCCTATCAGACAAGCATCGGTGGAGAATTTGGAGAAAGCAACAAGTTTACTTCGTTCTACGTATGGTTTCTACCGGGATAGTCTATCTGGACCCTTTCCCGGTGGGATCAATCTTTACTTGGTTCAAGTTTCAAATACTTCTGGGGAAGGAAGCAGCAATGGAGCTGGGACAACAACCCATTCTAAACCTGTGGATATTAGCTGTCCACGGAAACTGCTTCTGTGGGCCTTCACTCTGGTTCATGGTCGCACAGGAAGTGTTGCAGAGGCTGTGAAGTATTGCGAGGAGCAGGCAAAGGTCCCTTTCAGTTTTCCAACTTTTGCTAATAAGTGATCATTAATGCGAAGTCTTAAACGTATTGTGTGCTACTATGTTGTAGAATAACAAATTCCAGTGTTTTTAACTTTGGATGACTTATGCGTGGAAAGGATCTGAGTTTTTGTTCCCTCGTTTGTTTTCTTGTTACTGTGCAGCCCAGATTAAAAAGAGCTCCAGTAAGTGGTGTTCTACATACATCACCTTCTGCAGTTCTGATTAATAGTCACGGTTGATGTTCTTGTGAATGTCAACTTTGACAGTTCATAGTGGTGCGGCCACAGCACAAGTCTTCCACACTGAGACATAAAATGGGTACTAGTCCTTCTTTCACTCTTATTCATATCAGAATTAGTCCACTGTACCCTAGTGTGTCTACTTGCTTAGAGGGATTTGTTTGGACTCCAACATCTGGCAACTTGTCTCACTTGAGTAAAGTTTTAGGACCGCATCTAAATCATCATTAGAACGTTTGTTTCTTGCATAGAACATTGTTACATACTCATCTTTCTCCAAAGGGGTAATTCTCCAGCCACAACTGCGGGGCTATTCTGCCCTTTCCCATTCAGCCGCCAGCTTTTTCAAACTTCCATTTAGGCAGGAGCAGGATACTCTGCATCGTGCCTAAATATATACCGTGCCTTCTTGACCGCAAGCCCTCTTTCTTGAAAGGTGATGTTACGAGAAGTTATTTGTCAAGAGGAGATATAGAGAACTCGCTATTGATAGAGGAAAGTTTTGCATCCAATAGAAATCAGACCTTATTATGGAACTATCATTTTGCTCCTGAACTTTATGAGACAGCAATGCATTGGGTATGCTAATTGAGTGGAAGTCATAACTTCACTAGTAAAGCGCTCACTAGTAATCAGATCTGCTCAAGAATCTTATGAGAGTCTTTTCGCTGTAACCGATATCCTTTGGCTGTAGGAGAATAACCAAGGAAAACACATTCTACACTCTTGGGGTCAATCTTACCCTGATGGCCTTTTTCAATATGGGCAAAGGCAGTACATCCAAAAACTTGTAAGTGGTTAGATCAGGCTTCTGTCCATGCCAAAGTTCGTAAGGGGTTTTGTCATTGGGTAGAGCCTTAGATGGAGATCTGCTCTGTAAGTAAACAGCGGTATGGATGGCTTCGCCCCCAATAACCATGAGAAAGACCAGGATGTGTCAACATAGCTACAACTGAATCGATCAAAGTGCGATTCTTCCGTTCAGCTACTCCGTTTTGTTCGGGAGTATCAGGAATAGAAAATTGGCGTTGAATACCATTAAGCGTACAAAATTCAGTAAAAGCTCGAGATTTGTATTCAAGAGCGTTATCTGATCGCAAAGCTTTGATGCGCTTGTTCAGGTAATTTTCAGTCATCAATTTAAATTCCTGAAACTTGGCAAAGGCTTCAGACTTCTTGTGTATCAAATACACATGCGTATATCGTGAAAGGTCATCAATAAATGTTATGAAATATTTACATCCAGAGAATGTTTGAGTTCTCAGAGAGCCACATATATCTGTGTGCAATAGATTAAGAAGGTCTATAGCACGAGTGGCTCCTTTGCTTGGGAATTTAGCTCTGGTAGACTTCCCTAGAGCACATGAAGTGCAAAAAGGGAGAGTTCGAAAAGAACATTTATCTAACCCGTGCACCATATGATGTTGTTTCAATTGCTGAATCCTTGGAAGACTCCTATGGCCGAGCTTTAGATGCCATTGATAGGTGTTCAGCTCTTCATTGATGGAAGCCAAACAACTAACATTGACAGAATTGACGAAGAATTCTGTCAGCTATTATTAATAGAAGAATAAGTTGTGCCCAGCTTGAAAAGTTTGTTAGAACTGATACAATGATATGACCCATCTTGTCTATCAAGATGCATTGATCAGGTTGAACCAGTAGACTCCCCTTTGGAGAACAAGCTGATGTATAGAAAATAAATTCTTTCTGAGAGCATGGAGAACAAGCTGATGTATAGAAAATAAATTCTTTCTGAGAGCAGGGACATGTAGGACATCAGGTATGATCCTTTCCACACTGAGACAACACTGGAATGCAAGGAGGCCAGGCACAGGAATTTAGTTCTAAGGAAGGTTTGATTACTAGAGTTGTCATAATACAGGTCCCGGATCAGGGGTTAAATACCCAATCCGAGTTCACAAGGGATGTGTCCTTCCAAAGGGACACAACGCCCACAGTGGATCACACCCACAGAACATCTCAGTCCTAACTATAAGGACTGTATCTGCACTTGTGCGCACAGACGTGAAGTAGGGAGTATAACTGTATTTTAAGATAATTAGAATGTACGAATGCTCTACGTGAGCATTCGTACATGCTGATCCTTAGCTATATATTTAGTTCCAGAGTAGAAATAACAATTTGCGTATCGTTAATCGTACATACTTCTGCACCGATATATGTTATTATTTGTGCTTGTAGGTCATGGTCATATACAAAAGCATGCTTCGACTCTTCACAAATGCACTCTGCGAGAATTGCGGCCCGAGCCACACGGTAGATGTCCTGCTTTCTAAAATTGTCAATTGATGTTGCTGATGTGAATATTGTCTTCTGTTTGCTTCCACCACAGCAGAGGGTTCAGTCGCTCAGTTCATCCACCCAGCGGCAAGAAGGTTTTTGCCGGGGCCAATGAAGTGGTGTAGTACACGAACTGCAGCGGCATAATTGCTCGGCGTTTTGCCACTTGTACTCAGAATGTAAAAGAAGACATGACAGCATGCACATTCGAAGACGTCTTCGGCACAGATCCAAATCACACGTGGTTGGGGATTCAAATTCCGTTGGAAGCAAGTGTAAAGTAAAGTGCTGTGCAGTGTAAAGTAGCATGCTTTAAGGTGATAACGGGCATCCAGCTTTGGTGCAAGATCTAAATTATGAGCTCAAGCTACACTGTTCCTCACAGTTATCGCCCTGTAAGGTACGCTTGAATGTTTATTCACTGGTCGTTAAGTTTTCGTTTTCATCTATGCAGTCTCATGTACGAAGCATGTAGAGAGCCAGAGATTCTTTCCCATAGATATCAATACTGAGTCTTTGATGTGTGTAGGATGAATCATCTCAATCCGTAGACCTTACTGACTCCTGAAGAGTATATACACGTATACTGAACATCGATTGATAAACCGTTCTATGCAGCTGACCTATCATCCCGGGCTATGTCCATCTTTGTATTTTCAAAATTCCCGCTAAATGATGTATCATGTACATCTCGGAGCAACTATGGAAGGAGCTGGAGCTTTGAAGTCCTATTCATCCAAACGTCTTGACAGTGATGAACCTATTCTGGTCCTGGACCGGAAGACAGGAATATCACTGCAAGTCATCCAAGTCTATGCCCGTCCTCGCCTTAGGTGTTGGTTCCAAGGCACTGCCGTGCTCCCTGATCGGTGCCTTTCACATTCGATGATACTTTGTAAGATCCAAAACATCGAGTTGTATATTTAGTTCGAGGCTGAAGTGTGGTGCGTTTCTCTAGAGTTCTGTACCAATTGTAGAGTTAGCTTCAAAGGGTGGGTAGCACCCTAAATCAGTCTCAATAAGAGAGAAATACAACATGTAGATCTAGAAGGAAATTTCATTCATTTTGTATGAAATAGGACGGTGTGAAAACAAGTCTTGTGCAATTATTGCTCGAGCTGATTAGTAAAAACTGCGTTTTGCATGACGATGTCCACTTTCAGCGGTCTACACTTAATTTGCTGTGAGATGCTCAATGCCACGTGTCAGTGGAGTCCTCTCATTGTTTACTATTTACACTAGAGGGTCTGTGGTTCCCTACAGACGTCACTATTTTTGGTTCAGTTATTTTTCCACGCCATAGAGCTCTTCACACACGTTACATACGTGGAAGCTTATGACTATCGATCGTGTCCAACATTCACCTACTCAGAGACTCACTTAACAATTTCTCACATCTCAAAAGCTCAAGGTTCTGTTAGCGAAGGTACGTCCAGAAATATAAGGACTTCATTCACCAACCAATCACCGTATGGTAATCATGGGTTTCTTTTCTCCATGTTCTTACTAATCTTCTCCTGCTACTTATAAAGATTACATCAACACACCAAATAGACCCCACGTTGAGGAGTCAGCAAGGTCTCGTTTGTACGAGGCACGCACCCGTAAAGGATTCATGGTTTTCGTCAAGGGTTACTTCATCCGCCAATATTGGCATTCGCAATGGCGACAATGATCCCGTCGTGGTAGTGAACCCTACGATTTCGACCAAAATCTGAAGCTATTTAAACTTCAATGGAGGACACGAATCAACAATGTGTCTACTGCATTGTCTATGCAAGGATTTGCGTAGACGAAGCAGATTTGCCTACAAATCTGGTCTCCCAACTCAGGGTGTACTGAGAATGTCGTAACCGGGAGATGAATCTCCGATAGAGGCAACGACAAGAACAACTCTGTACGGTCACGTTCTTCTGTCGACCATGGTTCTTTTCATTCTCACCGAATTGCATTTGATTGAGTTCTCCTTGGCTTCATACCGTCTCGTGTCACCGATAGGAAGCTGGCTGCATCAACTAGGAATTGTCTGTGACGGAAGTGGTCCACCGCAGCTCGCTTCTCTACTGCTGAAGGTCTTTGGAATTAGATACGTCCTTGAATGACTTAGAAGTGGCTGTCAAAACTGTGGGCTTCAAACGCTGTATCTTGTCGGCGGAAGCCCGTCTCTCGATGCCCGTTTTGACTTGATCAATCGAGCTTTTGAATGTTACAGTATCGTGCTGCATCTGTGACAGATCTTTCCCAAGATTCTCAAAACTTTCCATGAATTTTTTGTTTATTTCTTCTTGTTTATTCTTCCATCCCTCCATCGCTTCAGTCAATAGCCGGAGACTCTCTGGCTCTATAATGTCCACAATTATCGACAATCACAGATGAGAGATTGCTCTGGTACAAAAACCGTGCGCTTCTTTATGACCTGTAGAAGTTTCGTTTATAATATAGATAAAAGTGAAAATTAGTGGTGCCGCAGAAAATCCTGAAGTTTCCACGACACGAGACTCGAATTGTAACTTTATCAAAACTCGATGTGGACATCTGAACTTGATCTGATTTCTCTGCCTCGAGAGGAGCACATCCTTCTCGATCCAAAAAAGTTGGAAAGCACGACTGCAAATTTAACGTCGAGTCTAGAGCGTGCGTCGCTCTTAGATCGGGAAATTTGAGGAGCATGGGAAGTGGGAGTGATGCGAGAGAAACTCGTGAATCAGAGTCGGTAAGAGAAGAGCACAGTCAAGACGACTAGAATCTTACAGAACCGGTGTTCACCTTTCTTTTTCCAACCACCTTCCGGGGTCCCATCTCCTGGAGCTGGAGCTGGTGCTGGCGGCAGGTTAGAAGAAGATCCCACGTCTTTGGAAGATGAAACTGCTGGCGAGTCCCCTACTCCTAAATTGGCTTTTCCACTTCCCTGGATTTCTTCCATCTTCTAAAAAGTCAACACAGTTCGTTGAATCGATTCAGAACGATAACAGAACTTCGCACATAGCCCACTCAATCAGAGCTCTACTCCCTCTGCAGACACTCATTACTCATGCCACTTTCGCTAGTCAAACACTTCCACCACCATAAATCATTCGTCCCCTCGAAAGCTCATGCTAAACTGAACATCGTAAGCACAAGACCCCGAGACAGATGATTTCGAAATCCAGGGATATATCTTCGAGACGCTTCTAGGCAAACTTGGGAGTGATTGGAGAAACTTGAAGTGATGTGTGCTTCGAATCATCATACTGGACCACAACTGCTGATACACGAGAGGGCATCAATAATATGATTCGATGAGTCCTCTTCACAGATCTACTCTGATCAGAACTTGATTTGCGAGTTCAGAAGAGAAGCGATGAGTTGGTGCGAGAGAATTTACGACGCGTTAGGTACGTGTTGCAGGTATAGGAGGCGACTACTGTACAAGAATGGACCTACTTAACAACGACGAAAGGCTTTGCAAACTTGAACGATCAACTCCAGCTTTCAGATGGACTGTAACCAACGTGGATAGTACCTACAATTCATGTAAACCAGCACGAAAAATCGAACGGTTTGTTCGCCCTGACGAACTTCACTACGAGAATTTTCCTACATTGATCAAGAGCTCAGAGTAGACATCTTCTCCCGCACCGTTGCTCCAGCACGAGCCGCCGATTTTATGCCCCTTCGGCCCCTGTTACAGCTCCGCGTCAGCGCTGGTGTAGACCCGGACGAATCGTATATGAAACGAATGGCCTTGAAAGTTGGTGAAAGGTTGCATACAAACGAGCGGTTCGCTGCGACGAGATGGCCGTAGCGGTTCATCCGTCACTGCTGCCCTTTCACTGTAACTGACGAACCAAAATTCCCTTCAACATGAACCAGCCCATGCCTTCCTCACTGTCATAAACTGCTTCGAACATCGCCTTCCGCTTCAGCTCCCTCTCATTTGAATACCATCTCCAAACAAAAGAGTCCAAGGACTTTTCATTGTTAGCTGTCTCTTCCTGGTAACTTATCATTCTTCATAACCCCTTAAGATAATCGCAAGACTCGTGTCGTAGAGAGAAGAATTGATTGATCACGAGAAGTTGATTAGAAGACTTTGGAACGAAAGGAGAGCAAGAGATGCAACGTAGAGTTGGATTCTCATAGCAAGAAAGAGGGGTTCGAAGATCTCGCGGTCATGCAGCCATAAGTTACTGATCCGACATCCAAAAAACATGCAAGTCAACCTCAGAGGCATTGGCCATCGTGACCTACGAAAGTAGGCAATTGAACGGCATAGGGAAAAACTGAAACCTTTACAAAGATGGTCCTACAAAATTGTGTGCCAGCCAGTGTACAGCCTGTATTGGGTAAGATAATGTCTAGCCTTTTGAAACACCGTGTGAACAAGCTCGACACAAGTGTGACAAACTCTAGCTCACTTCTTCTCCTTCGACATCTTCCAGTCGCGATGAAGGTGCCCTCTTGACCAACCCAGCGCAGCACAAACTGCCACATTGCTGCCGGGCAAGTTTTCGCTTTCTAAGGCTTCCTTCATCTCTCCAAACGGAGAAGGTGACAACGAGCCCTCGTACTGGTCCATATAATCTCCGAAAATCTGTAAACACAATCAGCGAGATGTGAGTCCATCGACGAGGGCACGAGCCGAAATTAAATCGAAGTGACCTCGGGAAGTTCCTCCATCCACCGAGTAGAGGAAAAGTGTACACGCATTTCTGAAAAATGAGATGAACTCAGTGCATTCATTACCTTGGTGCAAACATCCGCAATCTTGGCTTTCTCACTGGCAGTGATGGGATTAGCTTCCAATTGTTGTAATAATCCTTCGCGGAACTTTGCCGATTCCTGGATGGGCAACAACAACCATTCAGACCGTCTATCCTCACAACTCACTTCAGACGATCCTGAACAACAACCTGGGACTCCTGAACATTGTGGAACCACGGCAGCTAATTGCCACTAGAGATCAAACCCTTCATCCCTGCGGCGGTTCACGATTCACAAGATTTATGGGAGTGTGTATACACTTCCAACGACGACCTCTTCACAAGCTGGTGAAAGAACAAACGTGGAGCATTGTAATGCTCGACGGCTGATCAGTCAAGGGGCGGAGTAGACAACACAAAGAGCTGGGAATAAAAGTTGATGCGGAAGATTCCAGAGGTCCATAGCGATTCTTCCACACTTCGTCTCTGGACTAGGGAGCTGACAGATGATTTTCTTGTGCTGGAAGACGGTGGTCTAGGTCACAATGAGACATTGAAGAAGAAGAGGATGGACGATGATCAGAGAAGGAGAAAAGAGCAGCAGCAAGCACCTGCACGGCGAAATCCGAGAGCTCGGCCACCGCAGCTTGTCGGGCGACGTGGGAGGAGGTTCGTTGGTGTTGGTGGCGCAGAGAATGGACGAAGCTGGACTTGAAGCTCACTCGCTGCTGGCCACATTGGACCTTCACGGCGCAGCGACTCGGCAAAGCGATGGCTGCCGACGACGCACAAACCAGACTCCCAGCACTCACGCACCCCGCCATTTCTGATGCACACTCACTGGTCGACGCGAGGGGAGCACAATTCCAGCTCTCGTCGAATTTCTCTCGCGGTCGAATGCGTCGAGTACCGAACAAGTCCCTCGACTGCTGCGGGGAGGCGGGGGTAGAACGGCCGGTGCGAATCGAAACGCAGCCAAGTGGATATCGATCGAATCTGCTCGAGTTTGTGCGCACAAACTTATCCTGCTTCGCGTGGGGCCCACACCAACGGAGCGCCACCGTGCCATCGTCACTAGGATCTCGTCATTTGAGTATGAAACTCTCGACCACAAGGGTTTTGGGGTTTTTCGTGTAAATCCTCTCGACTCTCCTAAATAGTCAAGTCTTTCTTTCTATCTTAACACTGAATATATAAATAACCTGGCAAGACTAATCTTCCATATCGTCTTGTACTTCTCCAAGTTCTCGTCATTGTTTTCATTAATTTCGGATTGCTTTGATTTATCCGATTACTCAAATATTAGTGGTAGTTATCTTCATCTTCTTGCTAGTGCTTGTTGCGAGAAGACATACACTAATTGTACTCTTGCTTCTTTTGTTAATACTTGGTGACACTCTTGGCCTCAGAATGATCTTATTTAAATGACTTCTTGAACTCATCAGGTAAGTTGGTGGCCTTTCGTGGCCTTTTGGTTGGTTCAAATCTTGTGACCCGAAATAGGTTTATTCTATTCTTGCTTCTTCTGTTGAGCCTTGTCAATGTATGTTGCCTTATCAAATTCAGACATGTCTTTCCATATCTCTCCTCCGTCTTTGCCGCCACAACGACACACACTATCTCATAATCTTCCTTAAACAACATCTTGAACTCATCAAGAAAGTTGGTGAACCCCTCGGTTGGTTCAAATCTTGTTCGCTAACATAAATTTATCGAACTCTTGCTTAATCTTTGAGCTTTGTCAATATAGGAAACCTTCTCAAATTTAGACATGTCAATCAATTTCTCTCATTCAACTTTGTCAACCATGATGACATCCTTTGTATCAAGATGATCTTCCTTAAGCGACTTCTTGAACTCATCAATAAAGATGAAAAAGGCAGTTGATGGCTTCTTCGGGTGATTCAAATCTTGTAAGATGACAGATTTATCATACTCTTGCTTGTTCTGTTGATACTTGGTAATGTAGGAAATCTTCTCAAATTCATACCTGTATTTTGATCTCTCAACTCCGGCTTTGCCAACCACGGTGACAACCTTGGTTTCTAGATGATTATCCTTAAACAACTTCTTAAATTCATCAAGATAGATAGTGATATCTTTGGTTGGTCTGGATCTTGTAAGCTAACATAGATATATCGTACTCTTGCTTCTTCTGTTGAACTTTGGCAATGTAGGAATCTTATTCAAATTCATATATGTGAACTCATTTCTCTGCTCCGATTTTGCCAACTATGAAAACACGTTTGTTCTCGGAATGATCTCACTTAAACAAAGTATTGGAGTCATTAAGATATTTGGTGATTTCTTTGATTGTTTCAGGTCTTTTAAGTTGACATAGATTCATCGTACTCTTGCTTCTTTTGTTGATTCTTGGCAATATAAAAAAACTTAAAAATTTAGATTTGTTTTTTTAATCTCTCTACTTTGGCTTTGCCAACCACAACGACATACTTGACTTTGGAATAAATTTCTCTAAACGACTTTGTACATTCATCAAGGCAGTTGATGACCTCTTTGGTCGGTTTTGGGTCTTGTAAGCTTACATAGACTTATCGTATTCTTGCTTATTCTATTGAGTCTTGACAGTGTATGGATTTTTTTTAAATTCAGACATGTCTTTCCATTTCTCTCCTCCGATTTTGCCAACAAGGATGACATCCTTGGTCTCAAAATGATCTTCCCTAAACAACTGCTTGAACTCATCAAGGCAGTTGATGAACTCTTTGATTGGATTGAGTCTTGTAAGCTAACATTAATTTATCATATTCTTGCTTCTTCTGTTGAGCATTGACAATGTAGGAGTACTTCTCAAATTTAGTCATGTCAGACCATTTCTCTCCTCCAGCTTTGCCAATCATGGTAACATACTTGGTCTAAGTATCTTCCTTCAACGACTTTTTGAACTTATAAAGAAAATTGAACGCCTCTTTGATTGATATGAGTCTTATAAATTGACATAGACACATCAAACTCTTGCTTTTTTGTTAGTCAATGTAGGAAGTATTTTTGAAGTTAGACATGTTTTTTCATTTTTCTCCTCAGGCTTTGTCGACCATGATACAAATCTTATCCAATAATGATATTTCTTAGACAATTTCTTGAACTCATCAAGTCAATTGATGGTCTCATCTATTGGTTTATTGTTCTCTTGCTTCTTCGTTTGAACCTTGATAATGTAGGAAGACTTTTCAAATTCATATATGTTTTTTCAGTTTTATTTTTGGACTTTGCCAAACACGACCACAATCTTGGTTCAAAATGAATTTCCTTAACGACTTCTTAAACTTAGTAGACTTTTTTGTTGGTTGAGACCTTGTAACCTGACATAGAATTTTTGTACTCTTGCTTCTTCTATTGAGTTTTGGCCATGTATTGTAATCATCTTCAGTTAGTTGGAACCAAAGTAAAGGGTATTCAAGATTGAGTAGAGTAAATGATAGTGTAATATCTACAATGCCACGTCAACAATCCGTGTGTTAGTTAGTATTTTAGTTGGAAACGACATGTCATCAATTCAAGTGTTTATTAGGTAAGGATTGATTGTGGTAGTTGATGTGTTAGTTGGAAGCAACACATTAGCAATCTGTGTGCTCATTAAGTATATTTGTCATGTCATCAATTCCCTAGTAGTGGATTGGATGGTCGGAATGAGATCTTATCTCACTGAACTTGCTAGTAAGAGCTATATAAAGGAGAGGAGAGCCATTCTTGATATCTTGCATCTTCAGAGTTTATGTTTTCATCTTTTAGTGAGCTTCTCTCTAAATTCTAATGTTACATGTATGGATACTTCTCAAATTCAAACATGTCTTTTCATTTTTCTCCTCCAACTTAGCCAACTACGACAACATCCTTGACCTCGGTATGATCTTTCTTAAACAACTTATTGAACTCAACAAGAAGATTGGCGAACTCTTTGGTTGGTTTGGATCTTGTAAGCTCACATAAAATCATCATACTCTTGCTTCTTTTGAATTTTTGTATTGTAGAAAATCTATTCAAATTTGAACATGTATTTCCATTTCTGGTTTTGCCAACCATGACAAGAATCTTGGTCTCGGAATCTTATTTAAATAATTTCTTAAAATCATAACGAAAGTTGGCGGCTTCTGCAATTGGTTTGGATCTTGTAAGATGACAAAGACTTATTTTACTCTTGCTTCTTCTATTTGATCTTAGCAATGTAGGAAGAATTCTAAAATTTAGATATGTCTTTCCATCTCTCTCCTTTGGCTTGCTAACCAGTACAAGGTTCTTGGATTTGGGATGCTATTTTAAAATCATCTCTTGAATTCATGAACGTAGTTGGTGGCTTCTTTGGTTGATTTGGGTCTTATAAGCTTACAATTGATTTATCATACTTCTGCTTCTTCTAGTGAGTTTTGGCAATGTAGAAATAATTTTCAAATTAAAACATGTCTTATCATTTCTTTCCTCTAGCTTTGCAAACCATGTTGACATCATTGATTCCTCGATGATCTTCTTTAAATGAGTTTTTAAACTTATCAAGGTAGTTGGTGGACTCTTTGATTAGTTTGCATATTGTAAGCTAACATAGACTTATCTTACTCTTGCTTTTTTTGTCAAGCCTTGGCAATGTAGAGAGACTTGTCGAATTCATACATGTCTTTTCATTTCTCCTTTGACTTTGCCAACCATTGCAATAGTCTTGGCTTCAAGATGATTGATATTCCTTAAAGAGTTCTTGAACTCATCAAGAGAGTTGCTGGGTTCTTCAGTCGATTCGCGTCTTGTAACCTGGCATACACTTATTGTAATCTTACTTCTTTTGTTGAGATTTGACAATGTAGGGAATTTGAAAGAATTGATATGTCTCTTCATTTCTCTATTCTGACTTTACCAACCACGGCAATATCATTGATCTCGATATCATACTTTAACAACTTTTTGAACTCATTAAGAAAGTTGGTAAACTCTTTGGTTGATTTAAGTTTTGTTAGTTGAAATAAACTTATTTCTCTCTTGGTTTTTCTTTTATCATGGACAATGTAGAAAACCTTGTCAAATTCAGACATATTTTTTCATCTCTCTTCTTTAGCTTTTCTAACCACAACAACATCCTTGGTTTCGGTATGATCTTCCTTAAACAACTTGTTGAACTCATCAAAGCAAAAGGTATCTTCTTTGGTTGGTTTGCATCTTGTAAGTTGATATAGACTTATCGTGTTCTTGCTTCTTCTGTTGAGATTTGACATTGTAGTAAGTCTTTTGAAATTCAGACATATCTTTCGCTTTCTCTACTCCGGCTTTGTTGACAACAATAAAACCATGCGCACGGGGATGATATTTCTTAAACAATCTCTTCAACTCATCAATGCAGTTGGTGGACTCTTTCATTTGTTTGAGTCTTGTAATCTGATATAGATATATTATATTCTTGCTTCTTCTATTGAGCCTTGGCAAGGTAGAAAACCTTCTCAACTTCGGACATATCTTTTCATTTGTCTTTGGGATGATCTTCCTTAAACGACTTCTTAAACTCATCAAGAAAGATAGAGAAGATAGTTGATGATATCTTTGGTTGGTAGAATCTTGTAAGATGACATAGATTTGAAGTACGTTTGCTTTTTTTGTTCAATCTTCACAACGTAGAGAGTCTTTTCAATTTTAGACATGTTTTTCATCTCTTTTCTTCAGCTTTGCCAATCACGGCATATTCATTTTCATGATTCAATACTATAAAATCTTCAATTTCATGCATTCTTCATCATACATAACTTTTGTTGTACATTTTATGTTACCTGCCAGAACCAGGTCTCAAACGAAGCACAAGAGATAATGTCACCTTATCATAATCTAACATCTGTCATAGATCAATATTGATTAGAACTAAGAGGCTTTGCACACAATATGTACTCTAGAAGTGTAAATTAATTGCAATGTTAGAAGAACATCTGTTTCTAAACTATTTCTGCTTGATTATCTCCAAATATTGTGTTTCTTTTATACTTTTTTTCTTCGTAAGCGGCTCTATATTGACACTCAAGGTTATCTCTTCAAGGCAGAAAGGCGATTAGTAAGATCCACAAAAAATCCACCTCTTCTATAGGAGACATGGATTTGCAAGTCCACAAATGATTTAGCACTCCATCAAATTACTACTTTCTTGTTGATGCGTAGTAGTATGCTCTTTTGTTTCGATCTAGATAGTGAGAACTATCTATCTCAAGTGATGAATGAAGGACATGTATCACATTGTGAGATATGGCATCTTCCATCGCTTTTTACATTCATTTCCCCTTTACTGAACTTCGGCCACTGATCTCTGAGAAGTATATATACATACATGCGCAGATATGTAGGATGGTATTGATACTCGAATCCCAAACGCGTCCTTCCGGCTCTTGATATAAATGATCCAAATCCGACTTTACAAGCCCAATAAATACGTTCCATGGCTGAAAATATAGTTTCAGATTTCATAAATAGTTCTAATGTTCTAATGCAAAAATAAACATGTGAAGTCATCATGAGTAGTTTCATATATGTCCGTTGTATATATATATAGCACTAAGTATGGGAAGATTTTCCACATTAAGCCATATCAAACAATCAGGACGTTTTGCACTTGAAGAAAAAGTGCAAGTTTTATTGTGTGGTGAAGAGCATTTAATTAAGGTGACACTAAAGGGTAAGTTATCTTTTACTTCTTCATGAAATAACCTACTCTGCTCGATCATTCTTCTTTGGAAATACAACTCACTTTTGCACCCTATTGAGCTAAAGAACACCTGCACTTGCAAAGGAGTCGATGATATTTGAACCTAAATCGGAATGCAACTACTTCAGTTCTGTGTATTTATTGACAATTTGGTATTAGTGTTGAAGTTTAAAGACTAGAGTAGGTTTAAGGAATTACAATCGTACTTTCGTAATGCAAACCTTGAAGAAAACTTATTGCAATTGCATCTAATACCAAATGGATAGTAAAACTAATAGGGATACTGAATCAATCATACACTAAGAATTATAAATATTGTACATCGAAATTTTTTGATGGAAAAATATTCCTTTTTTTATATTTAAAGTATTCAGGTATTACTTGGATTATTTGAACCAGATAAATTAAAATTTAGTTTTAGTGATAAATATGCATGTCGAGCTATGTCAAGGAGGAGAGGGATATAGAGAGAGAGCAAAAATCAGACTTGTAATCTATTGATTTTGACCGTGAGTGTGATGTATGAGAGGGCCTTGCACATGGCACATGGAAAGTATTCACAAGTTCACTCGCATGCGCCATTATTACAGAACGAATCGTCCTTCTCGGAATGCCCCTGACAACAGCAAGATCCCATGCCGCAGGTGATGGTGTTTGCTCCTGCAGTCTTTCAGCCCACATGTCCTAACGACCCGACGTGCACGGACTGGGCCATGGTGTGCAAGTGATTTCCAGTGCAACGACTCACGCAGTCCTCGAACGCGAGAGGTCGAATTTCTCAGACCACACTTTCTGGACGAGCAGGAGCAGGATCACAAATCATGTGATCGGACAGACAGGACGAGACAGGCGGCGTCTGGTGTGAGCAGTACGCAGTCGTTGCTTTCCTTACCATCTGTTCTTCGAGCTGGCGCATCTTTTTACGACAAAAGTATCGAATTTTGCAGGCTTCACATTTAGCTCATGCCTTCAGCGTCGTTCCAAGTGTGGACTTTGAAAACGAGCAGCTTGCCAAATGCTCGATGCTCTTCTTCCCACCCCGTCTCAGTACGAGACGACGGACGGTCAGCTCAGGACGGCTGGATGCGCTTCTGAGTGCTCCTGAGCGAGTGACAACTTGGCAACATCGAGCTCAAGAAGCTCTGGACTGAAGTTCTGGTGCGCTATCTTTACAGTTTCGAGACAGGTCATTCCAAGAAACTGCGGGTCAGTTTAACGATGGGCGTTTCGGAACCTCGTAACGGTGGAAGCTTAGAAAACTCGCGACGCTGTCGGCTGAGATTCCATACAATCAAAATGAATCATCAAGGTCGTCAACATGAATGAGTACACAAAAATTAACGAAGGTTATGAGTAAACTACAGACGTATTTGGGCTTCGGTGTACCTGAAAAATCGAAACAAAGTGTCTAAGAAAGTGAATATTAACGAGAAGCTAGATTTGTGCAAACTAACATAAGCACGGAATTTCAGATAGACTCAAATGAGCACGAAGTGGAACATACAACTCACTAATGTAACTCTAGGACGACAGAGGAGAAATTTCCAGTGGTGAGAATAAGTGTCTTCAATTTGCATATACAAAGGGCACCGAGTGATAAAGCAAAAAGGATGGGAAGACCCCATCGATGACTTTACTATGCATCGGCTTGACTGATGAGCATCTCTGCCATTACAAGTAAACTGTTCTCATCGGTATTTTACTGCTATGGCTTCAAGATCATAAAGACCCCACAAGCGTTTTGGGTTGACCGATTTTTTGGAGCGAAGAGGGAGGTTATTGAGGAGGAACTCTTCGAGACTGGTGAGTGTATTTTTCACAGTACGGATTCTACCCTGGAACGAGGTTCTCTGGGAGATTCCAGGTGTCCACCCGAAATCCATTCACCATCTGCCCTCCGTGTAATGTTTGTTGTCCCTGCAAGTTTCTCTCAAAAGCGTAGCAGCTTGGGGAACTTTATCGAAGCTTAGAACGTGACCACAAGCTGAAGAGCTTGTCGTCCACTGGTATTGCTACGTGTGAGCCTACTGCGGACAGCAGTCGCGACCTCCATGTCAAGCAGAGTGCAATTTCTTAATGTGGTTCCCAATCTCGCTCTTCTTGTAATTACAAGCGGTAAGACTTCGATCTGACTCAAACCTGTGACTAGCCACAGAGACCCGAAGAAGCGTATTCAAGACCAGGGGTTTAGGATGCAACGTGGCCCCGGAAGGATCAGATTGCAGATGTCGTCTCCACTAGTCCACTTATCGAGCCTTCGTACACCGAAAGTCCATAGCCTACCCAATCGCGCGACTCAGATCCTAAGGGCTGGCATCTCACTCGACACAGGCTTGGCAGGAATTTATTGGGTGAATGCGTCCACATAACACCCATGAAACTTAAGAATGAAAGTAAAATGGCATAAGCTGGAGCTGGAGCTGTCAACTTCCCTTAGGCATGGCAATTTCTACAAACTTCCAAACTCCATTCACTGTCGTCCCTGGCACTTGGCGCTCCTAGGACAGTAACGAAAGGCCTTGGCTTGTTAACTTCCCGGGCCCTGACTAGTGTCAGCTTTATCGCTGTCGTGTGAAGTACGACATGTCTTTTAATATCGGTGGGAGTATCCCGGCTTCTGAGGACTGGTGTTTCAATTGATTTGCCTATGCCACTTTCTGTGGGATTCCCACCAAAAGTTGTGTCCTGAAATTTGATTCCCAGGTGAGCATATTACGAACAATCCAAGTCTCGAGGAATCTTGCTCCTTCGATACTGTGTTGACTGCAGTGCCTCAGTGCAACCAGAACCAGGCATGACACTAAAACGGGGTACTCGCGTGCACGATGACGTCTCTTTGCCTGTGATGCTTTCCTCCACTTCCTCACAAATCAGAAACAGTTAACTTTTGAAAGTGTTGCAACGAAGGCTGATGAAAACTGCAAGGACTGTAGAACACAGAACTACTTCCATTTCGTTCATTCAGGACGTGTGACTGGACACGGCGTGGCTTCCTGAATCATAGCACTCACAAACACAATATGCTGTCATACGTGAAACAGCAACGTGACATTTCTCTCAGGTAGGCTGTGAGAACGACATTCTGATAAAAGTCGTAACCCATAAGTATTTTGAGAATTATTTTCTCGCCCACGATGACAAGTCCGCAACCACATGACATACACAGAAGATGTGTTTGAGGGCATACCCGAACAAAGGGGCCCCAGTTCGAGATGGACATATTGGTTCAAGTACTGCGAGAGAGTTCCTTGTAAAATGTTCTTATGACCATTGTGAGCACCAGAAGATGGACCGAAACCCAAATAATCACTTCATTTGATTTTCGAGTGAAAAGATATTCTGGTTCCACATCCACAGACCAATCCCATAAGTTAAATGGTAGAGGAACAAGGACGACTGGATATAGTCACGATATGTGGTGAACAAAGATATTTACATTATTCTCTCTGTACCGATAGACGTACTGTTCTGAGTGTTTTGCAACTTGCAGTAAATGTTACGGCCTGCACCAGCCACAATTCTGCACTTACTGATCGCCACAGCTTGCGTATAAAAACACACTGAGCAAGCATTGCTGTCCTCACAATCAAACTCGGGTCTCCGAAAGGTTCGTGATGGCAGAATGCATCCTTCACATACTGAGCTCAGGATAATCTTACAGGACCGAGATGAAGCACATGTGCAGAAGACACATTAATGGTGAAGAATCTAAATGTACAACAAGCCCTCTCACTATGACAACAAAATCCCCAGGGCTTCAGGGGTCCACGGTCAGATGCTCCTGCTCGATGGGATCAAAACTTTCAAAACAACAGAGTCATGCCTGTCCTTCTAGGCCGTCAGTCTGGTACTCCAGTTTCAGATCCAAAGTTCGGAACTCCTCAGAAAGTGCTACGCATTGAAGCTCCCGGCTGTATTCCTGGTACTCAGGCTTCACTCTCCGCACCGGCACCGTCACAGAGTACACGGTGCCCAAATCAGGGTCCGAAGAAACCGTGAGCTGGACCTTGTCCTCCGATTCTATTTCCACGAAGTCCGAGAGAGCTCCGACGATGTTGTTCACAATCCGCCTCTTGGCTTCATCGTTCACGGAACACCGATCGGAAATCAGAATCATTTTCAGACGTTGTTTGGCGATCTCCGCATTGGAGCTCGACCTTCGCTTACTAGGAAAGAGAATGGTCCAGGCCCGAACTAATCTGTCGAAGAAATTTTGTGACTCATCGTCCCCTAGAAGGTCTCGGGCATGAGCAGCAAAAGCGACCTCGTCCGATACACTCTGCTGGTCATCAGCGAGAGCTTGGCATCGGAACGAAGATTTTGAGCCGGTAGAAGAACCCTCGGCGTTCGCCCCCGACTGGTAACAAACCAGAGAACTCCAACCCGCGTTCCTCCTTTCCTTGCTGAAAGAAACTCGACTGGGCCGCTTGGAATTTCGACTATCCTGAAAAGAACCCCGAACCCGAATCAGAAACAAGGAAAACTGGCAAATCACAAGGAGATGCAACGACGAGAGCAAACGTCACCGAAAAAAGCTCATCTCTCCTCTAGCAGCCACAATTGGAGTCCATCTCCACGACGGCTAAGCAACCCGACTCAGCCCGACATATCCAAATCGACGAGATAATGGGTGATCGCCAGGGCTAGAATTCATCTCTACATCGAATCCAATCATGAACCCTTTTGGCTCGTCCTCTTGGCTAGAATCAGCGTTTCACGATGTGGTCCCCCGCCCTTTCCTCTCGGGTCACATCAAATCCTTGCCCATCCCTCACACCCGACCTCGGCATGTCCTTTCATCCTTACCTTGGAAGCACAGAAGCCACCGAGAGGGTAAGCTGCTGTAGAAACTCCTGAGGCCTCCGGTGCTGCTCCATGAGCAGCCCAGTGCACAGCTCTGGCCGTGAGGCCGCTCATTTTCGCGCAATCCTTCGCTCAATCGGAGGTCGTTCCGCTGGAGCCGAGGTGCTGGAGCTCTGCGGGCTCGCACAGCACAAGAATCCGACCTCGAAACGGCCTCGCCCTCCTCCCGCGATCGAGCAATCGACCGATCTTGGCACCGATTGCGCAGCAGTCCGTCCACTGCTCGCCTCGCTCCTCCTCTGCCCTCGCCTCGTCTTCTGCTGCAGCGCAACTCCCCGCCGTTTCCCCCCACAGTCCCCGCCCCAGCCCCGCGCATGTGCTACCCTGACCGCAGGCCAACCCCGGCTCTCACTCCGGTTCAAACCACCCGCGGGTCGTCCGCCCCCACAGTCGCCTCCGAGGTCGAGCGAACTGCACACGTGTCGGCGTCTGCGCCACTTCTGCGGATACCGTCTTCGGGGTCCACGATGGCCAAAGGAAGGCTAAGACATGTCATCCCGCCATGACAAATAATCTCGTTTCCCTAAGGTTAACCCCGACTGCGATTAGCCTTGAGGTTTATTCCAGCGGGTTTAGTGGAAGCGGAACGCAGACCGCGGCGGGAAAAGTTTTCGGAACGCGCTTTAGCATTATGACACGTAGGATCTTTTGTTTGACCGATGGCTGCCGGCACTTGGCGGCAGCTGCAGAGCCTGCTGATTGGCCCGCTTGTGGGTTAAGATGGCGCCTGCGGGTGCTGACTGTGGTCGATCGCGAGCCTCGACGATCACGACTATGGAGGGCTGAAGGTTAGGACCGTGGTTAGAGTTAAGCTCGGTGTGATTAGTCGTCGGGTTTGCGGTCGAGTCTGTGATGCGGCGACGGAAGTCGGAGTGCGGTAGGGGCGGGAGGTGATTGCGATCCCACAATTCTTGAGGTCCACAACTTTCGAGCCAGTTCTCGTGCTCGTGCTCGTGCTCTTGGTGACAATTGTGGAGAGAATTCGAGCGGAGGGGTCGGGGTCGGGGTCCGTGCCCTTGAGGTTTCTTCGGATTCGCGAGTGGCCAGGTGATCGATTTTTATCGGAAATTGGACGAGATGGCTTCAGGGTTGCGATTGCAAGCTCCTTCTGCAGCGAGTGGTCTTTGCGGGAAGTCTGTCGGTGATTTCGAAGGTCGGGGCAATGCTTCTTTCTCCAGGAGTGGCATCTTTGGGGAAAATGTGCTCGCCAATGTATGTCGCTCTGTTCCTAGCAAGGGCGGACGTGGTGCTGCTGCCTCCCCAGGTCTCGCTTGCGTCGCAATGGTAATTATACCCGTCTGTCTCTCTTGCGTGATGTCGTCGATCAGTGCACAAACCATGTAAAACTGTTTGCATCTTTTTATGTAGGCCCTCAATGCACAGGAATACTCGCAATTTTTCTGTCAAACTATAGTTGTCTTCTTAATGCGTTCGTTGAAATTCAGCTTGGACTCATGACAAAGTAGTCAACTTGGAATTGTCTTCGCCTTAAATTCTTTTGCTTGCACACGCATCAGCATCTACTTGTACCTAGAAACTGTTTGTGGAGTCATGTGATCACGATCGCTGCTATCGTTTTGAGAGACGTCGAACTGCTTCGTGCAACGCTGACATGGTGATGTACTGCGCACAGTTGAATATTCGGGCTGCCATTTGGTCTGGTATCTGTACTGAAAACACGCTCGATTACTCGTACTTGATTCTAATCCGCGATGATCAGAACAGACAGGACGATCATCGAGAACGGTTTGGAGTTTCATCGGTTTTAGTAGGAAATGAATGCCTGCTAGTCACATAAATTTACACTATGTTGTGTTGACTTTGAGTAAGACTGCCTGATTGGAGCCTTCGGTAAAGGCTGGAGAAAATTGTCTTCAGTTCTCGAGTATGCTTCATTGACCTTGTTCCACTACGGGAACCTGATCATTTGCCAGTGTATGGTGATCATATCGGTGATGAATGGACTAGAATTAGCTTGGTAAACGCCAGGATCTCTTGCTGAAGGCACGAGTTTTGCTATTGAGACCGCCTCTGGACAACCATCTACCGCAGTTTACTCATACAAAACTCTTATGTACTTGCGACTTGTACAGTTATGGTGGTCAGATGCTTCATTAAAACTACAACCAAGATGGCAGGTCAGTATCTGGCGCATATTTTCATCTTTGTAAATCGTTAAACGTATGGTAGCCCTCTATTTCTTCCCGGCATGACTTGTTTAACTACGTTAGCGAATTTTTATATTCAGCAGGAAAGTCTAGTGAAGCTTTTTGGTTATGGTGATAGTCGTGACAGCGAGTGTGGTGGTTTGCAGAAGGTACATCTTATGCGACTCGAGAAACTGAAGGCGGGTAATGTTTCCAAGGACGTTCTGGAAGACGATGTCGAGATTGAATTTATATGGAAGTTGACAGAGCTGGCAAAGTCCAAGACAAAGCAGTTGATTTCAGCCGGCTTAACACCAGAAATGGTTGTAGGCCGGGCAGCTATGCTTGGATTTCTCGCTGCAACAACTGTAGAGTTTGAGACGGGAAAAAGTGTCTTACAACAGCTAACAATCAGGTGAGAATTCAAGTTAATGTTATGGAGTAGCATCCATACTCGCATGTCAATCATTATCTTCAAAGATTTTGAAGCTGTTAGTGCTCTTAATACTTAACGGGAGTAATGGAATGCTTCGTTTTAACTCATCTTTTTTTATGTATTTTGTACGCAGGGGTGAACTGGCGTCTGCTGTCGTTGTCGTAACAGTGGCGTTGATGTCTTTACTTATGCACGAGAACAACTCAAAGGAGAATGGTTCTTCCGCACCGTTCAATCCGTTTGGATTGTTTACTCCTACAGCTGAACGTCTCAACGGTCAGGCAGCCATGCTAGGCTTTGTCCTTCTGGTCGCCATTGAGTCAGCGAAAGGAAGTGCATTGTTTTAAGTAAGCTATATGTCTCGGGCCCGGTCTTTCAAGAGAAGTGTGAGTAATGTATTGTATATCTAGCCGTGGCCATGTATTAAAGAGGTACGACTTTGTAAATATGGATACTTTTGTATGTAAGATATTAGTTACCCCTATTGGGGTGCATGACTTTAGTTAGCTGAAGATAGTGTTCATACCTGCAAGCTTGTCATCGGCCACGGGATAGGTGTATGGGGAGTAGCCGTCTTTTGGAGCATGCCCAGCCTTTATCACGATCTGATTGTTTTACGAGACAAAGGATGGAAATTCCTACATGCTGAAACGGTTGGTCTTAGTGTCTGAGATATCTGCAAGAAGTGAGAGTCATTCAACAATCGTGTTGTGTCACGAGATTTTCTGACGACGTAAGTCACCTGCCATTGATAACGGGAATACTCACAAGATATTCTTTCTGTTAAAGAATAAAACAGGTACGGCCTGTTGATAATTCATGTCATAAATTAACATCTGTTTCCACCGAGAAGTTCTGCGATCTTCGACATCATTTGCTGGAAGTTACAACATCATTTGCTGGAAGTTACAACATCATTTGCTGGAAGTTACAACGGAAACCGAACTGTCTAGCATAGAGCCTGTCTATTTAGATATATGTTTTGCGTAACGTGGAGACAGTTTGTAAGATCAAGTGACGACGTGAAACTCGACAGTCTGAAAGGTTGAGCAGTCACGAAACCAAAACGTTGACAGAGTTTCTTGAGCCTATATTGAATTATTAATTATATCATATGTTGTACTCTAGTTCCGTAAGCATACAAAGAGAGAAGAGAAGTAGGGGTCTGGTAGCTGGGTCTGCTGGAGATCGTAACTGTTATCGGGGCCTCACAAGATTCTGTATAACTACATCTTCAACATCTGTGGGATCCAGGCGTCAACAAGGTCAAAATCCGAACGTCGAGGATGATATTTGACCCCGAATGTTCCTGAATGTTGATACGGATCCATAGCCTTACTCAGATCTCAGGAAAGGTGTTTGGGAGGAACAAGGGATCATTATAGGCGACCGTGTAATGCTACTCTTGAAAGATTACTAATCAGGCTTGACAGTCATTATCATGTGGGGTCAAAGGTCAGTATGCTTTCGAGAAACTAGAGGAACTTCTCGGAGATCGTGACAAGCAAACCGTGGATGACTGCTGATTAGCTTTCCTACTCAGAATCATTCGGGTTGGACCATCAGCGTCACATCACTCGGGCACATCCTTGGCAGTACTTCGAGTTAATTTGCTGACTGCCGGGAATGTAGGTGGCAAGTGGAAGCCACCTGCCTGTTGATTGGGAGGAGAAGAATTCCGTAGTTCTGACATGTGATCAGAACTGCATAAGTCAATTTAATAAATTCTTTCCAACTTCCCTTTAGATTGAAGTTCGACTCGTAGGTGTGTGGTATGTGGAGAATAAGTTTAAAATTTATGGTTACATTCACTCCCGTAATGTACTTTTACCGATGGAAAGTATCGCTTGTCTTAGTACAGCGAATGGCAACGGTAAGGAATTGATGGTCAGGTTGTCTCTCAACCCTGCCAATGTTCTCTCATGTGCTACTTGGCTGCGGAATCACATCTGAAAGCCCACATATCAGTAGTCGCCATTTATCATACCTCCGACTTTGGACACGATCAACGTCGAGGACAATTCATGGACGGCAATCATCTAGACATGAGACTTGTACAACCCAGATTCCACTGTTCGCAGCAATGAATGAAGGTTTGTGGTGCGTGAAGACTTCATCTAACCGTGTGAAGCCAAGAGGAAATAAGGAGGTACAAGTGGAGGAAGACCAAGATCGATATGGAGAAGTTTGAAGAGATTATGGCAGAAAATTTTCAAGGGTCCGTAGGCTGAATACATTCCACGCTGTGACGTACGCAAGTAAATCAATGGAAATGAACCATTTTTAATGAACTTTTCAAAGCAGGAGTTACTTCGGAATGATCTTATCGTCTTGTTTACCTCGTGACTCTTTTAGTGGGAATTATGATCTTCAACTGGCCTACTGTCAGGGGAAACGGAGAAGTTGGAAGTTGGCAGTAGACAAAATCTGAACATCTGTACTTGATAACTGGAACAGATTTGAGTTGGAGCTAATTCAGCTCCCGAGACTTAGTGACCTCGGACTGCTAGCATAGCCTGAATCTATTCCACGTAGAGAATGTAGGCGATTCAACTCTCCGTTGGTGAAGAATGTAGTATTGACCATTCAGGAGAAGAATGCATACTTTGAGTGGGTACCAAGTTGAAACTACCAACTGAGCCGAGCGATGAGAGCTTTTCTTCAAATCTTTGAATACAATTCCTCATTTACTTCGGATGATTCCTGCATTTGATGACGGGAACCTCATCGTACTTGATATCTCTTGTTTGGATCTGCAATTTAAAACATTCAAGCTTATTTCGGCACCATATGTCTTACTCTCTATAGTGTCCTATCTGGTATCTGAAAACTTTCAATCGTGACATGATCACAGCAACCCGATTTATTTTCAGGTCCTATCAGTTGTCTATTAGCATATATCTCTGTTAAAGCACATCTGCTCTCTAAGAACGAATTTGCTGTCAGATTCAGTTGACGAAGTGAACTTTGACTGAACTTTTCATTCCGGATTTTTAACTACACATTTTAATCATCCCATGCCTTGTATCCTTGATTATAATTTATTCTTATACGAGATAGCAACATACACGAATAATCCTTCCGATTAAAGTTTCAAATTTGGCTCATTGTGAGGTAGTTTTTGAAGTTTAGACACCGACATTGTAAAAAAGTTCTCGGTAGAATGTTTGAAACGCGAAATAAATCTCTTGTTATGAAAACAAATAAATTTTGATTTGGATGTTTCAGAGTCAAAATTATCATTATATTAGATAAATTCTTGATGTGACAAAAGTTGTATATCGAGACTAAAAAGTTACCTGCTCAGAGAATGGATTTTTGTGCAGTGAAACTGTTTCAACTAACTGTTTCATGAGAACATGACCGAGATGTTGCATAATCCAGTTGCAGAGAATGATATGGGTTTGAAAGACACGAGCCTTAGATAAGTTTTACACCTACGAAGTTCAGCCTGCCGAGCACAAGTACGTGGCTGGAGACTTCATCTCTCCGGCATACTTTTTCCACATTCCACGATTCGTATGTTTGCAATCTTGGTCAGTGCAGAGCATTTTACCTCCAGTATGACCCAGCCCCGTGTTCAAGCTTGCCCTCATGGCAGAAGGTTCTTCAGGTGCGCAGGATCAATTGAGTGATCAGGAGAACAGATATTGTGGCATGAAACAAGAAGTATCTACGATGTAGGGACGGGTACGAAGGCTACACTATCGAAGCCACGTTGAAGAGAAACTGCATTTGAATAGCGAGAGATGATTATTTCATATTGCAGGCAGAGAATGTTAAGGAACTTTCCCTCATGCTGGGAAAATATAGTACCGACCAAACATACTGAACGCGTGAATTGATCATTTTGACATGAAATTATGTTTTATGCTGCTGTCTAACTTTGTACATTTCTCGCTTAATAGTTTTATAGTTCGTGGTGATGGATAATGTTTAGTGATAATCATTTCTTTAAACCTACAATTTATGTAAATGATTTTTTTCACTTGAAGTTGCTTTTTTCTAGTGAATTGGATCGATGGGATCATGTAATTCAATCATGTATTATATTCAATTAATGATCTTACTAAAACAGCCTACGACGTTGTTATGGTAAATCAACATATTTATCCAGATTCTTGATTATTCATATCTTCAAGTCAATAATATAGGTTTAATCAGTATATCGCTGATATACATTGTAGGAGAAACATGACCTTAGATTTCATTTGAGTCTAGAAGGAGGGTTGGTTTCGGTTTTTGAGCTATTTATGATGTACACATCTAATTTTTTTGAGAAATATTTATAAAATTACAATTCATAAAATTATAGATATATCTACTAGGAAATTTGAAATGAATGGACGTTTTTAAAATTTCGTTACATTATGAATGACTTGATTCCAATTTTATCAGATTTTTTTTTCAAACTAATCTTTTGCAAAAATGTCAATATTAAATGACTATTTCAGTATATATATCATTAAAGAAAAATTAAATTGACAAATTATCTATGGATAACATAATTATCTATATTCAACAATAAAATTATAACTAATATAAAATCGATCTATAGCAATGCCTAAGCTTTTTTAATCAACCAATCAACTGCAACTACTGTAAGTGGGACGTAGCGGAACAACTTCTGTTCGAAACTGTTTTGAAAATTGAAACTGGAGGTCTTCAATCCATAAGAAGGGACTTGAACAGTACACATGCCACAGAAGATTGACCTACCCCAAAATTTTTTTTAATATGGTTCTGGGCGAATATTGCTATAATTCTCTATATTTCATTCTATTGTTAACATAACGTTATCCACTCGTTAACCAGGGATCCAACCTCAAGACAGGGAGAATCAGTCGACCGTTGGATCTAATTGTGAGAGAATTCGATTTTTTGTCAATTGATGGCCCAGCCCCTTGTTACCGTTCGTTTTCTTCGTTGATAGTTATCCACTAGGCTCCTTCTATTCACTTGTATAATTTGCGCATGGAGGATATACCCTTTGATTGAATGCACTTCCTCTGGAAATAGACCGGCTGGCTATTCAAGATGTTCTTCACACGCTGTACATGCTCTAGTGAGGTTAATTTCTTCCGGTTCTTTTCTTAGCTTCTCCTCCTTTTTCTTTCTTCAGACTGTCATTTGTTGTCTGCACTGCTAAATGCTTGAACTTTTGTACCTTTAGTGTCCTATCTTTTGTACTTTTGGGCGGCATGAATTGGATTTTTTTACTAAGTACTGAACCAGTCCCAGGTTTATGCTCATTAACAAGTTCACTTACGAGTTTTATGCTCACTTACGAGTTTGATCACTATCAATAGAGTGTGCTTATTACCCATTAGGTTTAATAATTATGTCAGATGTCTGTCAGGAAGCAAATTTTCCTGGACGTGGCTGCGTAACTCTCGTTGGTTCTTCGATTCGAGTTTTCACTTTTCCTGCGGTCTTCAAAGACAACCTATAAGCCCGGACAGAGTACTTAAACACTATGAGGTTTATTATGGTGCCAGCCTAGGTATCAAGTAAGAAGATCACAGGCTTTGGCTGAGCAATATGTAAGGTGCTGTGTCACATGCTAAGAATAATTGTGAATGCCACCTGCAAGGACATTGTGGAGATCTACATGTTCCCTTTGCCACAGTTGTACTAGTACTGGATTCGAATTTGTGAACTGCGAACATGTCTGGTCTGCACAGTAGATGGTCCGTCTATAATCCTGATTAGGACCCCGGTTCAGAGCATGAGTGGTTATAGCTCTTCGACAAAACTCCAAAACAACCCCTGAAATCACTGTAGTCCGTGCCAGAGGGGAAATTCGAGGCCAATATCGATTCATGGTAAGGTGATCCGACTTCTCCCTACCTAG